GGGGCGGGACGGGACGATACGAGGAGAGTTACACCAGAGTGGGAGGCAGCGATGCGAAGCAAGTGGGGGCGAGGTGGAGCGATGGAGAAGTCTCGTTCACGGCAGAGCAGCACGCGCCTCACCTGACACCTGCCGACACGAACAACTCACCAGGACCAAAGATGACGGCGTTCCAGACCATGATGTTATCGGGGCATGGGCTTCCCGAGATGCCCTCTGGGGCCTCAGCGGTCAAGCGCTTGAAGTCGCGAATGAGGCGGCGCTTTGAGAGGGTGGACTGGTGTGAGTGATATGAGCGTGGCGGGGGAGGAGGATGAGGGAGGAGGCAGAGATGATGCGCACGCACCATGATGAGTCACGCGAGTGGGGGGTGAGTGTTGGGGGTGGGGGGACACGAGGGGGGGGTTGGGTGGCAAGAGCGTGAGCGAGCGGGGGGGAGCGCTGTGTCTGGAAGTGCGCGCGAGGCTGGTTCGAGTGAGGAGGGGGAGTGAGGAGAGATGAAGAGATGGAGAGAAGAGTAGTTGAGAAGAGATGACAAGAGAGAGAGAGAGTTCAAGTAGTCGAGGACGAGGAGGACGAGTGGAGTGGGGGAGGGAGGGAAGGTGGGAAGGATGAGGGAGGGAGGGAGGCGCAAGACGGGACAAAAGAGGCCCTTCATTACAAAGACTTCAAATGGTATTTATTACTCTTGGTGTGTTAATTCTACTGTACATCCCTCCCAGCTCCATCTTTCACTCCTCATCTTCCAGTTGACATCAGCCACAGTATCGCCAGCATGGCATGCATCTCCTCCTCTCAATGCACAAATGCAACAGCACCAGAGCTCATGAACAACCACCACCACCACATAGATTAACGCCACCCTCTCTCGCCCCGCACTACTGCGCACCCTCCCACCCCCGCCGCACCTGCACGCTCACCTCGCCCGCGCTCTGCCGACAGCTGATCGCGCTGCTAAGCTTGGACCAGCTGACGCGCGTGACCTCGAGAATCTCGCTGTCGCTCGTCTCCGGATGCACATGCACGACGAGAGTGACGACGAGGGGCGCGTCCGTGTCGCCCTCACGCGTGAGCTGCGCGACAATGTCCTGGCTCGCCCGCGGCGAGTCGGTGAACGCCTGCGTCGACGGCGAGATGGTCGATACCGACGGCCGGATCGCGGTGAATGATCCGCGGCGCGAAGGGGGCGCCGACGATGTCGTCATCGCCTCTGGTTCCATCTTACCGGCGTTGATCGTCCAGCAGCGCAGCGTGCCCAGGCCGAGCACCCGACGGTCGTCTGCTACGTCGCGCAGCGCACGGCGCAGCGCCTTCATTTGGGAAGACGATGCGGGTGGCGCCGTTTGGAGAAGGACGTGCGCGAACGCGACCGCTGGAGGGTGTGCGAGCGAAGCGGTCAGGAATGCGAGCACGAGCGAGGCGATGGCGTCTAGCGAGCTGAGCGATGCTGTGGGCACCACAAGCGACGCGAGGAAGAGCAGTGCACACGTGCCCGCGATGGACAACGTGAATGGGTTGGATAGGAAACCGTTGTCCCGCACCACTGAGTTGGCGAGGTACCATGGTGGGAGAAAGAGTGGGCCCGTAGCTTTGGTCAGCTGCATAGATGATAGGTGACTCACCGTCGACGAGTCTCGAGTGGTTCGCAAGCACTGCGCCAGAGAAGAGAGTCGCTACTGAGGCGAGAAGTAGAAGGAGCTGCGGGAAGGGTCTGGAATTAGAATCAACGCCCCGCGGCTGGCAGGCACAGATAAACTTACCGCTCGTCTCCCGACCCGTGGTCGTGGTGACCGTGGCTGTGGCCCGACGCGGCCGCATGGTCGTGCGCGCTGGCGCCGAGGACAACCTGCTCCACAGCCTCCTTGGCGATGTACACGGCCGCGAATATCAAGAACACTGATTGCGAGAAGCAGAGCATCGAGGTGACGCGTGACGAGCTACAGTCAGCCGAGCGATCTCTGCACAACTCACCCATACGGTCTCCGCAGGCTGCGCCAGCCAAGACGGTCTGTCCGCGCAAAGAGATTGACACCCATTCCCATGGCGTCAAAGACGACGAGGTAGCCGACCGCGGTGAGGCAGCGCCAGCCGGACATCTGGCCCTCAACCCACAAGCCGACGCCGAGCACGGCCTCGATCACGGCGAATGACACAAGCGCCTGTGCCTGCGGATCCTTTTTGCCCGGCGGCAGCGGGGAGAGAGTGGCGGGCGACGACGCGACATCCATCGGCACGGGGTGCGGCTTGTCGTCCGCGGGGCTGAGGTTGATGGGGATCGTCGGCCCGGCGTCAGATGGAGGCGTAGCCGCATGGGGGTTGGTCTGCGTCGGGTCGAGAAACGAGAAAAAGTTGTGAGACAGCGAGTGCCGGTGCTGCTGTCAGCGGCGCTGTGTGGAGAGGGAGGGCTTACGTGGTGTCCGCGACGCTTGCTGGTGCGCGGCCGTTCGGTCGCCTCCTCCACCGGCGGCGGGGCGGCATAGTCTGCGCCTGCGCCAAAGGCGCTCTTGTCCGCATCAGGGATGACGCTGTCTCCGGCGGGCTGGGCGGGCGTAGGGCTGGGCGCGCGCGCCGGGACGCCGGGGTGGGGGAAGTAAGCTGAGAGGTTGCGGGCGTGCAAGCCGTGCTGGGGCGTGGGCTCGAATGCGCGTGTAGGCTTCTCCTGCGGCGAGGGGGCGACGTAGAATGCTGGCACCTCGAGCGAGTTGCGGTGCCAGCTTGCCGGCCGGTCCATGTGGTGCCATGTCGGCGGGCGGGCGCGGGGCGACGCGCCAAACTCGCGCAGCTGGGCCTGCGGCGACATCTCGAGAGGCGCCCATGACGGCGAGGCGGGGGAGCGCTGCCCATCCATTCTCGTCGGCGTCACGGGGTGGTCAAAGTTGAGCGAGTGTCGTTTGTTCGGTGTTGGCGGAAGGTCGTTGAGGTCCGGCACTGTGTCCTCCGCTTCCTGCGCCTCGGCACGGTCGTCCTCCTGGTCGAAGAGATCTGGTCTGGCGCCCGCGTCCGTGGCTGTGCGCACAAAGATGGGGGGAGGAGGGGGTTTGCTCATTCGCCGCGGTAAGGGTGCATGGATAGTGGTGACGGAGGGAGGTGGCGCACCGACAAACACATCTTGTGTGTCGTCTCGGCCGTCTGTTGGAGGACGTGGGGGTGTCATGGGCGTCGAGCTCGGAGCTCAGCGGAGATGGATCGAGAGAGCGGGGAGGTGAGTTCGGTGGTCGGCGGACGGAGGATGGCGGAATTGGTGTTGCGAGCCTGGAGGCAAGACGCGCTGGCCGTGTTTCACCCTGATGGTCTAGAAGTTGGTACCGTCCTGAAACTTTGTGGTACTCACATCACCATTCCGTCAGTCAGCTTACTCGGTGCAGTCTGCCTTGCATCTCACGGGCGGTTGACAAGGCGACACGATTGAAAACACTCGCTTCGAACGAGCAGCCGCAAGCATGTTGGGCTCAGCCAGCACGAGGAGGACGACAATGCGCTGGCCATCAGAATGTGCTGACCCGACATCTCGTAGCCGGCGCCAAAGTACGAAAGTTGCCTTCCACTCATACAACTTGGCCACGTCCTCAGCGGCATAGACACTCATGTGTGCAAGGTCGGGGGAAAAGGCGCAAACAATTCAATGTTGAAGGAAACGTGCGATGGTGCAGCCTCGTCGGTGATCCAATCCAAGCTGGAGCTGGGGACGCATTTTGAGGGATTCATCAACTATACTATCACCACTGCACTACCAACGCATCCTCTACCAACAATACGACACCCACCACAGTACACGGCTACAGGAAGGGATACATGAAGGCGAGTGCTGGGACAAGGATCTGGTTTAGGCGGGTGGAGAGCAGTCAAGCTGCCAATGTCAACGGCGCGAGGAAGAGTAGGAAAACTACCTAGAATAGGGAGTCAGAACTGAGAATCCTTTCCCGCCTTTGAAGTCGACTGAGGCGGCCGGTGTGGTTGGTCGACATGAAGGTGATCTCCGTGTGTGCAGTAACGGACATACGGGGGTCTCTGCAAAGGTCATGGGTCGGCCAGACCGGGTCATGACACTTACGAGCTCGTGGCGATCGTTGAGGAGCGCCTGCGGCACGGCCATGAAATCAGGCCTAGGGGGAGGGGTTTGTGGCATGGATGAGAATGTGGTGAAGACTGGGGAGTTGTGTAGGTCTGTGTTGAGGTGGTGAGGTGGTGAAGTGGTGAGGAGGGAGGGAGTGAGGTACCGGAGAAGTGGGAAGTGAGCAAATGGGCGATCATACGGAGGACATGAGGTTCAGAACGTATGTGTGTGCTGACAGCGTCGCAAGGTTGAAGGAGTTTACAGCAAGCGACACTAACCATCGCTCTCAGCAACACGAGACCCAAGTTCATTGATTCGAGATTCTAGCGAGTACAAGCGACTAAATATACACGGATGCGCGCAGCGCGGAGATCAGCTAGTGTGAGGTGACGGTGGGGCGCGAGCTGTGCGCCTCGGGCGGAAGATCGGCGGTGACGTTGAAGAAGCACGGCGACTCGGTGTTGCCCTCGTTTGGCACAAGGGGGCGGCGGTAAGCGGGCGTGGTGTCGTCGCCCTGCTTCTTGTTCACGGCGCGGAGATCTGTGCGCGAGCGGAAGGCGCCGGCGAGGCGGCCGAGCAGCCCCGAGCGCTTGCTCTTGGGCGACGTTGGCGCCGACAGGCTGTAGCTTGAGGGCGGGGCGAGCGAGACCGCGGGCGCCTTTGTCGGCGACTTGTGCAGGATGGGCGTGCCCGGGACGGGCGTCGAGCCGGGCTTGACGACGTCCACGTTGTCGTCGCCCGATCCGGGGTCCGTGCGGATGTCGGCCGAGGCCTCTGAGCCCGACGAGGAGGCGCGCGACTGCCGGCGAGACAGGGCGTCAAGAGGCGGTACATGGGCACCAAAGTCAATACGGAGACCCTCAGAGGTGGCCATGGACGAGGGGGTCTGCAGCCCGACCCAGCTCCATTCCTCGCCGCGAATCCATCCGGGCGCATCGTCAAAGCTGGCGCCCTCCTCCTCGTCGCGGGTGAGGTGCACGCGGTGGTGGTTGAAGCGAGTGGGGGTACCCTCCGCCTTGACCTTGCGCACAAACTTGATGCGCCGCGTGTGGTAGCGCTGCGAACGATGGGGGTGGAAGCTGTCCAGAAGCATCTGCGACAGCTCCTCGTGGCGGTAGTGCACAAGCGGCGTGTGATTGGCACTCTCGTAGCGGCGGCGCTTGTTATCCGCCATCAGGTCGACGAGTGTCTGCGCGGTCTTGGACGACTCTGCGCCTGCAATTGCCTTGGTCCACGGTGCCGAGGGGTACTCGGGTGAGCCCAGGGCGGCGGCAGGCGCCACAGCGAGGTTGCGAAGGAACTTGATCATAAGCGCCTCCGACTCAGCCTGAGGGGTGTCGCGGCCGCCGACCACGACATCGACGAGGCCCAGCTCGCGCGAGCGAATCGCCGAGAGGGGCAGCATGTCCTTGACGAGGTGGGTGGCGACGTTGCGACCGCACCTCTCAACGTAGGAGTAGAGGTGGAATTCGGAACCGTGGAGACCCATGGCGCGGTAAGCGGGGTTGAGGACTACCGAACCGGCCGAGACAACAATGTCGGCGGCAGCGGCAAGCGCCACGCCACCTGCCGCGGCGTTGCCGCGCATGCAAGTGACAGTGACAATGCCACGCTCAGTAAGAGAAGGCACACTGGTCATGAAGTCGCTGCGGGGCTGAGACGAAACGTCGCCCGCGATGAGCTCGACGACGTCGTCGATGGCGTTAATGTTGGCCCAGGTCTCGCGGCCGGGGTGGTCGGCGCTCTCAATGATGTTGAGGGCAACACCGTTGGAGAAGTAGGAGCCGCCCATGAGGCCAAGAACCTTGATGTTGCCACGGTCGGGGTGCGTGGCCCAACGCAGGGCGCGTACGAGGTGCTCACACCCGGTTGTGCTCATGGCGCCGTTGTAAAAGTCCCAGTAGACGAGCTGGATGAGGCCGTCACCCTCCTTGACGGTGCGGACGTACACCTGCTGGTACGTGCCGGGAATCTCCTGGAACTCGGTTTCGGTCCACTCAGGAACACCCTCAAGCCGGGCGCCCTCGCCTGCGGCAACCAGCGCCTCGGCCATGGGAACCTTGGCGCTCAGTGCGGCCGAAGCGGTGGCCTTGGGCAGACGTCCGTGCGTGAGCCAAACAGCAACGCCACAGCCGTACTGGCATTCGTTGTGCGTGCAGGGCGCGGTCTTGAAGAGCACTGCTCCGTCCCGCTTTGCGAGCGCCTTGCCCGCAGGGATGTCGCCGAATGTAGCGTACCCAAGCGCCTTGGCGAGGTTAATCGGGAGATCGGCATCGCGGACGTGGACCTTGGCGTCGAAGACGAACATGAACGACTTGGCCGTCTTGAGGGTGCCGCCGGGCTGCGAGTCGCCGCAGTTGATGATGCGGGCGACGTCGGCGGCATTATGCATGGTGAGGTCGGGGCGGCGCTGGCCGGGGCGGATCTGGGGGCGCTCATTCAGAGGCCCGCCGAGGAAGGGCTTGTTGAGCGACACGCATTCGGCGGCCCACTTGGGGTCGACCTTGACGGCGATGCGGGCAGCGCGGTGGCTTGGGTCGGGGAGGGCGGCGTAGGCGCCAGAGATGCGAGTGAGAGCGGCGGTCAAAGCGCGTAGGGTGGCGGCGGTGACGGGGCCCTGGTAGATGGCGCTCTTGGTTACGCGGGCGACGTCGGGGAGAGGGAACTGGTCAAAGGCCCACACAGGTCCTCCGTCCATGGTGTCGTCGGCCTGGAGGACGGTGACACCCCAGTGTGTGCGCTGGCGCTCGGAAAGGGGCTTGGCGCGGTCGGTGGGAGCTACAAGGGCAGCGAGTGCGGAAGCGGAGTCGGTGTCCAAGCCGCGGTCGCCCATGACGGCCCAGTCGATGGCGGCGGGTCCAGCATCACCTGGTGGGCCGGGGTGGACGATGAGAGTGAGGACCTATGTGTGGTAAGTTTTGGTTCATACCGCGGAGGGGGAGGCGCGTGGGTGCGGGATCATGCGGGAAGGGAAGCGGGAAGGCACAATCAAGACGTACATTGTCCCAGATAACGTCGGGAACTTTCTTTGTGAGGAATGGGCAGACAACAACGTGAGGCGAGTGGGCGAGGACGGCGCTGATCATGCCGTCGTCGGTGAGTGCCAGCTCGGTGGACACACGCTCGCATCCCATGTCTGAGAGATAGGTCTGGACGCGCTGGGTGAGACTGTTGACAGCGCTGACGAGGAGGAGGATGCGCCACTTGCGCACGTCCTGGGGGAGGGCGGGGAGGTCGGCGAGAGAGCGCGCCATGGTGGGTGATGTGAGTAGGGGGGAGGGGGAGGGAGGAGGGGGAGGGAGGAGGCCGTACTGAGCCAGAGTGGTGATGGTTGTGGAGAGTGTTTGAGGAGGTTGTGCGACGACGAGAGAGTCGACCCGAAAGAGACGATGAGAGGATGAGAGGATGAGAGGATGAGAGAAAGAACAGCGTCGACGCTGATGGTCGAGACTCTTTATAAGATGAGCGAGGAGCCAGAGGAGAGAGCGAGAAGAAGCTCGAGGCTGTGGAGAGGTCAGCAAATGTTTCGTTCGGGTCGTTCGGGCGAGAGCAGAGGGAAGGTAGAGGGAGCCGCTTTGCCGCGCGCCGCATGGTCGCTCTTTCCGGCCATGTCGACGAGGCCAGAGGGAGTGATGGAGAGAGAGCTCAGAGGCCTCAGAGGGCACTGAGCATTGGAGGCACGAGCCACAGAAACTGCGTATCCCTCTGATCCATCAGGCCAGGCCATCAAGCCATCGACCTCTCTCTCCACCTGCCCGCTGCCGGCTTCCGAGCTCTCAAGCCATCAAACCCGTCAAGGACCGGCGTGCGTGACCGCCTCCCACCGTCGACGCTCGGACGATTCCCGTGAGATGTCCTTTGAGTGGCGCCGCTACATGGCCGGACTGATGCGCCCGCATGTACTGCGATGCGAGGGCGCCAAAGCCGATGCGGTATCGGAGCCGGTCTTAGGCAGGTGTCCAGACAGGTACGCTGCGACGACAGGTACGATGCACATGTGCATGTCCATGTACGCAAGCAGGGATGATGGATGCCGTACTGTAGTCCAGTGGTAGGACTGCGTCGTACTGCGTGTGGCAGGCAGCGAGCTGTAGATGCCCGGTACACATCAAAGTTTGGCTCATCCCGGCATAGGTAGCAGGTACCATGTCCCAGGAACGTCCTACTTACGGCAAAGACGGCAGCGTTGGAGCAAGCCGGGTTAAAGCTTGGCGCCGGATTGAGCCCCGAGCTCGAGCTGGAGTTTGAGCTCGAGCTAGATCGCTAGATCGTGAGAGATCTGGGACACCGGGAACCCGGATCCACCGGATCACCTGGCCACCAGGAGAGCTCGAGATAGGTCGAGCACGGTCGCCCGGACCTGTCCTGTTTTGCGTGCCGACTGGACCTGGTTGGGGCGAGTCGTGATGACGGACAATGACAACGAGCCGCGGCAGAGTTGGCGGAGTGAGGCTGACGAGGGGAGAAGTTGTTACGAGGGACGGGGGGGGGGGGTGTGTGTGTATATGCGCGTGCGGTGGCTGACGTTGGGGCCTTGAAAGGGGTAGAGAGAGGAAGAGATAGAGAGGAGCGACGAGGAGGAGGAGGAGGAGGAGGAGGGGGGGGGGAGGATTCGTTGAGATCAAGGAGGAGGAGAGGAGACGGAGGACACGAAGGTACAAGTTTACATGGCAGCAAGTTATATCAGATGCGATCGCGATGAGGATGTAAGAAGAGGCGCTCAAGTCGCGCGCGCGCGCGCGCGCGCACGCCAGACGCGTACAGCAACAGTACGATGCATCACAAGAAGAGGGGAACGCGGGATTAGTGAATGAATTGATTGATGGGCATGATGGGAAGCAGTAGATGATGCTAGCTTGAACGGGTGCCCCACTGCTGCCACCCGACACCCGGTGGCGCTTTTTCGTGGCTTGTGGCTTGTGGCTTGTGGCGTCGGGAGATCGGGACCCGTCCCTGTTTTCTCCTCGCGCTCCTCGAGCTCCTCACTTGCTGCTCGACATGCGCATGCATGCCGAGGTAATTGAGATTATTATTGAGCCTTACAGCTGCTCCAGACGTCCAGACCCGGCTCATGGCTTGCGGCTCGGGGCCGCTCAGATTACTCGTCTACCTGATTACTGGCTGATCGGTCGCGTCCAACTACAGTACTCGGTACGCAGGCCCGAACTCATTCCATTCCATTCATTACGCTGCCGAGAGGCGGTAGCGTATGGCTCAGTCTTACGGCTACTGTGTCCCCTGAAACCACTGCTGCCGTTAAGATCGGGGCGAGGGGGGGCTGTACGGTCGGTAGGGCGGCGGACAGCGCGTTCGCGATGATGCACGAGTGCGAGTGGAACAAGAAGACAGACAACCCAAGGTGGGCATGTCTCGTAGTTTGTGGCGTTGCTTCCTACGCATAGTGTCCAGTGTCACGACCTGCGACCTGCGCTACACTGCGCTACGGCGAGGTCATGACCTGTGCGCTGTGCAAGGGTTCCGGGGGCCGGAGAGGGAGCGGAGGGAGCGGCGAAGAGAGGCGAGGAGCGGAGAGAACACGGAGGAGAGAGGGAGACGGAGCGGAGAGACAGGTCTCCACCCAGGTCCCGATAACGAGACGGGTAGGGAAGCCGGGGCGGGGGGAGGGAGGGGTTAAGGGTAATGTCTAATCAGGGATTGATTACGGGCAGTGATGTCTGATTAGGGCGTAGCTTGAAGGGCACTGAGGGGCGAGGAACCCAAGCGCTTTCTCGCTACCTCGCTCCTCCTCCTCTTGATCTCTCAGATTTCTGCAGAGATCTTTCGGGCTCGTGATTCTCTCTTTTCAGACTTGTGGCGAGCATTGTCAGCTAGACCACCGCTCACTCATAATCGTCAATTGTCACTTGTCACTTGTCACTGCTTGTCACTTGTCACCCGTGACTCGGGCATCGTTCCAACGGACTCGTGCCGCGCCATAGGGGTTGAGTTTGAGCCTTGCACAGTGTCGAGTCTCCTCAGTTCTTTTGTTGTCTCGCCAACTCGCCAGCTCCAGGCCATCCTGTGGCGTATTGCGAGCCAGTAGCCTGCGACACAGCTGTGGGAATGGCCTATGGCCAGGCCATGTAGGACAAACGAACCCGTCCACCGTCCACAAGTAGCCCGTGATTGCCCGGTGCGGGAACGTGTTCGCGTACAAGGCTGGAGACGACATGCTGCGGTTGGCCCGTGTTTACCGCTTTTGACACAGCTCCACTTCAAAGACTGCTCTGTGCACACATGTTGCACGCTGCTGCACACTCGGTCCGTTTCATGAGCCGACGATCGCATGAGTCATCGTCTGACCTCACTTGCTTATACTTGTGGCAACGCCATGACTCCAGCATTCTTCCCGTCGCTCCCGAAGCCCGACATGGAAGATCAGCAATTCCACAAATCCCCTAAATTCACCTCTGCCGTGCGCACCCGCGTGCTTGATCGTGCTTGACGAACGCGCGCCGAACTGACCATATACGCGCATGTGCACACGGCCACTCAACCCTCGCTATCTCACTTGGCCCCCTACTCACACACGTTCACACGCCCACCCACCCACGCCCAGAGTGACACTGCACATTCCGCAGGTGAGTGCGTAGGTACACACATTGCACTCCCACGTTCACAGACGCCGGTTCGGTTGAACGGACCATCTCAAACTTCTCACGACGTCCTCCTCATGCCCCTCAATCCCTCATGCCATCGATCCAAAATGCAACTCAATCGCTGTCGCTGTCAACCTGTTGAATGTTAATAAACTTTCACCCATTGAATAGACTCCGAAACGCATTCTATTCCGCCCTGTCCCCCCAGGAAGCGGATTGCGCCACTCACAAGTTTCGATCCACGACCCTTGGTGAAGCTGAGAAGCGTCAGCCAAAAATACACGACCCAGAAAGATGGAGCTCAAGGTCCCGAGCAATAGGGGCGGCTCTAATTCCCATTCAATTAGATCACACCAAGGACCGCATACAGCCGCAAGCGCTAAATGCCGCATCCTCGCAGTCACAGATCCTGTGTGCACTTACCTAAGCTGTGTCTGCCGGGGCTGCGCAGTCGCTCGCGTGCTCCGAGTTGCCTGTGTGCTCCGAGTCGCCGTACTCGATGCCTTCTTAGCCGTTGCCGCCGTCTTCTTTGCGGTGCCTCGACTGCTCCCTGATTGACGAGATGTTGTGGCCCGCCCCTTGGTGGGTGCCTTGCTTGGGCTCCGACTTCGGTCCCCAGAAGCCATGCTCACGTCATCGTCCTCCTCCAGCTCCGACACATCAGACCCCATGTCAAACTGTCGAGTTAGCAGTGCTAGCGCCCGCCGAGCGAAGCAAAAGGTTTTCGGCGCGGCGAAGCCTGCTCAGGCGTCGAACTCACTAGCTTCTGGCGAGCTCGGCTGGCCGTCGCTCGCTTCGTCGAACCCTTCGTCGTCGACGTCGTCGCTGCGGCCTTACCCCTAGCTCCTCGTCCACCCCTTGGTGGCGGGACGTCCTCTTCCGACTCCTCGAGCCTAAAAGTAGAGTTAGCCCATCAACGATACCTGCCATGAAACGAGGTCGACGTACATGCTATCCTCAGCTTCGGCGAGTCAGCGAATATCTCGTTGTGGAGCAAAATGTGACTTACCCATGCTGTCAATGTCCGAGTCCGGCGCGGATTTCTTCTGTGCAATCAGCTCGAGATTCGTAGCTGTGCACCCACCTTCTTCCCCTTCGTCTTCGCAGATTTGTCAGGCACTGGGTTCTCTGTCCAGTGCTCGTGTGCCCTGGGTTTCAGCATTGCACGTGAAACGCGCAAACGGCGCAAAGAGACGACGCAGAGGTGGACTTACTGCTCCTTCGCGCGGGCCATCTGTGTGTCAGCTGGTGTAGTACAGACAGACTCACAAATTCTACCATGTCATCCTCGTCGTTGACTGCTGTCCCCTGCGCTGGGGCGTGCTTGCCAACCGTGCTCAAACTTTCGCGCACAAAGCTATCGTTAGTCGCAAGATGTCTGCTTTGCCCTACTCTTTGATTGCGTCCTTGTCGTCCTTATCCACAAAGCGCATCACAGCTTCCTCCAGGCCATCCTCAACCAGCAGGTCCAGGTTCTGCGCCTGAAGGTACTGCTTGACAAGCTTGGCCATTCGGATCTTGGCGAGGCGGTCGGTGGTCGTCATGGCGGCAGGATCTTCGTCTTCATCGTCCATAACAACATCATCAGGTCGATCAGGGTTGTTGATGATTTCTTTCAGTCAGCAGCGATCCAGACGCATGTCCCTCACTGCGTGTGGCAACCTTCCTCCGGTAGTACTGCAGAATATCGCGGGGGTTGGCCACTCGACCGATGAAGTCTTGTCCGAAGCGGACGGGGTTGGTCATCTCCTTGGCTCCAGTCGTCTCGACCTGGGTATGAGGAAGGGTGCGCGGGGGCTCTGACTCACCCGCAGTCGGATCAGCGGCAGCATCATCTCTTCCGTTTCTTCATCGTGCGTCTCCTTCCAAGCACGACGGGCTTTGGCAATAAGCTCCTCAACCTAACGTCAGCCAGTCATCTCGTTAGCCGAAATATACCTTCTCGCGCAGATATGCTGAGATCGTATCCTTGTCATCGAGCTTGATCTTGTTGCCATCGCGTTCTGCCTCCTCGCCAAGTTCAAGATCGTCAATCTCAAAGGGGCGCACGGTCTTCAGAGGTACCTCTGCAATCTGGAATTTGTCCCCCTGGATCGAGAGAATGCCGACATGCCTGTAGTAAGGGGATCACCATTGATGGAAACGTACTTTGGCAACGCCTCTCCATGAGCCAGACTGGTTGCCACAGAGCTACCTGGCTGTGAAATAAAGTAAGGCTTGCCTTCCACCTGCTCAGGCCAAATGCGACAGTCGTGTTCATGACCCCACAGAACGAGCTTGATCGAGTCATCAAACATCCCTTCGGGCACGGCCTGCTGAGGCCCATGCTTGACACTGTCGTTAGTTCTGCCGAGAAGGGTCTAGATGCACCGATTCTGGTGGATAAGAAGCAAATTGAACCAGTCTTCCGCTGCAATACCTCCGTCGCCATCCCTGGGCATGAACATCTTCACGCCATTTGACCGAAGCTGGTAATGGAAACGAATGTCCTTGATGTTGCCGACACCGTATAGACCAAGGTGAGTGGAGCCCTTGCGCAGGAGAACTGGACGAATGTTGACAGTATCGTTCTCAGTATTCGACTGGTTGTTCTGCCCTGATGGGAGATCCACCTTGCCAAAGTAGTTGAGGACGCCTGCTACGGATAGAACATCCAAGGCGCATAGAGCGCCTTCCTTGTCGTCAGCCATCGTCAGCCATGTGGGGAGTTCGAGTAAAGCTGGTGGACGTCTGACGACAAGGCGGGGCAGCCAACGGCAGCCGCTATAGGACGCCCCAACGCCCAGTTGGGAACCAGCAACAACCTTCATCACGCATCGCAACTCACCGGACCTGTCCCTTGTGGGTCATCGTGATTGCCATGGATGGAAAACACGGGGATGCCAACGTTGAGATTTGAGTCCTCATAGTTGACAGCTGGAAAGCTACCATGAGCGCCGTTGGTCATAAAAGCTCACTCATAGCCCGGCGCCGCGCCATCCATGGGATCGCTCAACAGCTCGAATGATACTGGCTTGTCGCCGAACGTGAACTGGCGGAGCAGAGCAATCGTCTGATGCAAACAAGTTCGGCTGGGGCGGTTTTCATGAAAGAGGTCACCGGCGAGAAGGATAAAGTCGACATCCTGGTCGCGTGCAAGTGTGAGGATCTCTCTGAACGTGTTCATGGCGTCCTGGCCACGAACTGGGTCCTTCTCGGCATAGCCCAGATGATTGTCGGTTGCGATCAAGATGCGGAAGCAGCTGTGGAGAGACAACAGATGAGGGGAATGTAGTGCAGTGTATAGGCAGGACGTGGGCGTGAGAGAAGGTGAGTGGTTCAAGGAATATGGGGAGTTGCATGATAGAGAGTTGAGAAGGGGGTCGATCGCGAGGAGAGAGCATCAGCATGGATGGCCGCGCAATACAGTGTTTGCTAGAGCTCACTTGTCGTCGTCTGGAGAGTTAGCTAGTCCTGCAAGAGGAAGACACAAAGTACAAAGACTAACCAGGTTGTGGAATGCTGGGAGGAGGCTCGGCAGCGCTGAAATGTCAACAAATGTCTAGCTGAGTGGACTATTCACCTGCCAGGTGGAGGATGTTGGGATCCATGGCCGTGGTATTCATCTGACACGCCGCACATTGTGGTTGTCAATGTCACGGGTGTGGTTGTTGAATGTTAGAGTTGGAGATGAGAGCAAGATGGGCACCGTTGACGCGACTGATCAGCTGATCGATCACCTTGGGACTCGAACGCGACAAGCAAGGTGGAGGTCGGTTGATCGGTTGACTGGTTGACTGGACACAGCTGGACAGGGACTGACGCGGGTAATTCTGATATTTACTTTGAGCAACGGATCGGATGGTGAGTGATAATGACTTGTGATTTTAGTGATTGGCTATGACACGTGGTAAAGTAATGTTGAGCCATGTTGGAGGGCCAAGTCCCATGACGTCACGGTATGATTTCGCAGGCGAGTGTAACCCTCAACCCTATATTTTTATTGAGCCTTGGATATTACGCCTGGATGGTTACTAAACAAGAGGGGGCGAGATTGTTTTTTTCCATGGCCTTTGAATGCGAGATTAGGCAGACGAAGGGAGGAGCCGGACGGCATGGGCGGCATTGGGCGGACGGAGAGAAGGAGACGGCGATCGGAGAGGCATCAGACGTAAACAATCACCGTCATCCCAGCGATCCTGCGATCCAGCGGCCAGCGGCCAGCGAGCGGCCCAGTCATGCCAGCCATGCCAACCATGCCAGCCAAGAGCGCAGCCCCGAAATGCTTGGCTTTCGTCCCGTGCATCCATCCCGTCCATCCACACGTCTTTCTCCCAACTTGGTCCATCTCCGGCCGCCGTTCCTCCCTCCAGGCCTCCAGCCACCTCGTATCCCATTCTCCCATGCTCCCACCCTCCCATCCTCCAACCACCTCTTCCTCTTTCCTCATTACCCATCATCCATCCTCCATCCTCCATCATCCATCATCCATCTACCCATCATCCGTTCTCCCATCACCCAGTAACCTATTGCACTGCTATTCCTCTCTCCATCATCCATCCCCCTCCTATCCGTCCCCAAGCCCGTCGCCGCGCCGAGCCACAAACATGTACGTTCACAACACCCACTTTCCTCTCACCCTCCCCCCACCTCCTCCGCCGCTGACTCCCTAGGGACACTACTGGCTTCCGCGGTGCACACCGCGCAGAGCATCTCAATCGCCAGGCGGCAGCAGAAGCGCGCGCTTCATACTATGCCCATCCGGCCCTCCATTTCCATACCTACATGGGCGAGGGAGAGCAATATGCTGACCCCGACCACCACGACATCCGTAATGTCCACCCAATGAACGCCCCCTTCCATCAGGTCAAGAAAGCTGCCGATGAGGCCAAAGCCATCGCAGCCGGAGCACCGACCACCAACGAGATTGCCGAGAAAACCGGCCTCAATGAGGGAAAGAAGGCCGAGGAAGGCGGCAAAGAGTACGCCGCCCCTCCGACCGCCCACGACCGTGGCGCCAGAGAACTTGGCGGCGAGGCTGGTGGCACACATACTTCCCCTGGGCCTCGCGCCGATGTTGTCCAGACCGCCATCATGGCTACCATGGGTAAGGCCCAAGGCGTTCAGGTAGACGGCGCCGTTCAGCTCCCCAACGACCACTTGAAAGGACAGCAGCCTCACTGGAGTGTGGAGCAGGTGATGGAGCCGCACCTCCAGCTGATGTACGTTGGACGGAAGGGAGTCGCATGAGATCTAACGCGTCACAGGTGTGGACCAATGTTGTCATATTACACGATCAAGGACGGCGTCTGGCATGGCGCAGCAATGGTCGTCACTGCCGATGAGTTCGTAACCTGATCTGTGCTCAAGACAAAGCTGACGTACACCAGAGGTTCTATTCTGGATCCCGCCCCTGTTCTCTCGCTGTCCTTCTTCCCGTACATTCCTCCTGCGTCCGGTCAGGCTCCTGAGGAGCAAGAGATCCTTCCTCGCCAGCGGATTCCCGCTCAACGGATCTTCAACTATGTCGACGATGACGGACCGTGCTCGTTCTGGCGCTTTATGATCCAGGTGCCGCTGCAGCGTTACGAGACGTCAGTTCGCTACCGCCTGAACGGTGGTGCTGAAATTCGTTTCTGTGTTCCGGCTTTGGGCCAGAACCTGCGTTGGAGCAGCCACTCGTGCAACGGTAAGTAAACGCCGGACAACTCTCAGAGCGAAGATCGTGCTCTGGGAGACCGCTCATGACGATGGGCACATCGCTTACTCTCAGGCTTCTCATCCGGCGTCAATCCCGACGACTTCAAGGGCAAGAACTTCTCATCTGGTTACGACCCGATGTGGGAGGACATGCTGGGGTACCACTATCAGCAAGCATACCACTGCATGGTGGGCGGCGGCGATCAGATCTACTGTGACGCCATCACTCGCGAGCCGGAGCTGCAGGGTGAGCCTATCGGTGATGGCGACTATCCTTTGCGTGATAGGTCCGGTGCTGACCGCCAGGATGGATCAACGCGCCAGACAAGGAGAGCAAGCAGAGCTACAAGCTCACTGATCAGATGAAGCATGCGATTGACCGGTTCTAGTGAGTGTAGCTCTCATTGCTCTTGGCAGCGACTAATGTAAGCTTCAACCACTACTGCAAGATCTTCCGCTCAAACGCGTTCGGTAGGGCCAACGCAACCATCCCCATGGTCAACATGCTGGACGACCACGACCTGATCGACGGCTTCGGAACGTATGCGGATGACACGATGAAGTCGCCCGTGTTCAACCACATCGGCTCACGTGGCTACTTCTGGTTTACCATCTTCCAACTGTTCATCAATGACGAGGTAGATGGCATCAACCACAAGACGTGGGGAACCCACCCCGCCCCTTCTGTGGTGATCGGCGGGCCTGGCACGTATGTCCCGTACCCGTCGCACCACCTTGGCGTCTACCTCGGTCCCAAGGTCTTCCTCCTCGCCGTTGATTGTCGTGCTGAGCGCACCCTGCACCAGATTGTCTCCCCGCCGACCTGGAATCAGCTTCTTAATCAATTAGTGGGCAGTCTGCCACGCGAGTTTGAGCACCTGGTGGTGCTTCTTGGTGTGCCCATCGCGTACCCACGCATGTCGTTCCTCGAGCACTTCCTTGGATTTAAGTACAACCCGCTCAATGCGCTCGCGAGACGCAACGCTCTGGGGATGGGCGGCCTCGTTAACAAATTCGACAAGGCGAGCGAGCTGCTTGATGACCTTAACGACCATTGGTGTGCGAACGTGCACAAGAAGGAGCGCAACTGGCTCGTGTTGGAATTGCAGCGCATCGCGCAGCAACAAAATCTGCGCGTCACTTTCCTGTCTGGTGACGTGCACCTGGCTGCTGTCGGCTGCCTCTTCACCAAGAAGCGGTTACGCAAGATCCAGCCTCGTCACGACCATCGCTACATGTTGAACGTCATTACATCGGCAATCGTCAACACGCCGCCCCCCGCTGGCGCTGCCAAGATGGTGTCCATTCTTTCTGGGCACAAACATCGCACGCTCCACAAGGACCACACGGACGAGAAGATGCTCAAGCTCTTTGAGAAGGACACGGATGGTTCGCCTCTCAAGCGCCCTTACGTGCTCGCGCGCCGCAACTACGCGTCGATCATTTATGACGAAAACAGCGGCGAGCTGAGCTTCGAGATTCGCGTTGAGAAGGCCCCCGGTGTGGGCGAGAGTGTGCCGTACAGGGTTGCCGCCCCGGCCCCGCGTTACGGTGCCAAGAGCGCAGAGCCGAGTGTGGTGGGCAGTCAGGGCGCCCCAAGCGTCACAGCGAACAGCTTTGTCATGCCCCCAAGTCAGCCAGTTTCGCCGGCCACCGCTACCGGCGGCGGCTTCGGTGGACCTCCATCCCTCAGCTCCGTGCCAGGCTCCATGAGACTTGGGCAGCCGGCTCACGTACAGCCGGGTCAAGCGCCGATGATGTCCCAGCAGCAAGGACCCATGGGCGCAACGCCGACGCATAACCAGTACGGCGCCGCTTCCGCTCCAGGGCAGTACAACTCTGTCCCGGGGCAAGGCTCTTACGGCGCGGCCCCCCAACAAGGGCAGTACGGCTCTGGGCAAATGCAAGGGCAGATGGGCAGCGTTGCCCAGCAGGGCCAGCCGGCCATGCCCACGCTGCAGGGCCAGACGTTCGGCGCATCGCAGAGCAACATGACGGCCGCACCGTTGCAGCCAAGCCAGATGCACGAGCCCAAGATGTACGCAGAGCCAATGAACGGTGGCCCACACGTCGGACAGTCGGATGGTGTTCAAGGCGGCTGGAACACTGCCCCCATGCATGCTGGTCACATGACGAACGCCCCCAGTCGCCCGCAATAAGGCAAGCAGCTCGCCACGCCACTGGATACCCACAACTCAAACCTACCCCCTTTCTAATCACGTACACGGCTGGGTTGCGCTTCCCGGCCACGCGGCAGGCAGTCTTCAGTACTGCAGGCGGACAATATTAGACAATTACCTGTTAGCCGCGCTGTAGCACCCTATGCAATTCATGCTCTACCTCCGATGCTCAAAGTACCTAGAGACGCGAGCGCTGCGTGCTGAGATGACGGAGCGCAATCTCCTTGGCCTCCTCTGCAATACCGAGATTAGCCTGGTATCCAGCGGGGCCAATGCCGTAGCAGTGAAGGACGGCAACGCGGCGCGCCTTGCTTTTGCCACCCTCGGGAGTGAGCACATCGGTGCCGAGAGTGCGCTCCTCGATCTCGAGACGAAGACCGCCCTCGCGCGCAGGCCGCAGACCGACGTTGTGGCTAACGACGTCAATGTCCTTCCAGCTCTTTCCCCCGTTGGCGAGCTCGGGGCAGATCTCGAACGCGGCCTTGAGGACCTGCTCAGCCGTGTCACGGTTCGGCAGCGTGCTGTACTCGCCCTTGATGTTGGTGCCGCCAACAATGACGCACCCGCCGCTGCCCGGCCTCGGAATGATGTACACAGCCTTGCCGGCGGGCATGTCGGCGTCGCGCACGCCGAAGCAGATGTCCACGTTGGGCGCGCGCACGAGCGCCGTCTGGCCGCGGTCGGGGAAGACGGCGGGGTCTTCCACGCCCAAGAGGCTTTTTGCGCCGAGCCCGGTCGCGTTGACGACAAGGTCGACGGGGCCGAAGTGCGCGAACGCCTCATCAAGCGAGGACACGCGCTTGCGCACAATGGGCACGCCACGCTCGCGCAGCCGCGACGCGAGGAGCGCGTTGTACCGGTGCGGGTTGAGGGTGTAGGACTCGAACGACACGCCCTCGGAGTACGGGCCGGGCACTTCGCTGCGCTCGAGGCGGCGGAACTGGTATCAGGTTCAAGCTCGCGATGGCTATGAGCCGACTCGACAGGACTCACGTTGAACACAACGTCCTTGTACCACGGGCTCGAGTATCCCTTGTCCTTGTTCCAGATGTACTTGAACTGACGGCGGGTGACGATCTCGGGGTGCGTCTTTGCGAGGCGGCCAAATACCTCGAATGTGTGCGTGTCGCGCTTCCGCTCCTTCTCGTTTGCGCCGAATGAGGACCAGTTGGCGCCCTGTAGACCAGTCGAAACGGATGGGTATAGAAGAGCATGGATTGCGCGCAAAGAGTAGATCGAGCGTTAGCTAACGGATGCGGTCTCGCCAGTCACCGACTTACGGCCCATGGCGAAGCAAAGGCCGCCGAGTCGACGTCCTCAGGAAGGTCGCGGGCAAGGATGGCGACACGGAGACCCGTTGCGGACAAAGCGTCGGCTGTGGCCAGGCCAAGGACTGCATGTCGAATTGGAGGAGGCGACACGGAGATGAGAGCGAGGCGCAAGAGTGATGGGACGCAGAGGTCAGTGGTGCGGAAATGGAGCAGCCGTCATGGAACGGAAGGTGTCAGCAAAGGATCGGCATGGACACTTCGCAAACACGTACCGCCAGCACCGAGCACGACGACGTCGTATGCGCTCTTCTCAGACTGTGGGAGTACCATGATGTAGTGTTAGACGACAACTTCTCCCCGCCCCTTCTGGGTTATCTCGGCCCCACTTGTCAGACATCGGTCTTCGCCTACCTCCACCAAGCCAACAGCCGTCCCCGAAACATCCGGTCGGGACTTGGCCCGCAGCCTTATCCGCACAATTTCGCCGTCACCGTCCATTGTCATTGCAGGAAAGCGGCTCTGTAGTCGGAGTTGCGCGTGCGTCTCGCCGCGCGACAGCCCTTGGGAACAAAAGCACATCTACCGCATCAGGGTTTGGGCCCATGTGAGCCATGTGGGTGCGGGGTACTCTAAGATTGTGCTCATTTGCTCCTGTCACTCGGGCACAGCCGGCTTTTGCCGGGCGGATGTGGCATCGTTGCAGCGGTCGAAACGGGTGGCATGAAAGTGTGGAAACCCATCTCTGCCATCTTGACCAGCAGTCTGCTGACCCTTGGTATAGAGATTGAGCCGCCAACAGATGGTGGGGGAACCCCTCTAAAAGTATTTACACCCTAGCGACGCATACTATACGTCTGGTAGTGGCAGTGCTCATTAGAGGTCCCGCACAAAGTTTCTCCAGACGACCTCACCGTACTATAACATGAGTCTCACAGGCATGAGTCTCACAGTCAGCCAGACGCAGATGAACATTGACGTTCTGCATTCGCTTTGGTCCCATCCAGGGTTGAGGTGGAAATGGAAGACACGAGTGACAAAACGTGCGTCTATGGTAGCATCGTATATTGTGGAGCGGTGACTGTGGAGCGATGGTGTGGAGGCGAACGTGGGGGTTTGGAAGTGTCAAGCTTGGGCTGAGAAGCGGAAGCGGAAGATATGGGGTATTCCTACTGTGGAAGGACCAGGAAGAAACACAGTGGCGCTGGCTGCGCCCCAAAAACAATGCCTCATGACACGACTTGAAGGATAATACATTGGGATCTGGCTGTTAGGGCGCGTGTTCGAGCTGGTCGCCGTCCTCGAGCCGGTCTCCAAAAGTACGAGAATAGTTCATTTCTCTTGACTTCAAACATCGAACGCAGATGGTACATGTCCGGAGAGGACTACGTTGTGGTAACGTTACAGCGGCAACCACCCGTCACCGCTGCAGAACAACAGCCTCCTTCCATTCCAGCAGCCTGGGCAAGCCAGAGTAGATGTACAAAGGGGGCCGTCTCTTCTCGAGACAGCCCGGAGAGTTATCCTCTCGATACTGGCAAAAATCTTTGTTAGTTCGCCAAACTGGATTTGGCTAGCTTACTGTTTCCATTGCGGCCTCGGTTATCGCCGTAGCAGACGCGGAGAGGAGCCTCACGGCTGCAGCAGGACCCCATAGTTGGCAGAGATTCGTATTAATTTAGAGACCGGCGATAAAACCGGTTGACGAAAGGGAAGATAACAGTGTGGCACGGTGTGAGCATGGCATACATCAACCTTTATATGGGGTACTCCGGAACGAGTGGCGTGGGTCCAGTTTGTAAGAGGCAATGAAAGGTGACACCGAGGGTGCATGAGTGTGCCGGGGTGCGTGGTAGCTTCTCCAGAAGCCGGATACGAAGTGATTTTTGCGTCTCATTCTAAACTGGATAACCTCGCCTCCGTCAAGCCTACGGAGAGGCGTACCAGAGACGCCGTCCTAAATCGAGGAAACGCTCACTCTGCTGTTCGCTCTCATCGGCAATCGATATTTGTCATGTATCCGACGCGAGTGCACTTCTCACTATCTCCACCTGAAACTGTTCACCACAGTAGTCCTCATTAACCTTCCGCTGACGTGGCGCCTCGGAGCGCCACCGTCGAGATGATTTCATACATCTTCGCTCGGATAGCCGTGCGGTAAGAGCATGTTCACATGGCCATCTCACGCAGACACCTCATACAAGGTCTAGCACACCCAAATACAAAAAGACGCGCCACCATATCAGGGGATCGCGCTACCACTGTTACGATGGAAGGGCTATCACGCTCCCCTCACCTTGGGGAAGCCGATGCCTGTCATCCCGCCGACAAATGTCACGGCTCCGGTGAAGACGAGCATGGCTCCATAGTTGGTCTTGTAGGCGCCAACTGCGCCTTTGAGCGAGCCCTGGCTCATCAAGGCCGTCGACAGCGGGCCCGAGACAAAGTTGCCGACTCCGCGAAGCATGATCATGAGGCTTGTGAGAAGCCCCGGAAGCGTGTGATCGTCCTTGGCGATGTGGTGGATCATCTTTCCCCAAGCCGAGGCGGAGCAAAGTGCGGTAAATCCCCAAACGACACAGAACGTCACCAACAGCCCGTTACTAGTGCCAAAGCCCCACAACAGCCATGCGGCCAGAGCGGCCGTCGCGCACGCGCACGCGACAACCACGCGCGGCTGGTACCTGTCGACGAGCCAGCCTGTGACGATGTTTCCGACGACGCTGCACGCGTACATGATGGCGACGAGGGAGTTGCCGTTCATCGCCCCGACCTCGGAGGCAAAGACGGGCATCCACAGCGAGGGCAGGAAGGACGCCATGGCCGACAGCAGCACCCAACCACCCATAATGTACACTGCGCGGTGGCGAAGGAAGTCATAGTCGAGCTTCGGCCACGCCGCGGGCTTTCCCCCCACACTGCGCCGCGAGGGGAGTGGGATGCGGCGCTTCACAAAGCACATGGCGACGGCGTTGGCGCCACCGAACATTCCTCCTAGCGTGTACATTGTGCCCCGGTACCCGATTTGCTTTAGGAGCGCCTCGCCCATGAGCGGGAACACAGTCCCGCCCACAGCTGCGCCCGCGCAGAGGATGCCGAAGGCCAGTCCCCGCCGCGCATGGAACCACTCGTAGAGGTATGTCGCACAAGGGAGCCACATCACTGGCGTCAGCTAGGTTGGAGATGAAACATCCACTTACACATCGACAAAGGGTAGAGGAAGCCCAGTGTAACGATCAGGTGCCATGCACGAGAAACAAACGCACTGCACACCAAGGCTGCTGTTCCAGCCGCGAGGCCCACGAGCTGGATATACACAGTGTGGTAGCTGAAGAAGGCGAGGACGGGGGCGAACAAGCCTGCCGCAACAAGCAGCAGTCCGTTCATCAGAGTCGCGGCCAGAGTGATCGTGCTTGTCTGTCCCGGGAACAGCTCGTGGACCCAGTACGCGTGTAGTACGCCCACACTGTAGGGGAGACCCCACACAATCGTCTCCATGACGGTGGCGGCGACGAGGAATGTCCATGCCTGTCGTCCCCCGTCAACGGGCGGAAGGGAGGCGAACACATCCGTGTCTGGGGCCGGAGTAGCAGGAATGGCGGGAAGTGATTCACTGTCTTCCACGCCGGAAGCGTCTCCGGAGGGCAGATCAACCTTTGTATCACGGCCGTGTGCGTGGGTGGGCAACGGCGAGACGGGGGAAAGGGTGTTGGCCAGCGGGAGAGGCGCGGTCCCATCCGTACTAGTGGTACAGATTCGTCGCAGGTCAGCGACATGAACGGCAGGCGGCTCTGCGATGGTGGCCGTGTCTGGGCGAGTGGAAGCGCGCGAGATAGTGCGCAGATGGATGTCTGAGTTCATGCCTGGGCGAGTAAGCAGAGGGAAGCTAGAGTAAGTGGTGATGAGATGGCCAGGCAACAGATAGTGGACGACAGCGTGAGAGGGAGGTCGTTTCTTCCACCAGGGTGGTGGGCGCTTGAGTGAGAGGTGGGCGTTTCGTCGCGAATTTACTGAGGCGACGAATGCCGATAGTTGCCGAGTCCTACTCGATTGACTATTTCCGAGGATGTTGCACCGAGGATGTTGCACCTTATTACTTGCGGTGCAACTCAAGCTCAGTTGATCAGGCAGTTGGACTAAAGTACTGGTATGGTCGAGGGCGGGGTGTCGAGGATGATCTGATGGGGATAGTGCCGTGCTTATGTACTCACGCCACCCCTCACGTCATCTCACGGGAATGAACTCGCCAGGGTGATGCATCCGTTTCCCGCGCTCAACTCTGGTGGCGTCTCGTCTCCTTGTCATGACTCATTCAGCAATGTCGCAACACAATTTGCCCAGAAGACATGCCACTGATTCTCACTTTGAAACCTTCGAGTCCCATGATCGCTCGCGCCTTTCTTCCCCCACCACTTTCAATCGCAACACTATACATGCAGAAACAGATCCTACAAACACTAACGGTATGTTCGCGCCGCCTCTCCTCACACTCCACCGCGGTGCATCAAACCTCCGTCGGGCGACGAATGTCGGTCGGGTCCTCCTCCACGTAGATTGTGTCGACCACGTAGTGGCCCCCGCCCACGTCGTGCATTTTAAACATGGTGGTAACATAATCGGCAACCTCAGCCTTGTTCATGAGGTCGGGGTCAAAGCGGCCAAAGGCAGCAGGTGTGTACGTCTTGGCTTGATAGTCGTTGATCTTGCCGTCATACAAGGCATCGGCGCAGCGGGCCATGAGCATGCGACAGAAGTCGCGCACATCGTGTTCCGATGCGGGAGGAGAGCGCCGCCCGGCCATGCTAAGCGTCGACGAAGCCATATCATAGACCTGGTGAATCATATCGTCGACGTGCTCCATCCACATCGACTTCTTGGCAAAGCGACGACGGTTGATCAAGCGATCGTGCCATTCGCCGCTGTTGCTGCAAAGCGCATCAGCCCTAGCTCGTCGCCTGGCTGGAACCCTACTCACATCTCATAGACCTTGTCAAAGCACGCCAGCTTGAACATTAGGGCGTCGATATCTCCAATGTCGCCGTCGGGCGATAAGGCAGCGGCAAGAAGGCGGCTGGCATTGCGTGCTGCCCAGTTTGTGCGCCCAACAAGGTTGGAGCTGTTGCCGAAGGGGACCGGCGGGAACGCGTTGTCAGTCCATGATGAACGCGGAAAGAGGTCACCGTCATCTTCGATCGAGGGTACGGACGTGTCGTACGAGTTGTTAGGCGAGTCGTAGTTGGAGCCCTGGGCCGCCTTGTTTGGTGACCTGGAGATATCAGAGACGGAGCTGTCCGGGACTGAGTCGGCGGTGATCCCGGGCGGGATACGAGGTATCGTGTGCGAAGCACTCATCTCTGCCTGTCGATTGAGCGCAGCTTTAAAAGGACGAGGTGAGTGAAGGTAGACGAAGGATGAAGAGCGATCACAACATTATGGCAGCGTTTTCCTGGGTTCGGCCAGTCGCGTCAACTCCGCATCAGCTACTCCCGCATTCCTGCAATCCCGCACCACACATCCACGCGTGCTTTCTATCACCCTCGTGGGTGAATTGTGTCAATTCATGTTATTCTATTGCTCGCCATCTCCCGCCTCCTCCCACTTAGCAATTGATGTGTCTTTTCAAACCTGCCATTCAAACCATACGCTCTGTAGCTCTCATTCTGCCGCAGCCAATGGCCGCCTTCCTCTCACATCTTGATTCTTTCGAGCCCCGGGACTGACAAAGAACGGCACGTGGTGGTTGAACTGCGTGTGGAGGCATGGATGAACAGAAACTTATTGACAAGCCATGTGAAAGGGCATGTTGTGAGAATGTGCAACTGCGTACGGACAGCACCGCTACCATGCTCCAGTGACTAATCAGGACTACCTCGGAGGGAGGGCGGCGGGATACGTGAAAAGATGGCAGCAATGTACGGATGTGTACAGAGTGCAGTGGTAGTGCAGTGGTCTCCGCTCTACAGCTCTGCGACCATCACCAGATTCATCTCGCCCTCCCTTTCCCCATCCGCCCCGCCGGAATCCGACATCAAGGCCGTCGCACTGGTCTTCCTCTCCAGGGCTACCAGCGCCGGCGACCCGATCCCCATGCTCGCCATGCGACCGCTCCTGGAAGCGGAATTGCGGCAGGTGACGCACTTGACCCGTCGTGTCCCGGAGCGGCCCCTTCCCCTTGAGGAACCCTCCCACATGTCATTTGGCGAGAATGACTCTGTTAGTGCCCTCATGATCTCTGAGGGCCGCACGGTCAAGTTACTCGCCGAGCACATGAGTAGTTGCAGCGACGTCACCCTTAGTCACGACGTTTCTGTAAGAGCACTGGCCCCGCCATCGCTGCATCCTTGTTCACAATCTGTTAGGCCAACTGTCGGAGTGTCAGATCTGTTTTCGGGGTTCCTCCAGACTAGAAAGCAGAGAGGACTACACTTACATGATGTTGAGGATGAAGAGAAAGAGCATGAATTTTGGCTCCGTACACATCCATCAATCTCAAGGTTTCAGAGCTAATACTACATGTAGCACATGTGCGTTTGCGTGGCGAGTCGTGTGGGCAGGCGGGTCGTGACACTATCCTTGATGTGCCTACAGCAGGTCTTAGCAGCGTGGGACGTATGAGAAAGTCCCGAAGATGGTGTGAGCCTGCTACCGCCGCGTTGGGATTGATTACACGCTCAGAAGGGGTTAATGCTCCCGCGCCCCGTTCCCCGATCTGTCACACTAGACCTTGATCTTCGGCTCTAGCCGCAGATCAAGCTTCCGCAGCTGGAGAGCGGTGGGGGTGAAAAGGCCGCGTCTGGTGCGTCCCTGGGTGGTAGTGTTATCTCCGCGCTGAATTCCAGGCGAAATATCCATTTCTCTGGCCATCGTGGATAATCGCCTGGCTCTAATTTTGCACGGCGCGCCTCTTGCAGGTACACATTCTAACCTCGAAATATTTTTCATCACGCTTTGCAGGCTCCTGTGATGACACACGGATCCTGTTAATTGCCACAGGCTTACTTCTTCGCGAGGAATTATCAACACCGGCAAACCGGGAACGTGAGTGATCGGTTGATACTGCGCACCCTCTAGCCGTTGAGATGGCGGGTCAAGCCTGCTGAAATGATTCAGCCGGAAGCCACTCGACGTGCTCCTAGTCTCGCGTGGGCTGTGGCGCTAGTGGTGGCACCAGGCGATGCGAGCACAACAGATCCGCTCAAACATGCCCTTGCCCGCATGCCATCGCTGAAGTGTTCCATCCCCGTATTCGAGTTCTTGGCCCGACAGGCGCTAGACATGCCCAGTGTTGTCCTTCAGTGAGTCGGGGCGACGTTGCGGACGTTGCCAATCGATAGTGAGAGTTGTTGACAGGTTGGTTACACCGCCTCTCTAGTCATTGGTGACAAATGACACGAGTAGCACACACAGTGCACAAGATGTCGCCCCCTGTGTCCGTTGCTGCTGTATGTCTCAGAACGTGACAACTAGCATCCCTGCGTTCTCTATCTAGTCCATGACAAACACGGTCTTGTTAATCTTCCCTTCGTTAAAGAGCTTGTAGTACTCGCCCGCCTCCTCGATCCCGACCTTGTGCTCGACAAAGCGCGTGAACAGCTCAATGTCGCGCTTGAGCACATCGAGCGCGAGCGGGAAGAACGTGCGCACCGAACAGCGGCCGAACTGCATCCGCACATTCTTCGAGTAGAGCGTGTCCCCGTCAATCTCAAACTTGAGGTTGTGCACGCCGACGCTTGACACCGCGCCGTATGGTCGCACGTACTCAAATGCGGCGTTGAGCGCCGCCCCATGCCCTACCACCTCGAGGACGGCGTCGGCTCCTCGGCCGTCCGTTGCGGCCAAGACGGCATCTTTGAGCTGTGCGGCCGGCAGGGCTATCGCGCCGTGCTTCTCAGCCGCGGACAGTCGCGCGGTGTTGAGGTCCGTAGCGTACACGGTCTCGAAGAGTGTCTTGGCGCTCGAGATGGCGCACAGCCCCACAGGCCCGCAGCCGATCACTACGGCGACCCCTGCCGGTTTGACCTTGCCGGCCTTGAGATCCGCGAGTGACCAAGGTGCGTCTGCGTCCTCGTCAAGCAGTCGTCGGGCGTTGTACGCGCACGAGTACCCGGTCGGCAAGATGTCGGTCATGAGGAGCGCCACGTCCTCTGGCAGGCCCTCGGGGAAGGGGAACAGCATGCTGTCTGCGAGAGGGAGGCGAAAGTACTCGGCCTGTCCACCGGTAAGACAGAAGTTTGAGGTGCACCGTGATGTGTAACCCTTGTCGCAGTAGAAGCAGCTCCCACACGACACGGAGAATGGCGAGATGACGTGATCTCCGACCTGGAACTGCTTGACCTCGGACCCGGCCTCGACAATCGTCCCGACAACCTCGTGGCCCATGACAAACGACCCGTCGTCGGCATCGCCGCGGTAGTAGTGGAGATCAGAGCCTGCAGACGGATGATCAGTACGTGTTCCGAGCTGACTGGCGACGCTGGAGTTTCGGTGCCTCGCGCCGACCACACTCACCGCAGAGGCCCGCGACGTGTACCTTGATAAGCACGTCCGTGTCGGCCTGGAGACGGGGGATGGGGACGTCCTCGACGGCGACGACGCCAGCGCGCTTGAGGACCACAGCCTTCATGGTCTTGGGGCGTGAGGAGATGGGGGCCATGTCGCGAGTGTCGAGCTGGTGATGGGGATTCGACACGTCGAGCTCGACAATGCGATAGACAAGTGGACACAAAGAGTGCCGGTTTGATTGAATGAAACGAGCCAAGGCTGCCCAAAGATCCATACATGTAGAGCCGGTTCACGTCGGCATGGGCCGAGGTGCGCTCGTGCGGCCGAGTCTACTGGCGCGAGAACAAAGAAATGGGCGATCCCTGAATATGTCGCCTCGTGTTCCTGGGCACGCGAGGCTGACGCTCAGGTAATCGGTGGGCGGGCACCTCAGCCATTATCAGCCACGCGCCTCCGGTGCCTGCGAGCTCCTCTTCCGAGGCCACCTCTTTACATGATGACAGGTATCCTCACGTCCTCACGACGTATATCTACAGTATGGGCCGAGGCTGTCTGTCGCCGGGTTCGTCAAGATGGCATATAACGCACGTGGGCATGCTAGCGGCCAGAGGGGGCAGTAAGCGCGAGTGCGGAATGGGCTACCCGCCGTGCGCTGCAGAGACCGGCCAGCATTGAATCTACGTGTACAGTTGCTTCGCGAGGCAGAACGACTAGGATGAAGAGGAGACGGGGATTCCTCTAGATTCCCCACGCAGCCAGCCTGCCGCAGGCCGCAGGCCGCAGAACTTTCGGAATCACAAGCACACTTGCCGCGGATCCTACCGCTGGAAACATGGGATCATTGTAGATACTTGGCGATACATTGCTGACATGCTACAGTAACGGAGGATCTGTTCCAGTCAGCGTGGCTCCAACACGAGAGGGAAAAGGTATCAGTTAGAGATATCTAGATTTAATCAATGCCGAAGCTAAGCAACAGCCTTCTAGAATGTTGGTCATCAGAGTGCGCCGCAGCGCGGGGCAGGAGAGACACTCACGAGGATATAGGACGGGCGATGGCCACTGTCCCGGCGAGCCAGCTACTGGCTTGTGCGGTCTGCGACAGCTGGCCAGCCCTTGGGAGCCATGTGTAAGTGTGAAGCGATGACAGAAGCAGAGTTCACTGCGCCGGGTCATGGCAGATTTTGGAGGGAGGAAGGAGCGGGAGCAATTCGTCTCGTTGATCAAGTGGAGGAGGCTGTTTCATGTGTGTGGCGCGACATCTGCAATCAGTAGTCCAGCATTCAAATACATAAATACAGCATTGCATGCGGATCGCAGAGTACTTCTGAGGCGCTGGTACCTCAGCCTCTACCTGTGTTCCCCCCGCTCTGAGCTAGCCCTGCACATCTGCATGCCGCAGCCATCCATACGTCCACACCATATCATAATATTCTTAGAGCTTTCACAGGAATACAGTTGACAATCTGATTATTATTGGCGCGACCCGTTGATCCCGTTGGGCATGGAGGAGGCCTCCTCGTCGTCATCCTCCTCCTCTTCAGCCATCTCACGGCTCTTCTTCAGCGCAAGCGCTGCCTCCTGTCCGTAGTGCATGGCGCGCTTCTTCTCAAAGTCGCGCTTGTGAGCGCGCGCCTCATCATCGAGCTTCTCGTCGTCACTGTCGGCGAACACATCGCTGGCGCCGCTCACGCTGTTCGCACGCTGGGCGTTTCCAGAAGTGTTGGCGTAGGTCGCACCAAGCGCCTCGGGAATCGTCTCGACATCATGCGCGTGCGAAGACTCCCCAGGTCGTACGGGATGCGCGCGATCCGGCAGCGAGAATGACGCCGAGCGAGAAGAAGACGATGATATCGACGGACGGCGCGCATTCGCCTCCGTGTTGTCTCGGGTCATTGAGCGGGTGGGACTGTTGGAGTAAGAAGGTCGTCTCCGGAAATACACGTGATATAAACACACCTTTGAGGAGCACCCTGCGACGAGGTGACCGAGGGAGGTGCTGCTGGGTGCGAAGCATCCAGAGGGTCGACTTCCAGATCGAGATCTGGCACCTCTGCCGCATCAGCTTGCAGATTCACCACAATGACTTACCTCCAATACCAAGAACAACATCGTTGACAGCGTCGTAGCGGACATATGGCGTCTTGGGCTCATCAATCTTCCTGGGAAGTTAGAGTGTGTGCCTTCAAGGCTGGGGGAAGGTGGAGCTGGCCAGTGGGGTGGGGTCAACAGCACCCCACCCAACGTCCCAAGCCAAATGCACTCACATCAACGAGTCCTTCTGAATCTCGGTCAGAGCAATGTTGGCCTCGTCCCACGACAGGCTGGGGTCAGCCTTGAATCAAGTCGAAAATCCCGCATGCGAACGCACTGTTCCTTGTCCTTTGGGTCAGTCGGGTTGCGGAGAGGGTTCTTGAGGATGCCTCGAGTGGGCGCCGGCCTGTCTGCGCTGTGGAGGTTCTCAGCCCCGCCTTGGATGGGGAACTCGGGGTCGACATCTGGGTTATTGGGGTCGCCGTAGGGCTGGTCCATGGCGAGCTGGGCGGTGGGGACTGGGGGCATGGCGAGGCCCGAGGGGTGGTCGTGGGTCTCGCTGTATGGTGGCTTGTCGCCGGACATGGCTGGGAGGTGGGAGACGGGGAAAGCTGAACGAGTGTTTAGTATAGTGCGAGCTTGTGAGAATGAAGAGAGACGAAGTGGTCGCGTATTGAGAGATCAGAGCGACGACGAGTGGCGGGAGCGCATCGAGCGCACGACTACGCCGGTGGCTTCGCGGTTCCCCCCCAAGGCCCCGTTGTGGCATGCCTTGTGACCGGTGATCGCCCGGCGATTCGCAACGTCATTCCGTTGCTCAAGATCTAGGCGCGCAAGACCGAAATAAGGATAGTTGTGCGAAAGGTTAGGGCGCCTAACTAGGTCTGTTCCCGCAGCGGAACTAAAGGTTCTAGCAGTTACCAGCAATGGCCAGTCGCGTCCTCTAATGCGATTAAACCCCTTGAACCCTTTGAGCCTCATCATCATAGACGCCGTGCCTGAAATCACCCGCCTGCCTTGCCTCCAGGCGACTGGCCCGCTGCTGACGTTGCACTTGCACGCCTCCACGTCGACGGCTCCAGTCCCCTCGCGCTCTCTTCCGCTCTCATCAATCATCTTGCCATCTCCTCACCCATCACTCTCTTTTCCATCTCTCCTCACACTCATCCCTCCTTCTCCATGCGCCCTCAAAACGTCGTCTCCGCAGCCGGCACCGGCGCCCTCATGCTCGCCGCCTCGGCCGTTGCCTCCGAGGTGGCTTTCACTGTAAGTCTACCCAGTGACTCACTCTGAGACTCTTGGGGGTGAGGCTAGCGAAACAATTGTGATGAGCCAAGCCAATTCTATCTATCCAAGTCTTACAAGTGTTTCATCTCGCGTTGTTTTCGGTCAGACCCACTGACAATTCAGCCCAGTCACGCCAAGGCGCCGTTCGTCGAGCAGTTCCTCGAGGCCCAGATTCCAGAGTCGCGCTGGACCGTGTCCCGCGCGACCAAGCAGACCCCCGTCGGCGATGAGACCATGTCCTACGTGGGCACCTGGGCGATCGAGGAGCCAGAGGTCTTTCCTGGCCTCAAGGGCGACATGGGTCTTGTTCTGAGTGAGTAACAAAAACATTCCCTCCGGTAGACATGACGACATGGCGCTGACCGTGCACAGAGTCCAAGGCGGCGCACCATGCCATTTCCACTCTCTTCCCCAAGCCCATCGACCCCAAGGGCAAGCCCCTTGTTGTCCAGTACGAGGTCAAGCTCCAGAAGGGCCTCGAGTGCGGCGGCGCCTACATCAAGCTCCTCACCGACTCGTCCGAGGGCGGCATGAAGGCTGGAGAGGAGTACACTGACAAGACGCCGTTCACCATCATGTTCGGTCCCGACCGCTGTGGTCAGACCAACAAGGTGCACTTCATCTTCCGCCACAAGAACCCCGTCACGGGCGAGTGGGAGGAGAAGCACTTCGCCAACCCCCCTCTTCCCAAGATTACCAAGACGACTGCCCTGTACACCCTCGTCGTCAACCCAGACAACACCTTCAAGATCCTCATCAACGACGAGGAGGTCTCCTCGGGTAACCTTCTCGAGGACTTCACCCCTCCTGTTAACCCGCCCGCCGAGATCGACGACCCCGAGGACAAGAAGCCCCAGGACTGGGTCGATGTCGAGCAGATCGAGGATGTCACGGCTACCAAGCCCGACGACTGGGACGAGGATGCGCCCATCATGATTGTCGACACGGACGCTGTCAAGCCCGACGACTGGCTTGAGAACGAGCCTCTTGAGATCGCCGACCCGGACGCTGAGAAGCCCGAGGAGTGGGATGACGAGGAGGACGGTGACTGGATCGGCCCCACTATCCCCAACCCCAAGTGCGCCGACATCTCGGGCTGTGGCCCATGGACTCAGCCCAAGATTCGCAACCCTGCTTACAAGGGCAAGTGGGTGCGCCCCATGATCGACAACCCGGACTACAAGGGACCATGGGCTCCTCGCAAGATCCCCAACCCCGCGTACTTTGAGGACAAGCGACCCGCTGACCTCACCCCTATCGGCGGTGTCGGCATCGAGCTCTGGACCATGACCGAGGACATCCTCTTCGACAACATCTACATCGGCCACGACGAGAAGGAGGCTAAGCAGTTCGCGAAGGAGACCTTCCACATTAAGCAGCCCCTGGAGAAGGAGGCCGAGGGCTCAATCGAGGAGGACGAGGAGGAGGCGCCCCTCACGTTTGCCGACAAGGCCCGCGTTCGCCTGTTCCAGTTCATCAATCTCGCGCAGATTGACCCCGTCGGCGCCCTCAAGGCCATGCCCGAGGTTCCCGGCGTCCTTATTGCTCTTGTCGCGGGTCTTGTTGGTCTCATCGCCACCCTTCTCGGTCTCACCTCGGCTGCCAAGGAGCCCACCAAGCCTGTTGTCACGAAGAAGGCGACCGTCAAGACTGCGCCCGCCCCCGTGGCCCCCGTGCCGCCCCAGGTCCAGGCTCAGGCCCAAATCGAGGAGATCAACGACGAAGACGTGACCGTGAAGAAGCGCACCACCCGTAGCAGCCAGGAGTAAAAGGCTTGCGCTAGTGTAGCAACAGCCTGCGAATATACGACGTGGTCTAGTAGAGATGCGTCGAGATGTATCTATGTCACTAAATGTGAGGATAGAGCATGAGATGGTATATCGCCCTGGGGACGTGTGGTGGTGGAGACTATCCATCGGCGGCATGAGGCGGCTGGTTGATACGCACGCTCGACGCTTCGGGAATCGATGGGCTCAGCTTTCTTGCGGCGCACGAAGCGGAAAGCAACAGGCTGCTTGATTCAATCTTGACCAGGCACAATAATCGCAAAATGTATTCGGGTGTAGCTCACGTGGTTAACGCCGAGGGGTTGGTCACGTGATATTGCAGAAGCCTCCGTCCCTGGCCAGGCTGGCCCAGTTTGGACGGTATCGACGCAGGTGGTCGTACTCAACCGTCAAGCAGCATCAAGTGAGTGGCGTGCAGCGCCTTCGACCGCCGAACCAAGTCCGCGAGCCGTCCACGTCGTCGACATTAAGGCAACATCTCTCGCGCGCGCGTGCGTCCTCAGCGGAGGGCGACGGGAACGTCGCATTGAGGACGGGGGGAAGATTTCTTCAGCCCACACCCCTCCCGACGCCGGCGTTCGCGCGTGAACATTCACCGGAACCTGCGCGTTGCGCTGCTTTCATGGTGTCGCTTGTGTTGCGCCTGCGCGCGAGAGAGAAGGGCGACGTGAAATACGGACGTGGAGGCTCGGATCGGCTGGCGCGAGAGAGAAGGAAGGATGGCGCCGCTAACCGCAGAAATGGCCCAGCGTGTTACCCTCCGCAAGCGCACGCCTTACAACACCACCTCCAACCGCAGGCGGGTTGTGAAGACCCCCGGTGGCAAGCTCGTTGTCCACCACATCAAGAAGCTTACTGTGAGCTCGAAACTCAGACTTTGAGCTAACGGCAGTCGGCGCCCAAGTGCGGTGACTGCGGCAACGCCCTTGCCGGCATCCCCGTCCTCCGCCCCCGCCAGTGTGAGTTGCGCGCGTCAGAGAGCGGAGTGGAGTGGTCCCTTTGGGGGGTGGATCAAAGGGGGTCTGGAGGAGGGTTGTTGTGCGCACACTGCACCAGCATGGAAAGCACGGAGGCACCCTCGACGCGAGCAAGCGCTAACGGTCAGACGCCACCCTCTCGAAGCGCCAGAAGTCGGTTTCGCGCGCGTACGGCGGCTCGGTCTGCGCTGGCTGCGTCAAGCAGCGCATCACCCGTGCCTTCCTCATCGAGGAGGCCACCATCGTCAAGCGCGTCCTCAAGGCCAAGGCCGCTGCCTCGAAGAAGTAGATTGCGTGCTCCGCAGACTAGGGCTGGGTACACGTGGCTTCGGGCGATGTATTGATTCCTCACGCACTGTGAGGCTGCGGACACGTAGGAGGGCAGGTTGAAGGAGGGAGGGAGGTGCGGTGTGCAGTGGGCAGTGGGCAGTGGGGGGAGCGACGCGCGGGGCAGGGCTATCGGCAGGTGCGGACAGCGAACGACTGCACTAATCGGTTGGCATGGCGGATAATGACCGCAAAGGTATGGCGTGCTATGCTGGTGCAGCTTGCCTCCATAATCGCACACGTGCAGGGGTACTCTTGTGTGCTGGTGTAGCTTTGCTCGCATTGTCGAGGAGCGAACGCGCGAGAGTGGGCGCTGCGGGCGCTGCGGTCATTCAGCGCGCAACCTCCCAGATGGAGCTGCGGGGCAGAGTCACGTGCAAGACGGAGGAACAACGGCGGCGATGGCACGCGACAACGACCTGTCGTTAGATCAACAACACATCTCACAATCATAAGGCATGCTTCTACCGCACGCGCCGCAGTCGCGATCGAGCAGCGAGGTCCCGATCAACTCGAGCCACTCACACTGGGCTCTCATCGACGATGCGTCCATGAAATGCGCATCCGCAGCCACAATAACCCTCTGACTGGTTTCTGTGGACAAGCTGCAGATTCCTACTCGTACTCACTCCCAGCCTCTTTCACTCACAAGGGTCAGGAAGATGGGAAGAGAACCCTTTGTAGCGGTTAACAATCGTTTGGACACGAAAGTTTGACGATGTGAACATGGTGAGTGCGATCTTCGAGTGTCGCCCTGTCCGGTGTGGGTGCCCGATACGCGCACCATGCATGCATGTATGACATGTATGAGCCACTCAGCTACTCAGCTCGAAGGATCCGAGTGTGGTGGAAGACAGGCTGGCGGCTGGCGGCATGGAGGCTGAGCGCGTTGATCCCACTCTGATCCGTGTCCTCCGGTCTCCGATCCTCCGGCCATCCTCCACAACACCCCCAGTCGCGTCGCCTTTCGTACCTTCCTTCCTCCTCTTCACGACTCCATCTCGCGTCCTCCCATCTATTCATTTACGCATCTCTCTCTCTCTCTCTCCATCTCTTTCTTTTTCTCTTTCTCTTCATCTCTCCCTTCCCCTACCTCCGTTTACTCTCTCCACGCAACGTCCTCCCACCACCAGCGCTCACCGTCCATCATCAACATCACTCATCACTCATCTTCACTCTCTTCTCCTCCTCTCCAGATACCCCTCACCACACTCATCTTCGCTCATCTATCTCACTCACCATCTCTCCCCCTTCTCCCCCTCTCTCCGTTCCCTTCGTACCCCCGCGTCCCCCCTCTTCCTTAGACTAACGAACCGCTCATCATCATCACGTATGAGAGACTTCCCCGCCAACTCCATCGAGGACCCCTTCCTTGGCACTGACCACGACCCCGCAGTACACGGCCATCGTGGCTCATCGCCCCAGCATACTAATCAACTCGACCTGCTCCATCCCACCCATGATATCCCCTTCGGCGCGTCTGGCGCTTTCGCCACTCCCGGTACTCCCGGCGCTTCCGGCGCCTCTGGCACCCAAGTTCACGCCGCATCTAACGCATGGGTATCAAAGTCATGGACCTTCGGCGAAACTCACGCGGCCGACACGCTGGTCAATCTCGCCAATCGGTCGTTACATAGCGACCATGTTGAGGACCAGCATCACCTGCAGACCACTATCTGCCCCGAAGTAGTGCGCCCGCGCATGACAAACGACACGTACAGCCTTTTCAACACCCCTCTGATGTACTCGTCCGGTTGTATCCCGCCAAGCCCTGCTGGTTTCACTTACGCCTACGACTCGAGCTTCTTTAATTACGAGAGACAGCCACACAACGACCTCTCCCGTTGTGCGTATGATCCTTACCAGCACGCGACCCACTCTGAGACCTCCACGCTTGACAGTCTTCCACCTTCCTCTCTGAGCTCTGCTCTTCCACTATCCGCAGAGTCGTGGCCCATAGACCCGGCTCTGGACCCGGTTACCCCTCGCTATTCTCCAAGTTCCAGCTGCTCCTCGACGTCCTCCGTAACTTGGGCAAGCACCCCCAAGTCGCCTTCCCTGCGTCACTGCCCCTCCCAATTCGCCCCGCAACCCCTCAAGTTCCAGGCCTTTCGTGCTGGCCTTGAAGACCCGACATCTCCAGCCGTATCTCAGCTGGAGCCCGTGCTTGACTGGCAGACCCCTCCGATGTGGACTGGTGAATTCAATGATCGCCGCGGGGGAATGATCGACATGGACAGCCCCTCGCAGGTGTATCACCAGTTGACTGACCCCCTCGATGAGCCAGACGACACTGACTTGGGAGTCGACCAAGATGAGGACTATATCGACAAGGGTGAAGACGAGGAACACCGGGGCGAAGGACGAGTGAGGGGTCCTCAAAAGCAAAATCATCGCAAGACTTTTAAGGTCGGACTCTGGGAGTGAGTCTAGTCGTGGGGATACAATAACTAAAACCAAGCGCCATGAATGACCCCGCCTTCCATCACCTCATTTGTTGGTCAGCCGATGGCACGAGCGGTGAGATTCCTGATAAGTTTAAAGTGAGTCACTTAGCGAGCGGAGATCTGACATCAGTTCCAGAATAGTCACGGTGTGCCCATTTCCACGGACACCGGACGGGGCTAATGTCCAGCAATGCGAGCCATCACCGATGCCAAGGACTTCGGAGGGTTTGTCCGCCAGCTTCACATGTTCGCACATTGGTAGGACAAACTGACTCCAGGTGGGGCTTCAAACGCTCCAGTGTCGACGGCCGGTTCGATCCCCCAGGGTCCTCAGCTGATCCTTAGGTCCTGCGCTTTCTATCACGAGAGTTTTCGCCGCGGCCGACTCGACCTTCTTGAGCAGATCAAGCGCAAGGGCGAGAGGAAGGTCGCTCGTGTGCCCGCTGTAAGAGTGATGGACAACTGGCCTCCCCCCTGACTCGCAGACTCGCAAGCCGCGCATCCGCCGTAAGAAGCCTGCTGCCTCGAGCTCCGACATGGCGCTCAAGGCCCTAGATCTCGCCCGTGATACATCACTCAAGTCCAAAGGCAACCCTCTCGCACGTAACCGCAAGGCCCATCGCACCGTGGCCGAAGAAAGTAAATCTGTAAGCAAGACTCGTCCCACTGGCGTGAACGAGCCGAACAACTGACCTCGTGGAATGGAAGCTCGCAAAAGAAGTCGATCGGCAACCGCCCCATCGCCGAGTCCGCCGATACTCAGAGTGGCACTCCTGTGACATTCGTCCTTCCGCGGCGCATGTTTCATCAGCAGAGCGCCGAGCGTGACTCGCCTGTTCTGACGTCTCGTACCCGCGCAGACTCCTTCAAGAACCTCACAACTGAAGGTAAGTTGTAATATCATACCCTCTAATGCAGCAGCCGGACTGGCCCTCGCCGCCCCGGTGCTATCGAAAGCGGCGGGGATGAGGAAAGGCATTCCGTCTGGCCCCCTCAAGCGCCGTGCCCCTCCTCCTCATTCGGATTCTCGCCCTGCCAAACCATCAAAGGTCGCTCGGGTGCGCCCCAACGGGGGCCGGGCTTGAAACCACAGTCGCCTCTCCTGGCTTTGGTTGGGGCACCAACTCGCCATCTTCAGAATCCCACATGCCCCACAGGTGTGTTGTTCGCTCCATCTCACTGCCTCCAATCCTACGCATGCCTCATCAACTTCATTTTCGTCCGAGTTCGTCATCGCCCGCGTATCATCATCGACTTTCCGCATTCTGTTGCGTCCGTACATTCTGTAGCCTCCTCAGCCCGTTACCTAGCATCGCCGATTCCCAACGGCTTCCCGCCGTGTGACATGTACGCACTCATCAATAAGGTGATATACCCCGTACTGGATGTCGCTTCATGCGAGATCTATGCCTGTGGTGCTGTGGTGTGCGCTACGAGAGCGCTGGGTTCTAGTGTCTACTATGTTGTTACGGCAAGCTTACGGGCTCTGCGTTGAACGAGCCCATCATGACGGCACCGTCCGTGTCCATCGTGAGCGCGTTGAGGCGGACCTCGGCGAGGGCGAAGCGAGGGAAAGGGGTGAGAATGCCAGCACTTGGTGACGCCGGTCGCTGATGTACGGACACGACAGTGCCGAAGTGAGACAAGGCGCCGATCGAGTCGATGTCGCGAATGGCGTAGAAGGCTATCCTGTGACCATCGGCTGGTGGAGGTAATGGGGCTTCGCGCGAGAGGAGGACAAAACGAGTAAAGTTGTCTGTTGTCAGATCACGCTTGATCATATTACTACACTCACTCTTAACGCCTTGTACGCCGCTTGCCAGTACATTGACTCGGCTGCCCTCGCGCTCGACAGCCGCTCGCGAACAGATTGCTGCTCCGCGCTTATCTCCCTGTGCAAGAACGCTAGCCAACGCGCCCGCGGTCGAGGGCCAGCGCACACGCTCGACATGGGGGAGGTGCTCGTCAATCCATGCACTACACTGCCCCAGGGCCTGTTCATGAGATCGGATATACTGGATATCCTCGAGACGCGCTCCGCGCAGCCCAACGAGCTGGTGGCTGATCGGAAGCGTCGTGTCTGCCACGACGTGGGGCTGTGATGGGATGGGAGGGGGTGGTGAGCCGAGGCACCCCAAAGAGGTCGGAGTTGGGAGGGCATCAGGGCCTGGCGGGTAGAGGTACTCGATGGATGGAAAGGTATCGTCGGCGAGCGGAGAGAGGAGGGCATCGACTGACTCGAGGACGGCGCCTTGCAACGTGTTCTCGAGCGGGATGACGGCGTAGTCTGTCGTCTTGGAGGCCTCGTAGACAGCTACGGTCAGCCTGTAAACAACTCGTGGCGCTATACTCACCTCCGATCGTCTCGCACGGTCGCAGGTGGATCTCCCCGCCCAGACGTCGGACAAAGTGGTTGGCGGCCTGCTCGCCATAGGTGCCCGCGGGACCCAGATATGCCATGGTGCGGGTCATGGCGCGCAGGACCATTGAGGTGAACAGGGGATAGGAAGGATAGCGTGCACTGGAGGAGGAGGTTGGCGGCGATGGACCGGAAGTGTTTGTCCGGCCCGGCTGAGCGGCTGAGTCGGTGCCGGGCAAGTGGAGGCCACGAGACAAACCCCTGAGTGGCTGAGGCCAACAAGTGGGGCAGGAACGGAAGCAACAACTTCAAATGCCACCGGGAAAACGCCGACGGAGTTTTCGTTTGATAGCTCCCGTGCCAAACCCTCACAATGCGCCATCCAAAGGTCTTCTCTACATCAACTAGGTGAGCACGACGGCCGGCAAAGACGAGCGCGCAGCAGCTGATCCCAGTCAAAATGGGTAAGGTCCACGGCTCTCTCGCGCGTGCCGGCAAGGTCAAGTCGCAGGTGAATATCGCTTCGGATCGCGCGGGCGCTGGGAGAGAAAGGGAGGACGAGTCACGGGTGGCGGGAGACCGAGGGACATGCGAGCACCGGTCTGCTGCTTCAGCTTGTCGGGCACTCGTGCGCGGGTGCGCAGCGTAATGCGCGCGCGGACGCGGGTACGAATGATGAGGAGAGAGGAGGGACGAGGGAAGAGGGACAGGCCGAAGATGCTTGGTGGCGAGAATTGCGCTGACTCCCAGACTCCTAAGGTCGAGAAGCAGGAGAAGAAGAAGTCGCCCAAGGGCCGCGCTAGTGAGTAGCCCGCGAGCAGATACGACATCGAGCATTGCAAGACGGCTGGCGAACGTTGAAGCGATGGGCAAGGACACGGGCAGTGCGCACGCCGTACGGTCGGGGCTTTGGCTGGAGGCAAATGATCGTGGGCCTGCGCGCGCACACCATTGTCCTTACTCGAACCCTCCGCGCGTTGTGGCGCGAGTCACCTTGACAGCCTTGGGTGGTCGAGATCTGCGCAACTGCCATCGCTATGCCTTTTGCCCGCAACCTGCGGCCCTTGCATTTGCTCCTCGTCCACACTCTACGCAGACCCACTAACCCCACAGAGAAGCGCGCCCAGTACACCCGCCGCTTCGTCAACGTCACCCTCACCCCCGGCGGCAAGCGCTCCATGTAAGTGTCGACCCCAACAACCTTTTCCGGATGATCCAAAAATCAAGCATAGTTCAATCAGACCTATCATGATCGACACACTTCCATCTAGTCTTTCGCTCCTATCTGAACCTCTCCTTCTCTCCGCGCACGATTGAGCAAAACGCTGACGCGCCAGGAACCAGCAGCCCGCGGGCAAGTCGGGTTAATCGCAACTCGACACATACATGTAGACGGCGAGCTTGTACGGTGATGGAGATCCTGCATCAATACAATGGCGGGCCGCATGTCGGTGGCGCGTGCAGGCACGCGTCTGCAGTGGGATGCGACCGAGATCATCGAGCATCGCGGGCGCCTTATGCCTGGATGTTCTCAGGTATCACCCACTCACGTGGCTCGTCCTTTCCTCCCTCTCAGCACTGTGGTTGGCGATCGAGCAAGTCATCCATGCCTTATCTAATTAACCTGGTTCCTACTGATATACATTGACAGGACGTTCTTTTACACATGACGAAGTCTACGAAGCGGCACGCGACACTCTAGCTCGCAGCGCCTGTTTGAGTCGCTGGGAAGCCCGCACCGTCGCCTCGCTGGCGCGGGGCGTGCCTTCACTGGGGCTGTCGCCGTCTAGCTGGCTGAACCGCTTGTGCTGCGCGGCGGCAGCCGCAGCCGCGGCCTGTGCTGCCTCGGCAGCCGCGCTGTCCTTGACAATCTCCTGCCACTTGACCATCTCAGCGCCCCGGTCGAACTCGCGCCCAAGCGCAAGACTGTAGGCGCTGTCGTTGTAGCGACGGTACAACTCGCCGTCCGTGGCGCACCGCGCCTCCTCGTCGGTGCCGTATCCTGAGTCATACATGGGCTCGACGCCGCGGATCGCGCAAGCGCTCTTGACACGTGGCCGCGGTGGCAGTTCGGCAATGTACCGCCCGTAGCTCGGATGTTGCCGGCTTTCGTGATAGGGGCGGGGATATGGCTCGTAGTCGGGGTCGTCGTCGTCCGCGAGCACGACCTCGTCCTCCAACAGCTCGGCGCGGCGCGCCAGCGAGTTGCTGTCGCTTGCGTACCCCCGCTCGACGCTGTCGGCGTATCGCGTCGACGCCGATGGTTCGGTGTATACTTCGGCAGGGGTTTCGTCGTAGCTTGTGGGCGAGCGGAATGTCCAGCCTTTGAACGCGAGTCTGCGTTAATTGGTTCTCTCAGCGCGCTTACTGTTTGCGGATGGCCATGACTTGGGGCCCGAATGCGGCGTCGCCCAGGAGTGGGTCGCGCATGTCGAGCGCCGAGTTGGCTGGCGCAAGCGGCTCATCGGGAATGTCATCGTCAAAGTGCTGCGTGTCATCAGGCGCCTCGAGATTGGGCTGGTATGGTGGGAGCTGCTCGTGCAGCGTCTGCCAATCCATGCCAAAGAACCAGGGGTGATTCATGAGCTGCTCCACGCCGTCGCTTCCCAGTGGCGGATCGTCCAGGAGTGGCACTGCTGAAAATGACCCGCGCCGCTTGGACTGAGAAATGTACCCAAGCCGGTCCTCTGGCTCGCACAGCAGCTTCTTGATAAAGTCCATAGCTAAGACCGACGCGCGCGGTGACCTGGGAAACTTGAGATTTTGCTTCCAGTCGAGAATCTTTTGGCGCGCCGCTTCCCGCGAGTTGCCCATAAAGGGAACTGACCCGTACAATGCTTCGTACACTGGAATTAGCAGCGCTAAGCTTCTTTCTTGGCGCTTCCTCGAGCATTACGTACCGATGATACCCAAGCCCCACCAGTCCGCCCCAAACCCGTAGCCCGCACCGCGTATCACTTCTGGGGCCATGTACGAGTTGGTTCCGCAGATCGTGTAGGCCATGCGACGGCGCTGCTTGCGCCAACTCATGAGCTTGGGCTTCTCGGCCCATCCTGGTGGCGCATTTGGTGCGAGCTCGAGCCGCCTCCGGCGATTCCCGAAGGCAGGTCGTGAAAGCGGCACGCCATGGCGTTTGAGGACAGCACGCCGCTGGTGCTCGTAGTAGCTCGAGTCGTGCGACCAGTGGAGGTCGGTGGCAAGACCAAAGTCGGCAACACGTATGTGACCCTGGTGGGTGAACAGAAAGTTGTCCGGCTTGACGTCTCGGTGGATGTAGCCGAGCTTGTGGACCTGATGGAGCGCAAGGATCATCTCGGCGGCGTAGAATCTCATCTCGTCCTCAGGAAGACACCCGCGCGCCATGAGGAGCGTCAACAGATCGCCGCCGCCCATGTACTCGAGCACCAGGAAGAGGTGATCCCGGTCTTGGAAAGCGCAGTGAAGCGAGGGTATCCAGCGTACACCGCGCATGTTTGTTGCAGTGCGCAGCAAGTCTTTCTCAGCGCAAACATGGCCCTCCTGGCCCATGCGGAGGAGGCTGGCGTGAGTTTGTCGTCTCGCAAGGCAGGACTCACTCTGTTTTGCGCAGCTGCTTGATTGCCACTATCCTATTCCGCCGCACCTCGTTGGCAATGTAGACGACGCCAAATGCGCCCTGCCCGATAACACGGCCAACCTCGAAGCCTTCAAAGTCAACTTTGGCACGCTTGGCGCGGAGTGGTCTGGGGCGCACGCCGCGTGACAGAGCATCGTAGTATTGCTCAAAGTATAGTGCGCTCCCAGCGGCCCACTCGAGTGTGGCTAATGTAGGGCGTTGCCGCTCGACACGAAATGAGGTGCGCCTGGGCGTGATTGGGGGTGTAGGGAGGGCGTCGTCGAGCGTATAAGACACCTTGTTGAGCACTTTTGGGCGGCGCTTGACTGTGCCCGTGTTGGCCGGGGTGGATTCGAGCGACGAGGCGGCCGTTTCTGCGGGCGAGACCAGAGTAGGGGTGGTGTGGGTCGATGGGAGAGTGGCCGACTCGGGTGACGACGGCGGTGCCACTTGCGTTATGTGGGGCGGTGCTTGGATCAAGTGGTCAGTGGGGACACCAGACCGCGCATAGATCGCGACATGCTTGTCGGGAGGTGGCTCGGCGAACATGAGCTGGGGAGGACCGACACACATGTTGTCACTGATCTTTGGGGGCATGATGAGGCCGAGCAGCCAGCGCTGCCACGGACGCTCCGTGGTCATTGTGGCGGCGGGGGTGGGGCTGGGGCTGGGGCTTGGTGGTCGAGGTAGGGGAGGCAACGATAGGAGATGAGGTGGGAGACAGGCGTAGTGTGCAAGGAGGCGGGGGCGCGGCTGATAGTTGACAGGTGATGTATGCGTGTGTGAACGACACGGCGCGCGCGCGCTGCGACAGGAGTTGGTGTTCAAGTTCAAGACACGTTAAGCAGGGCTGTATTGGAGGGGCGAGTGAGACGGGCTTGAGCAGGCAATGCGGCCTGTGATGATCGCGGCGGGTGACGGGGGGAGCGAGAGACGCCGCCGCCGCCGGGTTCACGATCAGGAGAGGGCGTTGGAGAAATGAAGCCTGAGGGCTCGAGCTCGAGGCCCAGGCCAGAGGACGATGGTAGAGGAGGATGAGGGTGATGGCGATGATGAGAGCAAGAAAGAGCAAGAGAGCAAGAGAGAGAGAGAGACAGCAAGAGTGCATGAGCAACAAGAGCGAGGAGGATGACACTCCCCTTGGCGGTCTCAGAGCTTTGACGGAATACAATCACTCTGGGCGATCAGTGCTCAACTCGACGCCACTCTCTTCATTTCCGCCCCTTTCCGCTCCACCCCTTGCATTTTTCCCTCCTGACACACTTCTTGCATGCATTCCGCCCACTGTCTCTCTCTCTCTCTCTCTCATCTCCAGCTGTCTCTCGCTGCTGCTATGGGCTCGTTCTTAAACCTTGCTTGGCCATGACAGCAATAGACAGCGCACGCTCCTCATGGCCCCTTGCAGTCATACCGCATCCTGCAAGCCATCAATTCACCACCCTAGACTGATTACTTACATATGGCCTTGCTGATTAGTTCTGTCTGTCGCTGCCCCGAGCCAGGCGAGTTGCTGAACATACCACTCACAGACTAACAAGGCAGATCACGCCCAACATCCAGTTGACTGACAATGGGATCGCAACTGCATCCCCCCCAAATCACCTACCATCGGCTAACATCGCACAACCCACTCTCTACTTCTCCCGACAAGCTACAACTCTATGTTACACAGTAGTGTCTATACCTGAACCACAAAGCCATTGTTCAACGCATCGACGGCGTGTTTCACAACCCAACTCGGACCCCCTCCCCTCCCCCTACATGCGCAAGATATCTCGCGCAGTTTTGCCCTGAGTGTGGTGCCGAGCAATACGCATGTCGCCAGAGCGCGCCACGCCCCCATCAAGCATAAACTCTTCGGCCTCGAGTGTAAGGCGCCGCTCTAGCCCACGGTGCACATTCATGAGCGGTGTGTTTCCGCTGCTGGCCGTGGGGCGGAGCGTGTCGGGCGAGCTGATGGCGAGGAGCACGTGCGCCGCGTCTTCCGTGTTCATTTCTCCCCGCTTCTCCGGTGGGCTGAGCCTGCGAGGTCCAGTGAGTGGCGAGGGGAGTGCGCCGTCAAAGAGTGCAATGTTCTGCAAAGGGGCGAGAAACGGCGACGGCTCGGCTGGGCCCGTCGCGCTGCTTGCCGTGCTCGTGTTGCTCGGATATGAAAGGAACGGCGAGGTGGGACTCGGGGTCGGAAACGGCAAGTAAATGTCACGCGGTGGGGCTCGTGATGTCGAGGTCTGTGTGCGCGGAGGCTGCGTACTCGAGAGCAGGCTCGATATGCTCGGCGGGTGCGGCGACGCTGTCGAGTGCGACCCCGACGTGCGAGTCTGCGAGCTGTGCGACTCGTCAGAGCGCGAGCGAGACGCCAATGTCAACGGAGGGGGAAGATTCGCCTCGTCTTCGGTCTCGTTGGGGTCCGCAGCAGTGCGCAGTGGTGGTGTCATGGACGGCGATGGCGGTGATGACGAGGGCTTCACCGGCGAAGGACGCCACGCTCGGTGAGGCCTATCGTGCGGAACACGGCGGTACTCCTCTACTCGCTCGCGAGGGCTGTCCACATCCATGCTCGACTCCTCAGTGGTGGTCGAGTGGCGGCGCCGCTTAGTCGCCGAGGCGGCTTCGGCATCGGCCTCAAGGTCGGCGATGCGACGCTTAAGCTCGCGCATATGCTCGACCGTACGTTCCAAGACCTGCCGTTAGCCTCGAGGTCTACTGCTGCCACTTCTATGGCTTGCTGCATCCGCCTGCGGCAGCGGCCAACTGCCCACGTGTGCCTCATTGTGACTCACCTCGAGCTTGAACTCGCCGCCCTTTCCGCCATTCTCCTCCCCAAGACCCGGCACCATGCCTCGCAGATCGGCGAGGGCGGCATTGATCTTTTCACGGCGTCGCCGCTCGATCAGTGAATGGTTGGCCTTGCGTAGCTGCTCGCGCGACATGGGGCGGCCGTTGGGCCCCAACTGGTGGCCAGGCGGGAGCTTTGATGAGGGGCCAGCTGCTTTGCGAGGCTTGGTCACCGGGTCATACTCGCTGTCACCCGACGAGTTCGGGCTCACGCTACGATTGCGCTTGCGCGGGAGGGGCGGTGGTGGCATTGCAGAGGAGCAGGCGGCAAAGTGGTCTGCGTTCCGTGCTCGAGTGGGATCGTACACGTGACGATAGGTGGGTGGAAGCGGCAGGTTGGAGGCGAAGGATGACTGCGATGGATGGAGGGCACTGCGAGATGTAGATGAGACGGAGTGTGACGGCGGGAATCTCGAGTATGTATCGTGTAGATGATGCAACGAGGGAAGGACCGTCGCCATCGTGTCTCGTGGGCTGCTGTCAAGCAGCAGTGGTAGTCTGGTCGTGTGAGAGTGGTGGGTGTGACCCGAGTTTCCGTGGGACAAGGTCGAACGTGCGTCGTGTGCTGGAACGCACGAGGGTGGGTCAGACGACCCAGCCAGTCGCGCGAATGTGCGCCTTGGGTCGTTTGCGCGCTCCAGTTTGTCAGGTCCTCGGCTTGGCCGTGGCCTCTTTGGAATGATGAAGACGGAGCACAAACGTTGATGCTGCAAGTCACGGGAACAAGGATGATGGGGAGGTAACAGTGATATGGAGGGAGAGGGGGGGGGAGGATGGATATACGCCTAGTCAATGAAGAAGTAGTGGGTGGAGAAGGGAAAAGCACAAGCACAGCATAACTCTGGAGGGAACATGGCGCTGGCCTTGAAAGACCCGCGAGGTCACGAAGCCGCAAGGCCGCAAGACCGTGATGCCACGATGCCGCAAGACAAGGCAAGGCAAGGCAAGGCCAGACATGTCACACGCACGATCGCGAGCTCGCGAGACCATTGAGCGATTCAAGGCCACCCAAGACAGACCCAAAGATGACCCAAGATCTCAGGTACTGGGGGATTGAGGGCAGACGAGGCTAGGCAGTTGCGCCGACGAACCCGAGACATGAACCAAACACGGGTTGTGGCTTGGCGGCGAACACCGGAAGCTGGGCGTGCGATGCGAGTCGTCGAGTCTGCATCTACTGCACTCTACAGGAGAGCTCTAGGATGCACGGGGAGGTCTTGCGAGGTCTGACGAGGCCTCGCGGGAGACAAGCGAGAGGCGCGAGAGGCGTCGCGTGATTTGAATCGACCACTCATGTCGGCGCGATTTTCCACAAACAACGCACGTTCGTTATGGATTTGCGTCATATTCGCAGATTCGGCAACCACGTGCCTCATTTCTCTCCATTCAAACTCCCAGTTCCGCTTCCGCATCCCTCGTTAACATACAATCCGCGCAGACCTCGGTCCTCGAGATACTCTCCCAAGTCGGTCCAAGTCGGTTTCTCTTGGGCTGGCCTGCAGACAGTCATGCTGAACGGCATGCATCCCAACGTGCTCGACTAATGCCTGAGTGCCCATGCAGTCCATATTCGCTTACCCGAACATTGTCCCGTCCCGGCCGCCTGGCGACCACTTGGTGCAGCCGTTCTCGGGCTTGAGACCTGTTTCTGTTTCTGTTTGCATCCGAAGCGGTCTACATCTCCAATGTCGGCCGCCCCGAGTCGTGTGACGGATCCGAAAGGCGTGATGGGGCCGCGGCATGTGAATGAGATTGCAGATGGAGAGGAGACGCGCGACTCGCAAGGCGCACCCCCGAGCATCACTCCAGCAACTCCAGGCCCGACAATCATGCGCGGATTGTGGAGCCCGCGGATTGCAAGATCTACGGAATCTGCACAAGCTGAGCAGCTGAGTAGCTTGAGTAGCCAAGCAACTGGGCGGCTGAGCAGGCACCAATTCATATCCGCTCAGCAGTGCTGACAATACGCATGCATAAACGAGAACAGAGACATGTGCAACGCCACATGATGAGTAGCTGCCTGGAGCGGCTGACGGCGTTTGGACCGTCATTCCACGCTCGGCATACGACTCCTTCTTCATCATTCATCACAGATAGCGGGCTTGTCCATGTTCGGTCACAAGCCTTTCTCCGCCGTTAATCCGAAACTTACTGCCTCTTCGTCATTGCTCACTCATATCGCGCTACGGGGACGCTCAATGTTGGCGAGGCTAACCGCGGCTCGGTGACAGTGTGCAGCGGCGATGGTTTCAACACCGTGTTGCGTTACGGGTCGCATGACTTCGACTACCACGGCTCTCAGGCTCAGCTTCGGGCCCGACTCGTAGATATCGGGACAAGCCGATCTTCGGCATGTCCAGCATGGTCATGCCTGACCCGTGGCCAGTAGGTCACACGACGGCAATTGCTCGTGGTGCCGCGGCTAAGTGAGGTATCGCGTGCGTGGTCTGGTCAAATTGCCAAAGGCGCCGTGAGTACTGGTAGTTCCAAACGCCGTCCAAGCCGATGGGTTCAAGTGTGGTGAGAACCAGCTTACAGCTTCGCAGGCTGCAACGAAAGGATAGCGATGCGATTATACATGTTATGAGGCAGTATGGGAGTGTGGAATGAGGCCAATGAGCTGTGCTAGCCGCATCTGTTGCGGGGAGAGCGGTCCCAGCCCCTGCGTGTGCTGCTGCTGCGCCTGCTGGGCAAACTGCTGGCAGTGTTGTGCGTGCTGGCCCCCCGACGCAGCTTGGTGTCTTAACAGCGACTGTCTATATTGTTCCGTCCACCCAGGCCATTGCTGGAGCAGACGGATTTTCAGCTCTGCAGGGATCTTGGCGTCGATGATGAGCTTGGGGCTGAGGCCGGCCGCCTCGAGCTGGGCCTTCGTCGGGATCTTAGCGTTGGTCTGGGTTGTCGCCAGGCTCGCATTAGGATTCGCGTTCGGGGCCGCTCGCATGAACGCGGTAGCGGAGGTGCTTACTGAGGCCGCCTGTTGCTGGGTAGTCGACGAGTTGCCGTGCGGAAGCGTACTGAGGACGCTGGTTCCACCGTTGCTCGCTTGACGCTGCATCGAGTGGACGCTGTTTCCACCATTGCTCCCTTGACGCTGCATAGACGCTTGCAGCAGCTGCTGTTGCTGTTGCTGCTGCTGTTGGTGCTGCTGCTGTTGTTGCTGAAACTGCTGTTGTTGCCCTTGCTGAAGTTGCGGGTGCGCCAGTGCAGTGGTTTGGCCCTCGGTGTGCGATGTCTGTTGCTGAGTGCCATGCTGCCCCTGCACCTGGGCCAGCTGCTGGGACCACTGCTTGTCGGGCAACGCGTGCTGTTGCATGTGCTGCTTCTCCAGAGCTTGCGAGGCGATCTGCTGCGCGCGCACGTCGCTCCCATCACTGATACGCTGCGCTAATCCGAGAGCCTGCGTCAGCGCTTCCCATCGGTGTCTCTTACAGGTGGTTCATTGGCGTTGGCGCCGCTTAGGCGGTGCAGTAACGGTACCGGAGGCGATTGGGCTAATGTGGGTGGCGGCGCGCTCTGGCTCACCTGGGGGCGCGATGGTATCGGTGACTTGGCCGCTGCCGCCCGAATTTCTTGCGCCAAAACCGCGGGCACCGCACGCACTATGTGGGCCTCGAGTCTGGCCTCCATCGCCGCTTCAGCGCCCGCCATCATCTCCTTCCACTTGGTGGTGAGCAGATTCTGCACCGCAGTCTGGATGTGCCCTCGCTCCGCTTGAATCATGGCTGCTACGTCCACCTTGGACAACGCGTCGACGCGCAGTTGCAGGCCGGCAAACTGCGCGGACAAGTCGCGGAGCGTCTTCCAGATTGCGTTCAGTTCCTCGGGTGAGACTGAGGGTGGGGATTCGACCTCGTTGGGCGGTGGTGACAGCTTGGGTTGCTGCGAGGACGCCTCTGGTTGTGGGCGTGTGGGCTCGCCGTCTGGCTTATCGACGTCCGTCGCCTCTGTTGACGCAGCAGGACCCGCACTCTGCATCCCGTCGAGCCGTCGCTCCATAAGGGCCATCTGCTCCCGCAACCGAGTCATCTCATCCACGAGACCACGGTCTCCTGGCTGATGACGGGCAGTTGCGGATGAGTTTGTGGGCAGGAGAAGCTCGATGGCAGCCGAAGCGGTGACACTGCTCTCCCGTACATCTCCACCGCCACTGTTGTCGCCTCCACCGTCGTCCTTCTCCTTTTCTCGCACCTCGCCGTCCTCTTCTTCGCTGCCGTCGATGTCCATGTCGGCTTCGCCGCCTGAGCTTTGTATAGCCGGTCTCGCACTCTGCTGTTTCTCTGTGGCCTCGGCTGTTGATGGGGGATCGCCTGCGTCAGACTCTTTTGGTCTACGCCGCGAGATGCGCTTGATCAGCTCGTCAAGCTTGTCGTCCTGGAATAGTAGGTTTGATTCGAGCACGGAAACGTCATCCGCGACTTGCAAGTGCGACTCAACCGCGCTGTCGGCTTTGCCCTCGACTATCTCTAGGCGAGCCAAGACCTCCTCCAGCAGAGCGCGCGCTCGCCCACGCTTGGCATCGCGTTCCTCGGCGGATTGTTCGCTGCTGCCTTCCTCGCGCTCGATCTCTCCAAGCCGTTTCCCTCGGGCCCCTCTCCGCGTGGGTTTGAATCCTGTTGCGGGCATCGGTGGAACGGCTGGATGTCGAGGTGGTGGTGGCGAACGCCGTTCCGGAGAGGGTGATCGAACTCGCCGTTCGAGTCGCTCGACACGAACACGAATCGCCTCCACGGCCTCATCATCCATGCCAAGGCGGCCGTTGGCGACAAGGGCGCTCCGTAGGAGTGTGACGAAAGCAAGCTGCAAGGCGACGGTGCCGGTGCGCACATCCTCCTCCGCGGCCTCAACCTGGCGCTGAGCATCCTCTGCCGTGCCGCCGCCGAATCGTTTCAGTCGTTCTGCAACGGCGCGCGCGACCTCGCGGCGCCCCGACCGCTGGATGACAGACGTGAGGGCACTGGGGTCAGCCAAACCCTCGGCAGGACACACCTGGCCAGCGCTTCCACCTGTTGGATGGGCGGCAAGGGGTCGCCAGTCTGATGGTAAGACACGGAGGGCGCCGGGGGTTCATAGTAATCTGCCCGCTGGATGGGTGGCGGATCCCAAGCGTTCGTACTGCGCGACGGGCCAGCCTGGTCGCGCTCACGGTAAGGCTCTGGGAAATACGTGTCGCGGCGTGGAATCGACCTGGGACGATGGCGCCGTTCCGGGGATGTGGAGCGCGGGGAGTCCCACCTCCTCCGTTCCTCCCGGCTCATGGCTGTTGAGTGAAGTGGGAAAAAGAGCAGATGTGGAAGATACAGGGATGTGGTGGCGGCTGGATGGGATCAAGAACTTGTTCAGGAGGGGGTTGATGTTGTTGCACTTGGTGGAGGTATCAATGACGTGGGTATATCGGTTCAATCAGCTGAAACACTGCTGATTACATTTGCAGCAACCCTAATGCTGATAGGTGCCTGGCAACGATAATGAGCAATCTCGATGTTGCCTCTCGCCATCATAGTGAAACCGTTGTCTCACTTCATTCCGACATCTCGATCGTGTATCAGACCGATCCTACATGTGCTTCCAGCTGTCGCTGATGTCCAAATGTCCAGATATACATCTTCACTTCAAATCCTACAACCCATTACTATAACGGGGGTATGTCGCTCTGCGATATCTCTGCACCGGGTATACACTTCGTTTGGGATAACCCGCCGGCACGCTTGCCGGCGGTGGGAGGAGGAGGCCCCGCTTGCCCTAGTACGACGGCTCTGTCTAAGAGCCGTCGACGGGGCAGAACCAACGGCCCAGCGCTGTGAAGAGACTGGGCCCCTCCTGCGGCTCTGGCAGGAGGTGATCGAGCGGGTCGACGTCGCCAACGGCGATGAAGCGGTGTTCGTCGTGCACGAGCTTGTCCAGCTCTGCACCACCGGCGCCGCAGAACGTGCTGCGGCGGTGCCGGCGGCGCCCGCGCACGACGGCATGCACCGTCTCGTCGGACCCGGAGCTGTCGCGACGGCTCCGAGTGCCTCCTCCCCCCCATGGCCAAAACCCGAGCTGGCCTCAATGCCCGCAGTCGCGTCTCCAGTGTATGCGGAGGCAACGTAGTCTGGGGTGGCGTCTGGCTCGGCGCGTCGCCGATACCGGGGGAGGGATTCCGCCGACGCGATGGACGTTGTCGTCGATGTGGCCGGCGTCATCGTCGCCGCGTCTCCTTCCTTGGAGAGCATTGCGGCGAGGTGGTGATGGTCGAATATCTCGACTGGTGGGCGGGAGCGTGGTGGACCCGTGAGCTGCGCCAGCGTAGTTTCGCGGTGGATCTTGCGGCGGAACTGGGCACGCATGTCGTCAGGGGTGGCGAATCGTACGCGCGGCTCCTCGTCCGTGGCGGTCGTCGACATAGATGAGGGTCGGAGCAGCGAGCCACGCGAGCCGGGACCATTGAGGCCAAGCGTTGTCGGGGCAGAGCTAATGTCCGTCTCTCGGGTGATCTGTGGCTCCAGGGCGACGAGGAGCTCCTCAGCCCCAAACTGCGGCGATTGTGGAGCCGGAGCCTCGAGGTCACGTTCCGGCGGCGGCGGCGGAGATGCTTCGAGGGTCTGTGTGGGCGCAATTGACTCTGGTGAGCCCTCGATGGGCGAGTGTGAAGGCAAACATGGCGTCGAGCGTCGGCGTGCGGGTCTTCCCTGCAGCGAGAGGCGACGGAGGCCTCCTGGTGGCGGCTCGTACCCACGACGCTCCATCGCTTCGCGCACCTCACGCTCGCGGTTCTCCATCTTTACAAGAGAGCGGAGGATACTTTCGCGCCTCTCGAGATTGCCCGACACGATGGTGTCGTGTCTCCGCTCACGGAAGCCTGGCTCTGAGCGGCACCCATCCAGGAAGCCCTCGGGGTCCGCGGGATGAAGATCGGACGATGAGCTGCTGGGAGAGCTCGGGAAGGTCGTGGATGGCTCCGACTTTCTGTACACGAGCGACGAGTGACGACGATGTAGTTTTGAGCGAGCAGGGCTACTCGAATGCGAAGTGAGATTCGCATGTACTTCTTCGGCCGCCGAGTCCACCTTGTATGGCACAAGCGACAGACGCTTGCGCACCGTGCATTGCGGTGTTGGGTTGCGGCGCTCGGGCACGCTCCCTGTCGGCAAGAGAAGAGGCCGGAGACCGGGCGCCGGGGGCTCAGGCTCGGGTTCGCTCTCCGGATCAGATGGCTCCGCGTGGGGTGAATTGGGTGATGGTGGTGCGGTGGTCGGCGCCGTAGACGGAATTGCTGGCGCTGGTGACGAAGCCGCGACGGAGGCGGCCATGGAAGTGGGGCTGGTTGAAGTTGAGGGGCCGAGGGTCGGGGCGACCGACTTGGCGACCTTGGCGGAACTGGAGCGTGTGGGTCGCGCAAAGCCCGGTTCCCTTCGGCCCTTGGCCTTCATGGGCGACGGTGAGGACACTGTCGCAGCGCGTGCGAGGGCATTGAAGTGGGCGGCGCGCGCCGAGACGTTTCCGGCCGGGAGTGGTGGGGCGGGGGAGGGTTGAGAGAGATGCGATGGGGGGTTGGGATGGGCATGGGCCGGGACAGCATGGGTAGCCGACCTCGAAGTGGTTGTGGAGATGGTGCGGGCCCTGGATCGTATTGAAGGGGAGGGGACAGAGTCACTACTACTCGTGACAACGCTCGAGACCACCGACGCAGGCGTATCGGCCCGCTCGGTCGGAGGAGATGGTGCGAGGCCGCGCATCCACTCGTCAATGGCGGCGCGACGGTGGGAGGTGAGCGTGGCACGGCCCAGACTCTGGGTGAGGCTGCTGAGGCTGCGCGATGTGGGGACGTCGTGGGTGGGAGCAGGGGCCTGGCGAGGGATGTTGATGGCGGACGATTTGGGCTTTAGGGGTGAGCGGCGAGGGGATGCAGAGGGCGAGGGGGAGCGGGAAGGCGATTTGGAGCGTGCGCAGAGGCTCTTGCCCGCGCCGCTCGACCCCTGCGACATGACGGGGGGGAGTGGACAGCTAGTGCTGTGAGGCCACTCCCCACTGTGGAGAGTCGTGGGAGTGGGCAGCGCGGGAGATGGCTGTGAAGGATAGGGTAATTAGATGTTGAGCATGGATGCTTGTGTAGTTGGGGCGATGGTGGTCTTGTGTATGTATGTGTGTGTGTGTGTGAGGGAGGATGATGACGAGCGACGAGATGCTGGGAGATGATGATGATGAGAGATGAAGAGATGGCGATGGACGGCGGACATGTTTTCTTCTACCTGAGGGTCGGCTGATGGATGGCCGCGTCCGGTTAGACTACCCCCGGGGGAAATCAGGCACATCACAGTGCAGGGCAGGGCTCTCAAACGCCACTTGTCGCTGCCCCAGACCTAATGTCTGTCAGTTGAGTTGTCGCGCTCGTTTCCGTCGCTGCATCCACGCATCTATCGAGGCCGGAGCGGGCGTGGAGGGGGCACGGCACGGGGAGAGCGTGCACTGGACCCATCATCAAGGCCTGGCTGCGTCTGCTTGGGCAGCCCAACTACATACGACAGCACAGAGATGTTTGGTGCAACTTGAAGATGAGTGACGCCGTGACAATTGTCATGTCACAGAAGGCGGACAGGACGAGGAATGCAATTTAATTCAAGTTTGCATACACGTCAAGACGCGCCCCACGTTCAACATGCTCCTCACGCCAGTCATGGAAATATCTCGAGTGGTGCAATAATGATGGCAATAGCAGCCACAACGCGGGGCGCACAGATGTACCAAGATTGACAAGCGCTTCCCCCACGGCCCACGACGCCTTTGATGCGCGCACGGTCTATTACACGCGCTCCACGGCCTTGCGGCGCGAGCCGGCTCCTCCTCCTGTCCCTCAAGTTGTGACTTGGCAGTGTGGCAAATTCCTCCTCCTCCTCCTCCTCCTCCTCCTCCTCTGTAGTTTATTCCGGAACCTTGCAAACTCACGGCGGCATGAGGGCGGACAGTGTGACTTTGAACCTTGGCTGTTTGTCGGTCAACCCCGATCCCATCCTGCCCATTGCCCTGCCCACCTCGAGGCCTCGAGATCAAAAAATCAATCGCAATCCGCGTTACACAGGTCATGCGCCATCAAAGTCAGTCACGCTTACATCCAACCAATAAGAAACCCAAAGCACGATACATGCAAACACGCTCAACCCAAGCTGCTACTCTTACTATTGTACTGTGCGATGCTACTCCCGCCACTCTCACTATCAACATGACGCTACTCCGAAACGAGCAAGGCGTTCAGTAACGCACAATCGTCTTCCGACGCTTGGCGGTCGGTTCCACGGACAGACTCCGGCTGCGCGAACGAGCACGCTCGTCGGGCAAGTCGGTAAATGCCAAGTCGATCTCGTCATCGTGGATCACAGCCGGGTCCAGCTCGAGGTCTGGAAGGCTCGAGTTGTCTCGTCGCCTCTTTGGGGTCGCTTCTTCAACCTGGGACGCCTTGGTCGGCGTTGCATCGAGATCCTCATCTTCATCGACGTCCATGGCCGAGCCCTCTCCGGCTTCGGTCCCTTCTTCGGGTTCCTCCTCAGCGACTTCCTCTTCAAGCCCCGCCGGCTCGTTGGTCTCCACGTGGCGCCCGTTGGCAATCTCCGGCTCGTCCAACTCCTCATCACTGCCGTCGACGACCGCTTTGCTCTTCGAGGACGGCTTAGAAACAGCCTTCTTCGTCGCCACCTTGAGCCCCTTGTCCTTGCCCGCGATGTTGACCAAGCGCCGCTCATACCCACCGTACATCGGCGTCCCGCGGACGTATGCTGCGTCGCCACATTCATCGACCAGTTTCTCCAGGTGGTCGCGAATGCGAAGGGCGTCACGCCCCGTGACCGGCCCGAGAAGCAGCGCCAGCGGCTTCATATACATGAGAACCCTTGAACGGCGCTTTATCAGCCTCGCCTTGCTGTCCTTGGTCGTCGCAATCTGCTTGTTGAACGTCGCGACCTGCTTGAACAACCAGTCGAGGTTCCGAATATGCATGTCGTACACGTCATCTGGATGGATCTGCTTGAGCACGGTGAAATGCAAACCAGGAACAATGAAAGCCTGCGCGCAAAGCCGTGCGAGGGCAAGCGGAGCTTTTGGTTCCAAGTCATCCGTGCTGTCGATGAAAGTGCCAAACGACTGCGTGTTAGCTGTCGGCAACAGGGCTGCCTTACATTCTGAAGTGCCTCGCTGACGACATGTTGGACTGTCGTGGCCTCGCCGTTATAGATGCCCTCGTCTCGGAGGACGTCAACGAGCCGCTTAACGAGTGAATCGTAATTCGCTCCAAAGCGGCCAAAGTGCGCCAACGGCTCCTTGGCTAGCTCAACGTCGAGGACGCCGATGCACAAAGCTCCGACGAATGCCGCCACGAGCTCGAGGAAGAAGATGTCGCGCTGAGCTGCAGTGAAGGTGAGTTCATCCTCGTCTTCGTCTTCTTCCTCGCGGTCAGAGGCGTAACGCTCCACGATCGCTTGGAAGGCCCCGCCCAGCTTGTGCTGACGGATGGATGACATCTCCAAGGGGCACGCCTGGGCAGCGGGAGAGGGCTTCTCGGTGGCTTTGGGTGCAAAAAGCGTGTGGAGATGGATGAATGCCTGGAACGCCTGCACGGGTCAGTAATGGCAATGCTGTTCAGCTCACCTCACGCCGGACAGCCTCAGTTGCTCGGCCACCACTGATGCCGTACTTCTCGAATACCTCGAGTGCTTCCTGCTGCCGCTCTTGCAACGCTGCAACCCTCTCCTCATCCTCAGCATTGGCAGCAGTAAAACTTCGTGTAAGCCAGCCGATCTGCAACAGGAGAGTCTTGATCGCCGAGGCAACAAGCTGCGATGTCAGTCATGGTGTGACATAGATTCTGCTCACCTTGGACTCTTGCTTGAAGCCAAGACCACCACGCTTGGCGAACTCGCTGATTATTGCCCACCCGCTACTCTGGCCGCCTTCCTCGTCCATCATTGCTGATGTAACGTCGCGACTCCGAGCCAGGAGCGACACGCGCATAAGAATGGCCTCGACCTGAGTTGCGGCATCATCGTCCAACTGCATGCTGAAGACGTCTTCGCCGTTGACTGCGTCACGAAGCGAAGCAAAGACGGCTTCCTCCAGTTCAGCGAGCTTGGGCGTGTTGGTGGACTCCATGGTGGAGTTTTCAACCAACTTGTTAATTGCGCGGATCGCGGCCTGGAGAACATTGGCGTCTGTGTGCTTGAGGAACTGATTTGTGACATCCGTCCAGAGGGCTTCATATGCGGGCGTCTTGCGCATGTCAAGGTAGAGTTGCAGGTTCATGTGCTCCGGGATGGACAGGATGCCTGCGATGCGGGACGGCTCAGACTGGTGCTTGGTGAACAATCGAGGTAGGATGCCCATGAGCGACTTGGTGCTCTCGTCATCCTCCTCGTCCATCCGTTTAATGGAGGCAATGAGCATACCCAGCATGAAGTCTTCTTCCTCCTCTGTAAGAAGCCACATGTCCTGCTCATGGGTGGAGTGGTCCAACAGCAGATAATCAGCTAGCTCCTCCTGCTGCTCCGGGAGCAGCGGCCAGAGGCCGTCCGCTGCGGCCTCAGCGCGAGTGATGGCGTCAGTGTCGGGGATGGAAGTGAGGTCGGCTTGAGACGCGCTCGGGCTCTCGTCAGGCTGGTCGGTGAGCCCACGCGCAGTTTGCACAAGGAGGGTAGCAAGAGTCTTCCAGCGCAGCCGTTCTTCCAGCTCCTTTTCCTTCACGTTGGCCGCGCGCTTCTTTTTCCCTGCCCGCAGAGACTTCCACTCAGCCTGAAGGTGCTCTGCGCGCTCATGCCAGAGGTTCTTGACAAACCCAGCGGCCGCATTGCGCACTTTCGGCTCCTGGTCAAAGATCAGGCGTGCCACCTTTTCCCGGTCCTCTTCCATTTCATCTTGGAGGGCGCCAGTCTTGTCAATCAATGTGATAACGTTGATAGCGTTGGTGCGAACAGGCGTCTCGACGTCAAGCGACGCAATCTTGATCAGACGTGGTGCCAAGCGCAAGGTGAACGAGCTGGCATTGTTTGCGAGTGATGGGTTGGAGAATAGCCCCGACAGAGCCTTGACCGTCTCGAGGCGCGCGCTGCCATCGGGGTCGTTACACTCGCGAACAAAGTAGTTGAGGTAGGTGTTGGTTGCGTACTTCTCCGGGAACTTCTTTACCCAGACGCCGAGCTCCCTCACGCAATCTGTGCGAATGGCGGGATCGGTATCGCGGACACGGTGAATGAAGATGCTGCCTTCAGCTCTGCAAATGATCGTGACTTACACATCGAAAATCTCTTTCATGTGCGCCTCAAGGCGGACCTTGTGGGCGTGAGATTCCTTGACCTTAGTCTCCGCATCCTTTGCGCGCTTCTTGGCGGATGCACCGCTCTTCTTCGCTTCTGCTTCCTTCTGCCGCTGCTTGACGCTCAAGTCCTTGCTGACATGCGCGGCAGCGTCACAAAGGGCAGAGTGCACCTTGAGACTAATGAATGTGGATGTGTGGCGGATGGAGCGGATAGGTGAAGATGACATGGAGCCAAGCCATGCGAGAAGGAGCGGCATAATGGCCTGCGAATGCTTTGTGGAATCGTTATCTTCGTAGATCAAGCCAGAGATTTGAAGCGACTCGACAAGATGCTGAATGACGCTGGAGAGATGGCTCTTGAACGACTTCAGCTGTTTCCCTTTCGCAATGAGGGGATAGGTAGCAGCGTTGCTCTTCTGGTCAGCTGGCAACCGACACTCCCACGCACCATCACACTCTCTTCCTGGATACGGTCGACAGCCTCGCCGGTACCGTCCAGGTCGACGGCCTCGTTCTCGTCCACGTCGGCGGAAAGCCCACAGGCGCGGATAATGAAGAGTACGAGCTCGTGGACTGCAGCCTTCTCGGCAGCGGCATCATCGGCAGCGCCTTGGTACGCATGCACCCAATCGTCTACCAGCGGCTCCAGGGCGACGTCTGGTTGTAGCAGCGCGTCTGGCGTCAGCGAAGAATATCCAGAGATTAGTTGACAACGCACTGAACAAGGAAGAATCATTCTTCAAGCCCTCGACAGGCTCGACTTCGGCGGCGGGAACGGTCTTGGGCACTTTAAGACGTTTGGGCGCTGGTGGCGCGCGCGACGCTTTCGCTTTGCGCTTGCGAGGTTGTGGTCGCTCGTCCTCACTTTCAGACTGTCGTCAGACACCCAATGATAGATGATGTGAGCTCACCTCGTCTGAAGCATCACTGTCTTCTGCGTCGTGACGCGTCTTGCCTGTCATTAGCCACCTTCCCGCGACGCGTCGCAGTGGGGAGCGTGGACGCACCGTTCTGAGGAGCAAACCGATCGACCTGCTTGCGAGCACGGGCACCACGCCGTGGTTCGGCGGGGAGGGTCGAGTTGGACATTGTAAGTGGGGATGTGGTGGATGGCGAGGAGGAGGATAGTGGATGGTGGTTGGTGGAGTGGAAGATGGGATCGAGGAGAAGGAAGGTAATCAATAACAAGGCAGCGGGCAACCCCGTCAGGCTGCCAGGATCTTGTTCTTGCCCTCCCCCTTTCCTTCCTCGGCTCCCCATGCTTTGGGTGAGCCACAGACGCGTCACCCGGCATGTGCGCGTCTCAAATTACGTAACCCTTTGTTTACATCTTCCTCATCACCCGAGTCCAGTCAACCACCATCACTCGGCTCCTCCCGCTCCTCGCTCTCCACTCAATCCTCTTTATCATCTTGTCATCCTCATGCCCCCACGAGGGCGAGGCCGCGCAACACGCACCACTGCGCGCGCCTCAAACTCCATCTCTCACACACAAGACTCGCTCCAGCTCCAAGACTCTGACCTCTCCAGCGCACCCCTCACAGGTCATCACAACCTGGTCCTCGCGCACTCCGGCGCGCCCACCGATGCCGAGTTCCGCACAGCCCATCTTACTGGCCTCGAGGCCATCTCTGATGCGACCAACGCGTTGCGTAAGCCGCTCATCCCCGTCCGTCCGTGGAGGCGCCTCTGGGATCCCAGCACTTCACACCATCCGCATCACTACAATGCTGTCGCGAGCTCTGATGGCGTCGAGTGGCGGTCAGCCCCGCTAGCGTATCCCTGTTCATGTAAGCACTGCTCAACAAATCGTCCATGTACACAGCCTGATGATAGGCAATCTCCCAACGTGGTCGTGCGTGTACGCTCCGCCCTTCTTACCACCCACAGCGCGCGATCTGCCGGCTCTTCCACCACACCCCGATATTGGGCACCTGCCCCGTTTTGGCAGTGATGTTCCAGACTGGTCTGACTTTGGCACGGAGGGCGACCTCGACCCGGCACTCGATGACATGGCCGAGTTCGAGCTGGTGTGGCCGACAGCAACCCCGTGGCGAAGAGACAAGGGCAAGGGGCGCTCTGCGCCCAGCTCGCCACGATTCGTGACCCAGTGCTCGCCCTCGTCACATTTCTGTGATCGTCCCTCACCTCCGTCCTCGCTGAACTCTGCTGTGGACTCTCGCTCCAAGAAGCGCCCGCCTTCGTCTTCGTTCAAGCACCCACCACGGCGCGAGCGCATTCTACCGCCCTCGCCGCCTGGTGTTCACCGCGCTCCACCTTCCTCCGCGCTGTCGACACCCTCAAGAAAAGATCTTCCCCTCCCCAATGACTACGTCAAGGACGCACGCGTGCGCCGTGCTTGGTGGCGAGATACCGTGACTGTCGGTTGTGGTGCGTTTTGGAAATGCATCTCCCGGCCAGTGTATCCTGCCCCTGCCATTCGCCGGCCACCCCTCCTCGAGCGCGACGATGCTTTTCGTCCGCCGCGCAATCTCGCAAGTTTGAATCACCCACTGCACCCGGATGTGGCCCACTACTGCAAGCATGCCCGGGCGAGGGTGTACTGGTTGATTCCCATCCATGGACCCGTGATCATACCTGGCCTCGAGGATCCCGTGACAAATGATTCGGCGCGGCCATGGGCGTCGCGTGCCGAATTTGATGCCAGGGCGAGCGAATCATCGCGCTCCAAACCCATTGTGGTGAGATGGACTCCAGCTCTCCTCAACGCTTTCCTCAAAGAGCGGTTCGAACCTGCATGGCGCGACCCCTCGCAGTACGGAGCGCTCCACCTGGCCTTCTCTGGCCCCAAGCCCGACCCTTATCTCGCGTTGCCGCCCTCAGCACCGCTCGCAGCGCACCAATACGTCCCACCCCATGCGAGGGAGCGGACCCCGGTCCGCGTCGAGGTTGGCGATCACTTGCGGATCTATTGTGACGCCGCGCTCGCACTGAGCATCCGCACGTGGTTGCACTGGTGGGAGACGGAGGGTCGGAGGCCTTTTGAGGGGGCGCGCTTTGCATTGATCGGTCCCAGAGGAGAGGTGTTAGTCGTGGCATAGCCGTGTAGCCTTTAGTTTGTGACTTTACTGTATCGTCCGGTTATTATCAGTTTGTTGAGGCTGATGTGATGGCACGTGCTGCCATATCGGTTGCTACTAGTTATACAGTTCTGCTTCCCACCTCGTTAGCCTAATTCGAGCCTGCAACGACGGCTGCGGCAGCTGCTTCGTTCCCGCCATCCGCCTCCTCCAAGCGCTTCCTAAACGCCTCAATATCCGCGTCAAACTTGGCCTCAAGCTCGGCGTTGTCCTTCTCGAGTGCGACGACCTTTGCTTCCAGGCTCTCGCCGGGAGGGCCAAAACCAGCCCACGCGTCGGCGTCCTTGGTTGGTATTGTCTCTGTACATTAGCGGCGGGCCCACACAGGCGTGCCGACTGTACTCACGGATACGCTCTGGGCCAAAGATTTCGGCCATGACCTCGTTGCGTGCGCGGAATCGGCTCATTGCGAGCTCGCGAGGGTCGAGCTCGTCGAGCGCATCTGCCCACGGCTCGATCGAGTCCGCCGCCATTGCACCCTTCGCATAGTGATCGGTCCCAGGCGGCGCCATCTGCCGAGGAAGTGCGGGGGCCTGCGGTCCCTTCTGCTGTCAGCTATATACCAGATGGTGAGCTACCTTGCCCTGCTTCTTCTTGGTGGCCGAGCTCATTGCGCGCGCCTGCGCCGCGGCGAGCTGTTGCTGCTGCGCAATAAAGAGCTGTTGCTGCTGCACGGGGTCGACACCGCCACCCATCATCTGCATGCCGGGCACCATGCCTTGTGGGAGACCTGGTACACCGGGCACTCCAGGCATGCCTTGCGGCAGACCGGGGACGCCTGGCGCGCCGGGAAAAGGCATCTGTCCCGGATGAAATTGGGGGGGCATAGCGTTGGGAAAGCTGTTCATAGCGACGAATGTGATGAGGAAAGCAGAAAGCAGCAAGAAGCCACTAGGCGAGGGGTGACGGGGTAGTCACGCGAAGCGGGCGGCAGTCGCGGTCGGGATGATGAGGTATGTAGGCGCCAGTCTGCCAAGGCGGCTGTCGCGAGCAGTCGGGATGCTCCAAGGGGGCTTGCGGGGGGAGCTGAGGGGGGTGAGAGGGACGGGAGAGATGGAGGGGATGGATGGGTGGATGGATGAGGGAGAAAGGACAATGGGTGCAAGAACAATGGGATGGTGGACAAGGGAGAAGATGCGACCACAAGATGTTCAAGAGCAATACAACACGACCCACGGTGGTCTAACGTAACACGGTGAGCTATTAGACTCTTCCTAATCCTGTTTAGAATGCGTAGTAAGCACTGTATGTCCCACGTGGTCTAAATAGTAATCAGTGCTAATCCTCAAGTGTATTAATGACTATTGTCCCACCCTGTGCAGGTGTGACATGGCCCCTGGGCTCGCTGGACTGGGATCCATGACGACTACGACGCCATTCCTCCTGCACTGCGATCAACCACGACCACCAACATCTCCTCCTCATCATCACCTCCCATCTTGTCCTCTCCTTCTCGTCATCTACCCACAAATGAGCCTTCGCTAGGCCCATTTCCTCGGCACTCTCGCGACATGGCAGACCGCACAAGTTCTGTCCGGGTCAACCCCCACCGCCGAAAGGTATGGACGGCATCCCATCACGTTCCTCCGCAGCCGTTCCGCTCTCGGCACATGCTGCAACCCCTCCCGCCCCTACAGCGACACAACACTGACGCTAGGCCGCCACCCAGGTGTCTCTGAGCAGCTCGCCTGCACCGTCTGGCCCTTCCACTCCGCTCGCTACCCAACCCCGGCTCAAAGCGCATATCAACCCAGCCAATATCATTGGCGGCTCACACTCCCCCGCCGCCGCACTCCCGTCTCCGCGTCCAGGCGTCGTGCGCGTTCCATCAAACACGAGCATCCGCGCTGATGGATCTGCGCGAAGCACGCCGCGCTCCGAAGTCGGCGGACCGAGCGCCTCGCGCGCAAGCTCTGCACTCGGTCACCGACCCCTGGTGGCAAGGGCAGGGGCTGGAGCGCGCGCCACCCCGCCAGCCCACCGCTCGGGTGCGTCTCTCCCAGGCTCAGCGATGCCGTCGGGTGCCTCAACCCCGACCGTCGTGCACGTCCGCAGATCATCATCAGTCTTGGGAAACACCTCGACAAGTTCGACGCCGTCATCCCGGAGCCCCCAACCTGACCAGGGCGCATTCAATGCCACCACAGGGAGCAGGTTCCGGGCGAACCTCGCCGGTGCCGGAGCCAGCGATGTTGAGGTGCCCCTCAATGCCCGGCCTGTCCATGTGCGGTCGGCGTCTTTTACTCCTGGTCCGCGCTCAGACTCGAGCAATTCCCAACTGTCCACAAACTCGCGAACACTGTCTCGCCAAGCTTCTGGACAATCCTCGCCGCCCCGTCCTACCGTGTCGAGAAATCCCAGCACTGGCAGCGTAGGGGTTCCTAGGAGGCGATCCAACGAGTCATCTCCTCGCCTCGTTCCAACCGCCGCCGGCACCCCTCCATCGTCGCAATCCCCTTCCTCATCGACCGACATTCCTCGAGGTGCCATGCGCCAGGCGACAGAAGGTCCACGGCTCTCGGCTCTCGCCGAAGTCACAACCTCATCCGAGAACTTGACCCAACACTTGTTACCAACGACATCGGCACCGATAAGCTCATCGCTGCTGTCTCCTAGCACGCTTACCCCAAGGGCACTGCCATCCCCTCCTACGATAGAGCAAGGGGCGCTCAACGGCAATGAGCAAGAGCACGAACCGTCGTCCAATCATTCGTCACCTGTGCGCCCCTCGCTCCAACTCGCTTCTCCCTCCACCGCACTGCACGCCCATTTGGCGCATCTCGGACTAGGATCTCTGGCGACCGCGTCAGCCCCGACTTCGCCACGGAGCGGAAATGGCGCACTCGGGCTGGAGCGAAAGCGCGCGCCACTTCCATGGAACCCCATGCAGAGCGCGCACCCATCCTTCCCTGCACCACCTGAAAGCCCAGAATTGCGAACTGTGGCCCTACCGATTATGACGCCCGCACGGACTCCTGAAGCTTCAGAGTATCTGTCATTGAAGCCAGCGAGCTTCGGATCGCGACGATTCTCCTCTGGGAGTGAAAGCGGCCAGGGCGAGACAAGCGTAGTCGGGCTTCGCAAGAGCATCTCCCCACGCGCACGTGTGTCGCCCGAGGCGGTCATGCCGTGGTCCAATACAATTCCCAACGGCAAGTCGCGCAAACCGTTGCCGACTTCTCGACACTGGGCCGGGAGCACTGGCGACGAGTCGAGCTACGATCACAGCGACGATCACCATAGCGACGATGACATCGACCTCGAGGCGGAGATTGACAGCAACCTGCTCGAGCTGAGCCCTTCAGCTGAGATGGAGCTCGCTCGCGACAAGTGGGAGCGTAAGGTGGGTGGGCTCGCGACGATGCATCGCTGACGATAGATTGCCGACCTCGAGATTTCGAACTCGTCGCTTATGAATATCAACCGCATGCTGGAGACCACCAAGGTCAAGCAGCAGGGCGAGATCGTCCGCCTAAGACGTGCACTTCGGGATGCGCGCTCTGGAGTTCCGGAGCGTCCGGTCCTTGAACCTGCCCCACTATCGGCGGAGGAAGATCCCGACTCTTCAGGCTCATGGGGCGACGACGAGATGGAGGACCCAGAGGTGGAGAAGCGATGGGACCGGCTACGCGACCTCGTCAGCGCGATGCGCAAAGCGGGCGAGGATGCCGTGGAGCGCGGTCGCCAAGAGGTCAAACCGCATCAGCGCGTGCTGGGGTGGTTGGAGGTTGAGGCGATGGGCATTGGGAGAAGCGAGGATACAACTCGCGCGCACAGCGAGGTAGACCCCGCCGAAACCGTGTCGGGCGCGACGGAGACGACCGAAGACTCCACAAACCCTGATGTGACGGACACGACGAGCGAGCGGAGCGACACGGCGCCGACGGAGATCGGTCTGGTCGCCAGAGTAAGAAGACCCAACTAAACTAGAGCCCCAGGCGTTGATAGACTTTGTACTGTATTGCATGGCATGGCATGGCATGATGTGGTGTGGCATGAAGTGCATGTGGGCTACATCTGGAACTGCCGAAGCCCAGCGACAGTGTTGTACTCGTTGCGACTGAGACGCCATGGGATGCCTGAGTTGGAGTAGAACTCGTCTGGGTCCTCCTCGGCGTCAAGGTTGAGCACGGTCGCGATCTGTTGCAGACGCGTGAACTTGTCACGAGCGCCGCCATAACTCGCCTGCGTGGAAAGATAATTGGAAACAGCACGCACATCACGCTCGTAGCGGATTGCGCCGAGCTCGGTGAAGCCCATGCCCATGACCATCTTCTCCCACGGCCGCACGAGCGTTTCGACCGTCATCGTGTAGAAGATCTGGTAGTTGTGGTCGGTGAACGACGACCTGTACCCGTCCATCAAGCTCTCCCACCCGCGCACAAAGCGGCGGCGGACGAGATCCTGGTCCTCGGCGTCGGCGAAGGCGTCCTCGCTCAACGCGTACGTCACATCACGGTAACACTCGTCGAGGAGGGGGCGGAGACGCGGACGGACCGCCTGTCCGAAGAACTGCTCAAGACCGCTCCGTGCCGCACTGCGGAAGTGCGCGGCGAGGTCGGACAACACGTCGAGCTCGTCGAGCACGGCGCGATGCTCGCGCGGCAGCCATGCCGAGGGCATGTTCTCACGCGTCTCAAGCAGCAGCCGCTCGGCGTAGTCGGCGCTCACGTCTAGGTCGTTGAGGAAGATCTGTGTGAGCTGCGCTCATCGAGGACGACTCACGATGTAGGTCTCCTTCTGGTCCTTCTCGCGGAGAGCCTTCTCAGCACGGTCGTACGTCACCGGCTGGGCGTACACCCGCTCCATCTTCTTGGAGAGCACGGCGGCGTAGTCCTTCTCCAACACGGTGCTGATGCGCTCACGCAGTGAGCGCAGAGCGGTCAAACTGCCGGAGGAGAGGACGCGGTTCAATACAACCTTGATGAGGTAGAATGTGTCGTCCAGTATCGAGCTCAGGTGTGGCTTGGTCGATGTGTCGGGCAGGTCTAGGCGATGCGCCTTCTCAATGCTGGAGCGCAGGTACCACAACTCGAGGGGCTCGTAGTATGTGCGCAGCATGTTCTCGATAGCGCGCTGCGAGCCACTCTGCTCGACGACTTCGAGGTCCGTGTCGTCGTCCTTCTCCTCTTCATCGGACTCGGAGAGACGAGAGTGCACGAAGCGGCGGAAGAGAGCCCATCGCCCACTCAACGCAACGAGTTCACCGAGAACGCGATCGACGTCGCGCGGATCTGGCCCAGGCTCCTCTTCGGGGACGGGAGTTGGCGCTGGCCCGGTGGATGTCTTGGCCACACGCGGCGCGTACGACTGCAATGCGCTTGCCACGTTGGATGTTGTGTTGGCCAGCGAAGACAGACTAATCTGCCCTGCTGCGCCTGGAACAGTGCCGTGCGCAAGACTTGCGAACAGGGGTGGCAATGCAGAGGGGTTGGAGAGAAATGCGAAACGCGACGCCTTGGTGTCGCTGATCAGTCGGCCGACCCGGCGCTCCTCCTCCCATCCTTCCACGAGATTGCGCACTACTCGGTCGCTTTCACCCACGAGCCGCCCGACGACAGTACGCATACGCCCTGCCCCGTAGTACTTGTCGACAACCGGCTGGTGCTGGTCGATAATGTGCGCAATAGACTCGAGGAGGGAGGTGAGTTGCGAGATGTAGTATAACGGCGACGAAGCTGAAGTCAGCAGGATCACAGTAGGATCTCACGTTTGCCAGCTGCCGAAGAACGGCCCTTGACCAGCGACACAACAAAGTTGCCATACGCCTCGAGGCCCTCGTTTTCGGCGCCGATGCCAGGCCACAGGCGGAAGTACCGCGACACCTCATGCTCATCGCGCCGCTCAGCGGCAGCATCAAACTCTCGTCGAAATGTCTGCAGAAGTATGCCGCGCAGCTCAGCAAGCTGCTGCGGAGGAGGCAGAGGGTTCTGCGGCGTGGGGACGACTGAGCCCGCGAAGCCGCCGTGCGTGACCTCGTCGCGCACACTCATGGCTCGACGGCATGCGCGTGCTGCGCCCTCCCAGTCGGCCTTTTCGATTGCGCCCTCGAGTGTCGCGAGCGCATTCTTGAGCTCGAGCACCTCTGTCACCACATCTGCGGCCTCGCGTACACGTCCTATCTCGTCGTCGAGCTTGCGGACCTTGCCGCCGACGCGCTCGCTCGTCTCCCACACACGCGATACGCGGGCCAAAAGCCCATCCCCCTCATCCCCCTCCCCATCTTGCAGCCCAAGTCCACGAGAGGAAAATGTACCTTGCCCAATACGCGGGGCGGGTGAGTCGCGAGGACTCCCGATTCGAGGAGACGAGAGGCGAGGAGTGGAAGTCTGAGGGGGAGAGAGCGCCGACATACGTCCCTTGCGCGTCGGAGTGTCGAACCGCGTCGGCGCTCGGTACCCGTCCACCTCGGAGGAAAGAGCATCAACCTCTCCCGTAAGGTCACGGAGGTGGGCGAGCGCGCCGTCCACCTGAGTGCGGTCCGCGATTAGCGCGTTTAGGGCGAGTGTGAGGTCGGCCTCGCGGCGCGTCAGCAGGGCGAGCTGCGCCGCGATTTGGTCTGGTTCGGTGATGTCGCGCGGATCAAGCGGTGCCGGTGATGGTGCCGCCGTGGTGAGCGGGGAGGGGGAAAGGGAGGCGGCCGTGGTCATCTCATGAGGGTGTTGTTGGTGGAAAGGCGATGGGTTGTGTGGAGGTGAGCTGGAACTTGGGAGTGGAGGATTCAGGCACGGGTGGAGGGCGACCTCTGTGGCACACGGTATGCGAGGAGCGATCTGCAACTGTCTCGAGACAAGTGTTGCGCGAGTTCCATTTGACGCGTTCCAACTGACTGCGTACAGACAAACAGAACTTATTATGCAACTCACACCACTTGGGAATAGTCAGCTAAATCGTGATGCACAACACTGATACAACGTCGGTCTGACATGGCCCTGCCTCCATCTGCTTCTGCCTCCCAACGGGCTTCCTCCGTCAGAGATACAGCTCCCAAAGAAGCAGCAAATGTAATGCCAGCTGTCCTCCCAAATGGTCTCTGCTGCCACCGCTTCCCAATGTCGTTACACCAGCAATAGTAGCAATCAGGTCCTTCTCATGTTGGATGGCAAGGGGGTATGGGCGATGAAGGAACGCAAGGCCTACTGTTGAGGGTGGGTTTTGAGGTGAATGCGCCCAGCCTCTGATGCCCACCGGAGGGCGAGCATGGCAGGCAACACGTGATGTCTGGTGGCCTGAACCGGGGGGCACTGTAACTTCAGACACGACATTTTCAGGCGGCAGCGGGTGGCCCCTGCTGCAAGCGCCTCCACCAATGTTAGACTTGCCATCACAAAAGACATGTTCGGAGCTCCGCGTATCGGGTGGCGAATTGGCGTAATTCGTCTGGTGTGTCGGCGTCAAAGTGAGTGTGACGATAAGTTGTGGGTGAGTCAGGGAGCGACAGCAGAGGAGCATTGGAAGATCAGCACTGTCCCACTTCCGCGGTGACTCTCCTGCACGGCAACGCTGGAATGAACTTCCCAAACCCTCTCCTGGAGCGTCCTGCAACGACTTGGGCGATGCCGAACGCTATTGCCTGAGGGGGATGCAAACGCAGAGGAGACACGATCAGACCCATGGTTTCTTGCTCTTGCTCGCCTTCTTCAGGGGTTTGCTCCATAGCGAGTTACAACTCGAAAATCGTATGTCTCGGTAGTGTACAACGTTTACAGCTCTACGCTTAGCGCTATCTTACGCCGACGCAGCGCTAGCGGACACAGCGATCTGCGACAGTCCTTGCTGAACCGAAGGAGCCTTGGGCTGCGCCTGAGGCGCCGGCGGCTCGTCGCGGAGGCAAAAGTTGCAGTACAGAACGTCCTCTTCGGGACAGTAGACATAGTCACAGGGCCCTGCAATCAGTGTTTTTACCTTCGCCTTCGCTCTGAAGAGACTCACAGCCGCGGTTCTCGCCGTCGAAGGTGCCAGGGCAGACGAGCTTGATCGACATGATGTGATGGGGTTAAGTGAGGCGGAGGCGCGTAGATAGAGGAGTGGAGATCTGGCAAGGCAAAGCGATGCGAGTTGGTCAGGCGGGTAGTATAGAAGGGAGAGGTCGATGGGCTCTTATGAAGCTGCTGTGTGATGGCGGGAGCCGGGATAGCGGTGCTGTCGAGCTAAATTGCTGATGGAGAGTGACGGTGAACTGAGGGTATCACCAGAATCAATCAAGGAAAGCGTTTTGTCCGGTGTATCAGGTGGCAAATGGATGTCACTCGATGGCCTCAGATATCGGAGTAACGGAAGGGCGAGGGTGCCGAGCGAGATTACTCGCACCATCCTGTTTCGCACAGACCCCCTCTGCATCACCTGGCACGGTGACGCGCCATCGAGCCAAACTTCAGCACTCTGACGTTGCAAGATTTTATTGCTGTGCAGTGTAGAGGCAAATATGAGTTTAGCGGATTTCAGCCAGTTTCAAGGAGGTGCCAGGGGTGTCCCACACAACAATCAGCACACATGAGTCCATCGGATGCCGCAGGGATCTTGCTTTCCATGCGACAGAGGCGGGTGATGATGGCTCGACCTCTTGCCGAAGCTTTCCATGCATGGTGTAGAAACAGCCTCGACCAGTCTGCTGCCCCTCGTGTGTGGCCTCATCCTCATCCGTGTGCGCCCCAGCATTGTCGGTCGGTCGCATAACAATTCGCCCTGCACTACAAAATTAACTTCCCGTAACCTTCGCACGGACTTCTTGTGATCACCTGCCTGCTCCTCCGGATTACTGCAAAACCTCTGAAGCGAGAGCCGCCCGCAAGTGAGGCCCGCAGCGAGGGGTTGTCTTTCCACCCAAGAAGCTTGGACATGATAATATGCCTTCTGCACGAGGCGACGCCACACCACTGTCGAGAGTAGGAGGTCCAGTGAACAGGCTGTAAAGTATTCGCATGCTGCATATCACATATGGATGGGCATAAGCAGCGACTCATTACCCAGGATCAATCGGGCGTCCGCAGGATAGAACCGCAGCATTTCATAGCATTCATACAATGGGGCACAAAGCAACTTCTTCATCAACTCAGGTATGCGTTCTCCAGTCCGCCGTTCTCGCCACCCATACTAAGCCTCATTCCACTTGTCAGGCGGGGTACGGCGACAGTACACGCATGCCCACGCCGTCGTAAAGCGCCAGCTGCAAAAATCTGGGTCAGTGGCGGCGAGATGCGGCTCACTACCGGCGTTCGTCCCGTGTTCGTCACCAGTACAGGGCATTGTCCTTGGTGGTGGCAATGGCGATCAGTGTGCAAAGTATGGGTGGGAGTTGCGCACGAGATTGTTTATATCGCACTGATCGTTCGAGTCAGACGCTGTCGGAGACGGCCGAGGGTTGGGGAACGATGGTGGCGCGTGAGGCGATAGCGCTCGCGTCTTCCTCGGTTCCCATCGTCACCCATTAGCACATTCCGGTGCGATACTATCGCTTGGAGTTGGTTCGGTGTAAATGGTACTTCAGTCCTACGTCCCGATCTCGTGGTCAAGATGGGAAGCCAAGACGAACAACGACTAGCTGGGCCTGGATCAGAGGAGGATGAATTATACGCAAAGGAAGCTGAAGGACAATAAGACGAGCTCACCATCCGCGCGTTTGACTTCTTGCCATCCAGCTTCTCTGAAGAGCGAGGGTGGCGGCCCCACGTGAGTGTCCGTGCACCAAACTAGACTGATCCCATCGGCCGATCACGGGTCGTATCGCAGTATCCGTGCGCGGCGCCGCTCGCGCAGCTGGGCTGCTTATTAGTGCTTGTGTATCGCGTCCGACCCCATCCTATCCAATCGCTATCGCAATTGCATGCCAACGAGCTACAAATGAGTGAATGAATGAGTGTGTCTATTGCTGTGTGTCGACGAGCGCGGCAATACCGAGAGCGAGACAGGAGCGTCCGGCGCATGTGAAATCCTGGACTGAGGGTGTGCCGTGGCCGGGTGAACCGCGTCCACAGGCAAGGGAGTGAGATACAGTCGGGCTCGAGGCCGCGTGTGATGGGGGTTTTTGATCAATCGTCCGTGCGTGCGTATTGGTGTCTGAATTGCGCCGTGACAATAGCGCAGCTCGCTCACTGCCTCGTCGGAGGGTGGCTGGGATTCGTGATGTGTAGGGGGTTGGTACGCTCGTGTGTTGGAGTACCGACGCTCTCCTCTCCGCCAGAGTACGTGCCGTACGCTTCGTCGTTGTACGAGTGCTGCGGGTAGCCCTGGCGACTGTGGCGCTGCTGATTCGGGTCGTCATCGTAGTACGGGTCGTAATAGTAGCCCTGGCCACCCTGCTCCATACCATCGTAACCACGGTGCTGGCCATCGCTAACGTACTCGTGCGCGTCATGGAACGGGCCATCGTCGTGGTAACGGCCAGCGGGTGCGTCGTGGTAGCGGGGATCCGAGAAGTCGGTCCCATACGCGCCGTACGCGCCAGCGCCAGCACCGGCAGCGGCAGCGACGCCCGTAGCGTGAGCACCGCCGTCGCTCTGGAGGGCGAATGGGTCGTAGCCGCCACCGTTGCCATACGTTGTAGCGTAGTTGTTGTACTGCTGCATTGGTGCAGACATGGTCGACGGGTACGACTCGGACGTCGGGTGCGAGGATGCAATGTCGCCCTCCTCGTCCAGCGGGGAGCGGGCGGCAGCAGCCGAAGCAGCGACAGCCGCGGCAGTGACCTCGCGATCGAGACGCTGGCGGCGGCGTTTCCGGAAGAAGATGAAGCCGAGGGCGGCGAGAATGGCAACAACCGCGAGACCGACAACAACAAAAACGCCGGCGACGGCGCCCTTGTTGTTGAAGAATGACGACGAGCCGCCTGAAGATGAACCCGAGTCCAGGGCGCCAGATGGGTTGTGCACAACCCGCGTGACAGTGAACACGTTACCGCCCGACGTCGTAAGACCAGTCGACGTAAATGACGAGGGGATCGTAGTGATCACGTTTCCCTTCGAGTCGGTCGTGGTGATCCGCACGGCCGACTCAGCGGTCGTTTCAGGTGCACCGGTCAACAAGCCTGGGACATTGGTATCCGAGACCCAAGTAACACGCGTCGAAGTCGGCGGGAGGCTCTGCTCTGGTGCTGGGACAATGACAGTGGACGTCAACTGCTGAGGGGCACTGTAGAGTGTATCAGCATGTGGTCTTTCTTGGGATAATGGGATGGTACGGTGCCTCGGCGGCAGGGTGAGTAGCGGAAGATGTGACAATCGGGCTCCCATCCAGGGAGACTCCAAAATTGACGGCGCTTGCACCACTTGGCTACCCATGCACATGGCATCCACAGAAAACTCACGATGGGTTCGACTGGCCCGCGCCTGGTTGCTGAGTCGGGGTAGCCGGTGGGTCAACCGTGACCTGCACAGTTGTCTGAACGGTGGTGCCGGGGTTGCCGCCACCATTGCTAGTGCCCGGGTTGGGGTTGGGGTTTGGGTTGGGGTTGGCCGAGGTGCCAGGCTCCGGGGTGGTCGGCGGGTTATTGGAGGAGGGCCCGGGAGATGGTGGAGCCTGAGAGGTGGGGGGCTGCTCAGTTGTGGGAGGAGGAGCCTCGGTCGTTACGGGCGGCTGTGCAGTGGTGGTGGGGGGGTTGGGAGACGGCGAGGAGGCTGGAGGAGGATCGGATGATGGGGCAGGCGTGGACGGGGGATCAGGGGTAGGCGTCGGTGTCGAGGGTGGTGGTGATGACGAGGCAGCTGTCAGGACCACGCAATGGAAGAAGTGGCGTAAGTGGGAGAGGTCCGCGCAGAAGCGGCTACAAGATAGAATGAAGGGGGCAACTCACGAGGGGGTTCGACTGGGGTTGACGGCTCTGGTGCCGGTGTGGAAGCCGGCGGAGCAGGTGTTGTTTCGGCGCCGGGGGATTGGCTCTGACGAGGGTAGAGGACATGGCGGCGGTCTGCCTGAGGGACAGACTTGCGCCGACGGAGACCAGGAAGACCGGCCTGCATGGCGGAGATGGCGGAGGGGGGGAGGGGAGGGAGGGGAGGGAGATTGGAGGATGGAGGAGTGTGTGAAGAGAGCTTTGTTGGAGTCGGAGTGGGGGTGGTGCGTGTGCGAGAGAGGAGAGAGAGAGAGATTTGAGGTAGTCACTGGAGATGGAGCGAAAGCCACGAGCAACAGAAGCAGATGTAGAGGATGTGGAGGATGAGAGAGAGACGGAGAGCGAGCGGCGTGGAGGACGGGGGACGGCGGCGAGGAGCGGGGCGGGGCGGGGCGGGGCGATTGACGAGAGAGCGCCGAGGGGGGAGCGACGAGAGCAAGAGCGAGAGAGAGGGAGAGGGTTTGGAGCCACAGGGAGCGGGGAGGGCAAAGGCAAATCAGGGACCGTTGCAGGGCGGCTCAGTGATAGCTCAGGGTTTTAGATGAGGCAAGAAGTGGGCACTCCTCGCCATGCCATGCATGCAGCAGCCTCATTCTTCGCCTCCCCTTCATCTCCGCTCGATTTACTTATTCTCGGGATGCCAATGTCTTCAAGAGTCTTGTATTCAAAGCGATCATGGTGATGGTACAAGAGACTCGTCCAGGATAGAGTGGGAGAGCGCGGGTGTCCCGGAGAGTGCACGTGCAGCAAAGAACAGATCGCCCTCCTTCTGTCGCGATCTGATCGTCTGTGCCATTCATTTTCAACACAAGATTAGACAAGCAACGACTACCCATCCACAATAACTCACCTCACGCATACAAATCCTCACTGCAAACACTGGGCGCAGCAATGGCAGAGTGAGCAACATGCGACATGTGAGGGCTGCATGAGGCAAATCTCGTGGCTAACTCAGGACTTGACAAACCTCAATCAAGCGATCATCCGCGTCCCTGTCTATCGCAATCCCCACTCTCTGCTCTCCTGCCGGCAATGCTACCAGCGAGCGGACGTAGCGGGAGGCTTATTTGGATGGCAGGCAAACTGCTTGTGCTCCTCCCCCGATCCCCCCGAGCTTCCACTCTCTGCCAGGTTGTGGCAGTCTCAGAGGGTGAGAGAGGGAATCACGTGAGTGGGCCTGAGACTTCTCTCTCGAAAAAAAGATGACGTACGTCAGGGCCCCCGAAAGAGGTGAATTTCAGGCACCACTCTAATGACGACAAGGTCCATTACCCGATTGGCACTCTTGAAACCACGCTCCTTGTGGTCTCGCTGACTCTTTTTGCCTCGCTTGAGCTACTTCTGTTGTCGCTTGAGGTCCGCCGACGACGAGGCACGAGGCCAAGCAGCCAGCGGGTGTCACATTGACGGGCATCAGTGAAGCTACCACCTGTTGTATATAATGGGTGTTCAGCGACGCCCGCAACGAACGAGGCAACGGCCTACCTTGAACCCAACCAGCCCCAGCTCAGATATGGTGCGATGCTGACATGGGAACCGCTTGATAAATCAGTAACCAGCTTCCAGCATCGTGCCGTGGCACAGGGCGTCCGCCCAGAGGCACCGACTGAAGCGGCAGCGTGCGGTGCGTCTGAGAGATTAAAGCCAGGTGTCAGTCAGCCAACAGCGGTCAGCAAAGCCATCGGCTAGAGGTGAGGGGCGGCCAGCGGCCAGCGGCCAAGGATGGAATGCAAGTTCTCTATCCATGCCGAGAGTCACGGGGCTGCACTGCCCCACATGCCTTGCGCCCATCCTCTGCCCACCTTCTCCGCCGGAAAGACAGAGCTCGGCGTTGATAAGCATCTTGAGTGGCGCCGGCGACGCTCTGGTCATTCTCGTGGCTCCGTAAATGACGCCTCGGAGCACTGCGAGTGCGCCGAGTAGATACTCGATTGGTACGAAGGCCTTGCGCCTCTGCCGTGGGAGGCACAGCGATGCGACGGGGTCGCGCAATGCATCGCCGATGCCGACACGCACATACCATCTACAATAGCGTGATCAGTGCGTGCGGGCGGGCAAGATCTTGCTCGGCTGGTAGTGCCCGGGGAAAGCGGCCGAGCGGACTGTGCTGCGCGTTGCTGACGGCCGTGACATTTCAAGATGAGTCCACAGCTAGATTTAGACTGATGCACCTCGTTTTGGACCGGCGCGGTCGCGGCCTCGACTCTGCACGACGACAAGCACCACCGATCAATCATAGGCCCTCTGATCGAAGCCCAACTGCGCGGACTGTGTGGATGCTGTCTGGCTTCACCTCTCGCGCATCGGCAAATGACCCGGGCTTCGGACAGACCGGGAGCCGTGTCACCACGCCCAACCCCACTCACAGTGCAACATAGTACACTGTGCATAGATGCTCGTCCTCTACAGCGCCTCAGCGGTCTCCGTAACTGCTTCTTGTGTGCTCGTGTGCTCGTATCCTCCCTTCTACGTTGCCATCGCCCTCGCCGCTGCTATTCGCTACACAATCGCTTCCTCCTCGACCTCGCCGGGGCAGGGCCTTGCCGGTTTGGCCGCGAGGCCCTCGCCGCCAAAGCTCGCGAGCCGAATGATCCGGCGCTGGGGCATGGGTTCGCTCTCGCGGCGCTTGAGCTGGCCCATGCGCGGCCCCGGGCCCTGCCGCGGCGATGTGCTCAGCACGCCCGTCTCGGCGACGGTGGGGTGCTGCGGCTCGTTGTCGAGGTACGCCGTCTCGCCGCCCCCAAAGGGGTTCGAGAACATGGTGCTGGCGTCGCGCAGCGGCGGCGAACCCGGCTCACCCTCGGACAGGGGGAGCGGCGCGGGGGTGTGGTTCAGCTTGCTCGCGTCCATGGCTGGCGACGGGTGGGCGGGTGCGTGCGCGTGGTCGTGGTCGTTGGCGGCGTGGGCGTGCGGTGGATGCGCGGCGTTGTGCTGCGAGTGCGCGTGCGAGTGGGTGCGCGGGATCGGTACTGACGACGACGGTGAGGACGAAGACGACGGAGGGGCAGCGGTGGTTTCGGATGTGGTACTCGCCATCTACTGTCAGAGACGGAGAGTGGACGATGGTGAACTCGGTTGGGGGAGGGCACCGGGGGGGTTGGTCGGTGGCGCTGTGGACGGATAGAGGTCACGGGGCCCATCTCGAGCTAGCGGAGGTGTAGATGTGGCACGCAGCCGAGGCAGGATAGCAACGCACAAGGGCGTCGCTGCGGCGGCCAAGAACTCACTGTGAAAGTCGTGGAATGCAACAGTCGCGGTAGCGAGGCTATCCTGTGGCCTTGGGGATAGATAGAGTTACGGGCGCGGCGGCGGACGTGGGCGACAGCCGAAGTGGAGCTGAATAGAGGACGGTGTGGAGGATCAAGTTGGCAAAACGCGTAAGAACCAACCGCCATGACGACGTGAGCTTTGGCTGACATGGCCCTTTGCTTGCAACACGTGACCTCGTCTCATCACCGTGGCCGAGGCATCCTTCTGACATCCTACCATTCCATGCCTCAGCCGAACTTGCCGAGATCTGGCTGATTCTGCGCCATGTCTTGACCCGATCTTCTGCGACGCTCATCACGGAGACCGAGTGGAAGTACGCGGCGCGCGTTGGCAGCTGAGGGACTTTAGTACCTCCCTCCGCTCGCCGGCACCCCCGAGACTTCATCTCCGCGCGCTCCACTCTGTGCCTCCGCTTCCCCCCGTCACATGCTCGGCGATGCTAGACATAGGCGCCGACAATGCATACCTATTCTCACTATATAACGAGCGTCATGATTCTGCTGTCAGCAACGCTCTGCCACGATCTGCCAGAGATCTAGGAAGGGCTTGGCTCGAGGAAATGGAGGGAACGTGTGTTGTGTAACGCAGTGGAGCGAGAAACAAACGAGGCACTCCACCTCTCGGCACGCAATTCGGACTCAATCTCGGAGGGGGCCTCGGCCCCGTCCCCGTCCCACGCTCCATGTACCTCCAGGCTTGGCAACGCCATCCACGCCATTGTCGCGCTTGTCACACTGCGCCACTGCGCACCGTGTCGTGTCTCAGATCCCCGACACGTGATGGCTTTAAATGGCTCATGACACGCTGCTCGATTGTGGATGCGAACAATCCCCAAATGCCTCTGTGCCGCACAGGCCTGGCTTGCGCCGCGTGGACTCACCCATTGGTACAATATGCGTCCACTGTCCTCCCATCGCCGCTTCCCTGCCGCAGCCCTGCGATATCTTGGTCGTTGCCAAAGGCTGCCAGTAATAGACCGGCGTCTTTGACGCTGGCTACCAAACTCGGGACAGCTGCGAGCGTGGTCGCCTCGAGGATGACTCCGAGGAGGTTCGTCTGCTTTGCAAAGTTGACTGCCTCGCGAACGCTCAGGCAACGGTTGTCGGGCTCCGAGCCAGGTGCGACCGGGACAAGGCGCGCCCCGCCAACCTGGCGTCTGTCCAGGCCGCAGTACGATGCAAACATGACGGCGTCTGGCGTTAGTTCACACAATAAAAAAGATAGACCCACAATTTGGCTGCTTCCAGTTCAGCGCTGTGCAGACGGTCGGGTCAAAGGACGAGAACAGGAAGCGCCTGCCGGGTGTACTCCTGCCAGCGTCGTATACTACCTGGAGGACCGCGTCCACGAATGCGTTGACCTCGATGCTGCGCGCAATGCCGAGGCGGGCGGCGTCAAATGCTCGGGTATACCTGAGGCACAAATTGATGCCAACCTCAGGAGGTACAAGGTCAAGAACATCTTTGAGACTTGCGTACTGGCCGGCTACAAGGGCGTGCCACCCAGCTAGGCTGTCGGCGCGACCGCTCTTGGGAAGCGTGCGACCGTGGGCTTGCGCGAGCGCCTCGAACTGCGCAAACGTCAGGTTCGACACACCCACATCAAAGTCGGGCACGGGCAGCTTGGCATCCGGGTAGACGACAGGAACGCCGTCGCGAGTCACTTGCACTTGCAGGCGCATGTAATCGCCGCTGAGCGAGGACGCCGTCACAAGTGCAGGCTCGTCCTGCTGAGGGGCGGCGACCGTGGGGCGAGCTGACGGGTTGAGCGTTGACACGCCAATGGGCCGGTGCGATTGGAACTGGTGGGCATGGTCCTGCGCTGCATTTGACGGCGCGACAGTGCTCTTCCAGTACGTCTCGACACGGCCGCCAATCTCGAGCTGAGCGCCCTCGAACGGCTGAATGCAGCTGACTTCAAAGGCGACCTCACCAATCGTCTTGAGGTGGTGGTCAACGAGGAAGGCAGTGAACCCCTTATGGTCCTGGATGTTGGTGAATGTGGAGGGGTGAATGAGCGCCCTGCCAATAACCTTCGACCCAAACGTAGGATACAGCGACACTTCGAGCGTGAACTTTTCGAGGGACTGGACCTGGAACGAAAAGACCTCGCGCGAATCGGCGAGCGGGAGAATGATGGAGTGCGGGTTGATCGTTGTGTCCGACTTGGAAGTCATGACAAGCTTAAGGCTTGACCACATGTGCAGCGAATCTGAGCCTGACGAGCGAGAGTAGATCTTGACGGGTGGCGTCTTCTCGTCGCCCTTGGAGAAGGGGTGCCCCAGAGAGAGCTGAACGAGGCAGCGCTTCGCCAAGAACTCGTGGCCATAAACGCGAAGAGGAACCATCGGTGGGGGAAGGGAGAGCGAGGGAATCAGCTCAAAGTCCTCCATCGCTGGAGGCTCGAGCTCAACGTCTGACCCGGGCGACATGCCGTCCATCTGCGGGTCGGCCGAAAGTCCCAGGTTCTCCATCCCGCGTATCTCCGTATCCCTCGTGTTGAGACGTGCGCCCGACTCAACGAGGAAGTTGAGAATACCAACCTGACCGAACCACGCGGCATACCACCCTGGTGATTTGCCATACTCGTCGAGGGCGTTGACGTCGCACCCGGCAGCAACCAGCACGCGAATGCAAGCGAGGTGCTCTGGTCGCCCGCCGACCGCGGCGTGGTGCATCGGCGTCCAGAGGTTGTACTTGTCAGGCTTGTCCTTGCCGCCACCCTTGCCCTGGTCGACTAGCAGGCGGCAAATGGCCTCGTGGCCGGCCTTTGCCGCAACATGCATGGGGTACATGCCCTCCGAGTTGGGGCGGATTTTGGCGCCACGCTTGAGCAGCAATTCGGCAACCTCGACGTGCCCGTACTGGCATGCCAATGACAAGGGGATCAAATCGGTGGACAGCGCCGTGGGCTCAACATCCGCCTCACCAGATACGAATATACGCACCACCTCGAGGTGGCCTTGCGTGATCGCGTGCATGAGAGGCGTGTAGCCATCCTTGTCCGTCGGAGACACCTTTGCACCAGCGTTGAGCAGTAGCGAGACGAGGGAAGGATGCCCGTGCATGGCGGCGTAGTGAATTGGGCGACGAGCATATGCATCCTCGCGTTCGATCAGCTCGGGTGCCTTGTCGATGCACTTTTCAACGAGCTTGAGCGATCCGTTGATGCACGCGAGGTGCAGGGGCCCGCGGTCGTTGATCTTGTCGACGTAGTGGAAGTCGAGGGGAAGCATGAAGACCAGGTCGAGGTAGTCGTCTGGGACGGTGAGAGCTGCCCGCCAGACAATACGCATCGCTCGGCTGCCCGTTTTGTCCTTTGCCAGCAGACGCTTGGCCTGTTTGAGCCAGTGGGTAAGGGATTCACGACCGCCCTCGACGACTTTGGGGAGATTGACCTCAAGGTCAAGAAGAGCATCTGTAGCAAGTGCTTCCCCGGGGTCCGACTCGTAATCTTCGCGATCGAAGGTGAGGGCGTCTTCTGCAATTGGTTCGGGAAGGTCGGCCGTTAACAAAGAAGCAGATACAAGGTCGATCCCATTCCCCATGTCGACGAGGTTTGCTGCCACAATGTCCGAAAGGCGAGCGATAAATTCGCGGTTGAAGCAAGGCTGCACCTCGACCTGGCGCTCAAGGTAGAGCTCTTTTGTATTAGATTTCGAGCGTTTGTCCCACTTCTTGAGAATCTTGCGGAAGCCCGTAGCGTTGATCTCGATGAATCCCTGGAGCTTGCCAAGGTCACGCTCAAACAAACGCCAACCTTCTTCGAGCGAGCTCCACTCTGCCGAACGCTTCTCGCCCTCGCCAACGTCTGCGCCGTCCGACCCGAGCTCGCGCTGGCTACGCAACAACCTCTTGCGGTTACTGAGAAGAGTGAGTAGACGGAGACGGAGCTCGCGCTCCTTGATGAGGTAGAACTGGTTGATCTAGGGTCAGCGCCCCACCCCACCCATTGTGGTATGCAAGCTTACCTTCTCAAGTTCGCGCTGGAGGAGGAAGAAGAATGCGTCACGGTGCGCCTTGAAACTGCCCTCGCGCGCGCTGCCATTGCGGTGGCTTGCGCTGATCATCGAGTGCGTCCCGCCGGGTGCCGGAGGCTGCGCCTCGGCGGGCAGCGGCTCGAGATCAAGGGAGTCGCCTTCTGGATCAGCTGTGACGGCAATGGAAGGGGTGTCGACGACGCCATCTGCCTCAACGTCGGGGGCGGCTGGTGCGCCGAGTGAAAGCGTGCTATCAAGGGCAGGGAATGTGGGCGTCTCAATTGCGCTGGTAGCAGGTGACGCGAGGTCGGCGCTGTGCTTCTTGAGACGGCCACCGGTGGCCAAGATTGCGACTTCGCTGGCTGGACGACCGGCAGCGAGACTGTTGATGATCTTCTTGAGGGCCTTGTAGTTGAGGTAGTACTCTGACCAACCGGCGACCTGGGACGCGACGATGCTCTTGCCGAACTAATTGTTAGCCAAGGGCGTCAAAGTGGGGCGCACCTTCATAGTTCAGTGGAGTCGGGTGAGGAAGAGATCGGGACGGGATGGAAGGGGGAGGGGACGTCGCTTTGGGGTGGGATATGGGTAAGAGTGGGTTCTACAAGTAGAGCATGGAGGCGATGTGGACAAGTGGAAAGAGTGAGAAGCGTGGCTGGAGGCTGGAGGGCGGTGACGAGACGATCGCCCGATGTCCGGCTGTCGTCAACAAACCGAAGATGAACGAGGGCTGGCGGACGCTTCGGAGTGCTGGGCAACGGTGCAAGCGGCAAGAAACGATTTGGTTTGTCTGTGCAGGAGAGGCGAGGAGGAGAGAGGAGGCGCGTGAGAGGATGAGAAGAGGAGAGGAGAGGAGTGGAGAGAGAGCGACTGGAGAATCGAAGAGCAATGTGTGATGGACGAGGAGCGAGAATAGTCGCGACGCGTGGGGGGGGGGGAGGAGGGGGAGAGGGAAGGCCATCGCTCGCTGCGGTGGAGGTTGGCCGGCATGGCCGGAATGCCCGGGTGGCTCACCTTGGAGGCTTGAGGTCAGGGACTATTTGGGGCTGATTAGGACGGGGGTGGATTCGACAATCTCACACACGTGCGTCCAATTTAGATTCCGTCATCATCCCCTTGCAATCTTCCAAAGATCGAAATGTCGCGCGCGCGCCGCAACCTTCCGCCGTGTGCTCAGCCTCATGCCGCTTACCTTGCCCCCCCGCGGCCACGACGCCGGCTCTCGCTTCTGCTTCTCAGGAGGTAGTGCTGGGCAACATCGCCTAACTCATGCCACATGCCACTCGCGCCTTGCTCGTTTGCTCGCTCGTTTGCTCGCTCACCACCAAAGATGGACACGTCTCACCCGTTGTCGCTTCACCACTCCCATGTCGCACGGCTGCCAGCTGCCAGATCGCAGATCCACCGCCCGAGCCTCACCCGTGCGCGCGTGACACATTTCGTTTCGATCACCCGCACACGTTGCTGGAATAGCTCGCCTCCGTGGCGGGCTCGCCCCGGGGCTCCGACGCTCCCTGCAGCGCCATGTTCTCATCTCCTGGCCGCTCCATTTCTGGGCGCTACTGCTACTGCTACTGACCTGACCTGACCTGACCTACTGGGTGGTAGGGCGGCGCAGGGCGCCGGCGGGGCAGCAGTCGGACAAAGGTCGACACCCAACGGCCATCGGCGTCGGATGTCCGTCCGCTCGAGCTCGACTAGCTGGCTGCTTGCTCGTTATTGGAACATCGCTTGAAAGAGTAAACAGTTTTCGAACATTTCTTGTCTCTACTGGAAGAGCCTTTTATGCGGTACAGAGAAAAGAACGCTCTGGAACATAGTCATGGGAACAGCGAACAGCGAACAGCGAACAGCGAACAACACCGCGCGTTGCAACCGTGCAACAGTGCAGATTAGCAGGCATGCTCCTTCCGCAGCTCCTGTGCGCCCGACTTCCCCTTTCCCCACTCCTCCTCGGGATTTTGTTTGCCGAGCCATATCATGAAAGCATCTATGCCTGCTGGAGACGGAAAGTGGTGTTGGGCTCCGAGATCCGCTCCGCGCATTAGTCGGCCCCGATCGCGCGACCCCAGCGGGAGCGCTCAACGTTTACGAACGTGTTCCGACAAATGCTCAACTCAACAATTGCACAACTCTACAGCTCTACACTACTATGCTACTCTCTATGCTCCCGCGTGTCTAACCCGCTGCTAAGCGGCTACCTCTCCTTGCCATCCCCATCCTCGTCGCCGAGCGCAAAGACGCTTGGTCCCCTGTGCTCGCTCTCCTCACTCACCCGCTCGACTGCCCGCCCCTTGCCCTTATCCCGGCGCGGGGGGTAGGTGTCGTGCATTTCAAAGTCTTCCGCAGCCAACGGAACGCGCTCTTCCGAGTCGCGCTGAGATGGCAGACCCAAAGCGACGCGGCCCTGGCGGCGCAATCGGCGGCGACGGAAGTAGAAGTAGCAACCCACGATGCCACCTAGGATGCACAGGATGACGACGGCCGAGACGGCGTTGTACCACGCCTCCCAGTCACCGCTACCGCCCTTGAGCAGCGGCAAGCCCGCGTCCTCCTTGATCGTGCCAAAGTGGACGGCCTGTCGCTCGTCGTCGCCAACTTTCGAACTCCAGCCTCCTGTCACACCTGGGAGAAGGTTGAAGTCGACGTCCATGAAGCGAAGGATCATATCGTTCGTGACGTGTGGCACATCAAAACCCACCATGTGGCTCGCTTCCACCACTTTTGCGTAGGTCAGGTTGCGCACCTCGGTCCACTCGCCAGCATGGGTGCCGTTCACGCTCCATGGCAGCGCTGTTGCGTTCCCGAAGCCAGTGCCGCCCGACCAAGTCATGGCGTCGATCATGTTCTCGACGCCGACGTTGTTACAGATCAGGTCCTCGGCACCTGCAAACATCAACACCTTGAGCCCAGCCTCAAGGAGGCCAGGGAGCAGATGCACAGAGGCCGGACTGCGGCGGTTGTGTAATTCGTTGCCTACACGCCCGTTACACTCTACCCATGCCGTCTCGTGCATAGTAGCGTGCAGCGCTTTAACAACGTCTGGGCGTCGCAGGAACGAGTAGACGTCTTCGAGGTCAGGCGGCCACCCCATCCCACACTTGGGGTAGTCGTCCGTTTTGCGAACATCGTAAATGTTCATGCAGACCTTCTTGCCGTTCAATCTGGAGGCAATGTCAGCATTTGTGTCTCACACCGGAGAGATAGTGCCAACTCACTCTTTGACAAACGGCTTTGTCACCTTGTGCATGACCCCCTCGCACGCGTCGATATTGATAGGCGTCTTCAGAGGGTCGGTGTACTCTTCCAATGACTTGTTGCATTTCTCCATCGCGGCGTCGAGCTCCTTGCCGGCCTTGGGTTAGGTTTGTTCAAAAGTTCTCCCTCACCGCGGAGCCCTTTGTGATGAGTTCCTTCTTGTACGCAAACTCCTGGTATGCTGGATATTGTCGCAGAGGATCAATCCATCCGTTCCCGATCGCGATACCCTTGAGGTCGAGCTTGGGAAGCTTGTCGGTCTTGAGGAGCGCATCGGCTGAGATCAGCAGGTGCTTTGAGGCCACCACGCTCTCGTGACTCACCAAAATACGGAATGTACTGCCCCGCAAAGCTTTCACCAGCGAGGTATGTCTCCTGACCTTCAAGCTCAGGAAAGACCTTGTACAGATTGGCCATGAAGTGTACGAGGTGAGCACTCGCCTCGTCTAACTCGTGCAGGAAGCCGTCTGTCGGGATATACGAGAAGCCAGTTCCGGGAGGCTGGTCAACGAAAATCATGGTTGCGTATTCCTCCCACCCGCCCTCGACGAGCCTGATCTCGGTTTGCCCGCTCTCGGTCTGCGACGCGGGGACGGTGCGGAATGGGCCGACTTCCATGAGCGAGCCGTCGAAAGAGGAGCATCCGGGGCCTCCCTGTGGTCAGCGCCAGCCGGCGGAAGGGCCTTGAGGGAATTGAGGGAATGTGAGAGTGAATTGTGTGCCAATGTGGTCCATGTCGGCTGATACACCGATACCAGTGTGCGATGGGTTGGGCGCTGCGCAGCCGGTCGGGCCGCGCGGTCGCATAAGTGTTACTCACGTTGAACCAGAAGATGACGCGCTGCTTGCCAGCACTCCGACGTGCTTTAGCCATCATAAAGAAGATGCGGGCGTCCTTGCCGGTCGGGCCCTCTCCGCCGCCGGCGTTGGGGCCGGGGTAGGACGGAATCTCGCCAGCATACAGGTTGAGTGGGTGACTGGTGTGAGCGGAGCTTCGGCAGAGCTGTGGGTCTGTTGGTGGAAGAAAGATAGGATACAGCCTACTGCTGTAACAACCTTCCTTCCCGTCATCGCCTTTGGAATAACTCACGTTGGGTGGTCAGCCAAATCGGGCACGCCTGGAAGGGAGGGCACGAACAGCTCGGCAGCGGTTGGGAGGGTGGTATCCCCGCTGGCGGGCGGGTCGACTTGACGCCGTGAGTGTTCGTTGGTCCCAGGATCAGCCCATGCGAGGTCTCGTGAACCGCGGACGCGGGAGCGTGGATCGAGAAGGGGCAGGGACATGGTAGTCACTCGACTTGGGGTTGCGGTGTCGGTCCAGCGGGTCGAGAAAAGCGAGGTTGCTGGGCCGAGGGTGGGTAAGCCCAGCAATAGGCCGGGGGGAGAGGAGAAGTGGAGGAGAGGGAGGGAGATGGGAAGAGATGAAGAGAGCCGGAGTGGATCAGAGCTGCGGAGTGGTATGGCTTGAATGGTTGCCGGATCTCGGGCTGGCAGGGACGTGGAGATCGCGACGCGGAGAGTGGAGGTCGGTTCCAGTCACGTGAGAATTGTCGCTGGCCCAACATTCGAATCATCGCCGCTGGCTCTCCAGCTGCTCAGCTCATCAGATCCTCAGTTTGCAGGCAACGGGGCAAGAGTCAGCATGTCGCGCGCAAAATACTATCACGAGAGCGTTGACCCACGCCAGCCCCCACACGGTTACCACACAGCTGCACACAGCCAGTAGCTCTCCCCTCAGCGCAAACGGACGCGCGCAAAAAGCTTCATCAGAATCATCTATAAAATCTGTATCGACACGCCAGCACCCCCCCAGCGATAAATCAGCAGGGCGGGTTTCCTATATGGTGCCGAGACATTAATCCGTTCGTCTAGTGTGCTCCGGCGAGGCGGTGCGGGGGAGTGAGAGAACCCCCGCCCTATGGCAGAGCCGGGCCCATGGTTTTTTGATCTGAAGAGAAATGCATGCACGGCGGCGGGTTTATATAGCCCACAGCGAGGGGGGGGGGGGCGAGGGCGAGGGGGGCGAGCGAAGACGGAAGCAACTTTGATCCCGCCGACTGCCGGTGGAGGTCCAGAAATGTTGAGCATGTCTTGAGAGCATGTTTGTGTGGAGATCGTGCTGAGGCCTCGACAACTACAACGACATGACGCATCGCTCACGCTCCGGCGGTCCGCCAAAGAGGCGCACGCAGACCAAGAAACGCGGACCAAAGCTCAACCATCCGCCGGGGGATGACGATCGCGACGAGGAGGCGCGCGAGCATGAAGGTGGCGAGGGCGAGGGGAAGGGCGACGACGACGACGACGCCGGCATCCCGCCCGCCTCACATTTCGCCCAGCCGACCAACGACGACGTCCTCACCGTCCTTCGGTGGGCGCTGCTTGATACATTGAACAGCGACGAGTTCCCGGCCCTCGTCCAGCGCGCAAAGGGCCTGCTGTTCGAACGCAAGTGGCTGGAGCTCTTCACCGATCCGGAGTTGCTCGACGCGTACGCTGGGCGGTGGGTGCCCAGCCGCGCGCTGTGCTTTCGTGACATGATGGCCGGGTTACCCGAGGTGCGCAAGGTGTTCACTATCGAGGGCAGGACGGGCAAGGACAGGTCCGCCGCAAGGAGGAGGGGCGACGCCAGTCAATCCGATGGTGACGCCCTTGAAGCGGTCACGGAGATAGACAAGACGGACGAGACGGACGAGCAGGGTGGTGAGATCCAGTCCGAGGGAAAGGAAGAGGACCAGCGCGAGGTGGAGGGAACAATCAGAGACGACCTTGGCGGTCCAGACCGCACACACATCCTCTCGCTTGGCGGAGGTGCCGGTTCCGAGCTCCTCGCCGTCGCCGCTCTCGCCTCCCGTGGCGGCCGGATCAGGTGGACAGGCGTAGACGTCGGCGCATGGGGCGACGTGATATCGCGTATCGAGACGGCTGCACGCGACAGGTGGCGCTTCGACGCCGACTTCGCCTTCATCGAAGGTAATCTCCTGGCTCCCCCCGCACCATCTCATGCGACGGGTCCCACGCCCGACGTGTCGCCGACCACCGATACCTTCGCTGCCTCCTCCAAAGCGGCAGTGTCGGACTCCCTCCCCACGCCACCCATCACGCCCCACCCCACGCACGCCGCGCCTGCGTTCGTGGCCATCCCGGCCCTTGCGGCCGTTCCCGCCCCAGATATCACCACACTCTTCTTCACACTCACCGAACTGCTGTCGCAGAACCGGGCGCGCACCGTCGCTCTTCTACGCGCCGTCACGGCCGCGACGCCGCGCGGCGGCCTCCTTCTTGTCGCTGACTCTGCGAGCGACATCGCCGAGTTCCCGCTCGGCAAGGACGGACGCACGTGGCCCGTTTACATGGTTCTCGACGCCATCATCGGCGCTATCTCCAAGGCCGGGGACGAGGGGGGATGGCGCAAGATCCACAGCGAGGACTCGCGGTGGTTCCGTCTCAGTGGGGAGCGGTGGCCTTGCAAGCTGGAGAATGCGCGCTATTGGATGCGCGTCTACCGTCGGGTATGAGGGAGGACAAGGAGGGTGGTGCGCCAGCGGATCCATCAGCGAACGACATAGACATGCACCTGTTGTAACTTTGCGCGTTGGCGAATGTGAGCGTGCAAGGGCTGTGGGATTCACTCGGGTGTTGAAAGCGCTGACAATGCCGCATCGCATGTGTCGTGCAGACATCAACTCGCACAAGCCACCTCCTGTCGCACCGGTGATCCGTGAGGCATCGCACGCACTAGCTTCTGAACCTGCCGCCACCATGCATGTCCAAACCTTCTGCCACTCTGTCACGTCTAGGATGCCCCACAAAACCAGGTGTTGGCCCATCACGGCCAGATGCGTTGGCGCAAAGAATGCCCCTCCCTTTCCTTTCGCCTTGCATGCCGCACCGTCCCGCACCACATGTCCTCTTCCGCCCATCGGCGTGTGTCATCCCCCACCACAATGTGTCAGCTCATGCAACCGGCAGACGAGACTCGATGCCGCAAGCGAACACGGCCGACGGCCTTCTCCAATGCGTTTCCTAGCGAAGATGCTGATTCATCGCACTCGACGCTGGCTCATAGCTTTAGGTTGCGTAGTCACCAGGTGGGCGCATGTGGCACTCTCTCGCCTGGCGACTGCGTGTCCTGCTGATGCCAGAACTGTTTGTGGCGGTGGCTGTGAGAGAACGAGGTGCAACGATGCACCCCGTGACCATTGAAGCCACGAATAGAGCGCAGCGCGCTCAGCACTCAGTGCGTCGAACTGTCAAGGACGCGCAGCTCGGCTCTGTTCGGTTCACTAGCTCCCCGGCCAATCTTCAGCCAAACAGCCACATTCCACTCATGCGCATGCCTACTACACCTCACAGGACCTACAAACTACAGACACCGTCCGTCGCGGACGTCGGACTCGCACGCCTCGTCACTTGATATCCGAAATGTACAACTAGCGCGCGGCAGTCGCGGCCGCGGGCTGTGGGGTCGGCGGCAGGTGCCCGCCGCCCGTCTGGATCGGGCACTGCTCACCAGTCTGGACGCACTGCTCGCCAGTCTGGAACACGAGCGGGCTAGACCGATGGTCTTTCTCGCGCTTGTTGATGTCGGCAAGAATCTTGGGTCAGCAACAGCACGGCAAGCGCGGTATGAGCTTTGAGCACGTGATTGAAAACGATGTAAGGAGGATGTGTGGGAGGGGAAGCGAGCGGAACCGAAACGGCAACTCCCAAGCACCTCGGGGATGCGTAGATAAGATGCCGCCGGGATTGCAGAAGAGCTGCGGAATGGACAAATGACCTGGCTGAGAAGCCGGCAATCAAGGGACGGGGCGTCGCCTCGGCCTACGAGCCCGAAGCGTGACCGCGCCGCAACATGTCACTTGGCGGCGCCGACAGGGCAAAGGCACAGTTCCGGATCTGTGGTGCAATCTTGCTGCGTTCCACGCATCTCGATTCTGACAAGGACTGCACCCCCGTGCAACACTTGTTGGGGCAAGCAGACGAGGGCGTCGCTGTGCCATTCCCTCCCACACCTTGCCCCTGTTGCTCCGAGACATTCTCGACGCACAGCTCTGCTGCGCTCTCGGCTGACCCCGCCTCGGCCACGAATTCGTACGAGCCCACTCACCTCGACAAACTCGTCAACGCCCATGGCGCCCGACGCCGCATACTTGTCTTGGAACACAAAGAAGGGCACACCGGTGATACCCATCCGCTGCGCCGTCTGGTACTGCTTCTTGACCTCGAGGTCACACGCGGAACTGGCGAGCCACGCGAGGCCGCTCTCCTTGTTGGGGAAGAGACCGTGCTTGACGCCAATCTCTGCAAGTCCATCGCGGTCGCTCAGATGGACACCCTTGACGTGGTAGAGGTTGAAAATGTCCATTGAGACGCCAAGCTGCGAGGCTGGCTTGACCTGTCCCGCATACTCGGTCAGGCGGTGCGCGAGGTGGCTTTGCGACATTGCACCGTCCGTTTTGCTACCATCAGCGGGGCCACTTTGGTCCGCGGCCGGGCGGCGCCGTCGCGTTAGGGTAACGGGGCGACGAATGACATGCGCTCCGCCCCGTGCCCTTGACAGCAGTCTGTCCCGAGGAGACAAATACGCACTAATCGATACCGACCGACTTGAATTTGGCAGCGAGGGAGTCGCACACGCAGTTCCAGCGGTCTGCGCCAAACTTCTTCTCGCCATACTCGGAGCGCTGCATGGGAGTCTCGGAGATGAGACCGTTAAGCTGGAAGGGGCGCATGCAGATCTCGACGTTGAATGGCTCGGGTTCGCGCTCGCTGTACTTCTGGATAGCTGTTGTCAGCGCGGAATCTTGCGGTGGGAAGGGAAGCGATTGTGCGGATCGGCGGATTGATGGGATGAGCGGTTGCGGTTGCAAGAGCGCCGGCGGACGCCCAAGGAGGTCACCCGATTATCGCTCTCTGATCGTGAGTCCCGTCGCCGGGCGCGCGTTGTCGAGCAGCTCAAAGGCCGGGAAGATGCCTCATCGCGCTCACACGACCGCTCGTCGCTGAGCTTGGGCCTGAACCAATCCCAACTGGTCTGTAGCGGCAGATGATCAGGCGGCCCCATACCCCGCAGCGCAGCCGCAGTGTCCGGAAAGGCCGATATACTCACCGAGCTCGAGTTGCCGCATGCCAAGGAGGCAGAATGGGCACAGGTAATCGGACTGGTGTGAGCGACGATGGACGAGCGGCGAAAAGAGCATGACAGGTGAGTATGTCTTCGTGCAGAAAGCAACAGGCAGACAGACACAGACTTACGGTCACATCGACCTTGAGTGTCCGGGTGGCGGCCATGATGTTAAGGGTGGAAGAGGGCCGCGCTCCTCAAGCGATGAGAAAGATGGTAAAAGCCAGGCGTCGTAGGCGACTCGAGGAATGGGGATGAAGATGGCGACGAGATGGAGAGTAAAGAGTAGAGTTGATGGGAGGAGATGGAGGCTATGGAGGATGGAGGGATGGGGAACTGGACGTGGGGTGAGAGATGATGAATGGCAAGATGGTTGGTCGATAACAAATATGACGCCAGCAAGTCTTTGGAATACGCTAATTACGCTAGAGTAATGTCTCTTGTCAATATCGCCTCCACCAACCCTTGGGCGTTGCTTGTCTCTCTGGCCAGTGGTTCGAGGAAGATGCTGACTGATGAGCTAACCGAAGGCGAGTACAGTAGATGGTCGTGTGCTTTGATGCATCAACCTTGCCAGAGTCAACTCGAGCTTATGGAAGGCCGACGGTGTCTGCAGTGCAGCGGAACAGACGCGGAGCTATGTTCTCCGGGGGGGGGGGGGGGGGGGGTGGCCGGGTAGCCGAGTGGACGCCTTGACGACTTGCCTGTGCGCCCCAATGTCCATTCCCAATGCTCAATGCCCAATGCCCATTGCCCAATGCCCATGTCCGTCGTCCCTCTGTTCTCCCCCAGTTCTCCCCCAGTTCTCCCCGACCCCGCAACCCCCACAGCCCCCACACGACTGTGCATCATGGGTTGCATGACATGGCCCAAGTCATTTGTTCATGAGTTCATGCCGGCGTGCCGAGTTTGCTGCGCCGCAATCACTCTGACGACCTCGGGCTTCGGCCAAAAGCGTCATTTACGTATTTACGTAAACGCATAATGCTGAATCATTGAAGCTCAGTGGTGGACGGCGATCCGGCCGCCGCGATGCCCTATCGACACGTGGTCTAGAAGGGTGGAGAGCGTTCGCGCGTCCGCGGTCCTCGCGCGTCATCGGGCATGCGGGCGGATATTCCCACAGCCGGGAGGCAGCCGGGAGGGGGGGTTGCAATGCTGGCAATACTTGCCGTTAATAGCACTTCTGACATCTTTGATCTTTGAAAGGGGATTCTTTTCATCACGTACATGGGGACACTGACACTCAATTCCGAAATGCTTGTCAATGAACGCTGAGAGGACCAGACGCAACTACGAAAGCAACGTGGCTGAGCCTTGTCTGAGTGCAGCATGCAGCACACAGCTCACCACTTGCAAGCGCAAGATATACCTCGGCGGGATCAGCCAATGACGTTGCAAGGATTTTGCGTCCAAGTCCGACATGCGGGCGCCGGCGCGCCGGACCAGAGGCCACCTGGTTACATGCACAGCTTGTGAGTCAAAAGAGTTGGCCTCCTTCGCGTCATGTGGTCTGTCGTATTATGACTACCAGCCAACGGTATAAGCTAATGTTGACTGCCAGCTGCCAGCTGCCAGCTGCCAGTTGCCAGCTGCCAGTTGCCAGTTGCCAGTTGCCAGTTGCCCGTGTGAGATGCAATGCCCTTCCGTATCTCCAAGGAATCAACCGATCCCCGACCGGAACGTGGCATCGAGCCACCTCATTAACCAAAGGGTTAAGAGCGCCACGGCTGACAGCCTCGACGCGTCGTTGTCCCTTGCCAGTGCCAGATGGCCACCACAAGCATGCAGGCAACTGCCTGTCGCTTGTATCGTACATGTACAGTGCAGTACATATGCCATGCAGTCCAATGACCCAACTAGTATGGAAATCGCCCTCGACTTGCCGAAGATGCCGGCAGCACACGCTTGGGTTTGGCACTTGTGAAGCAAACACGGCAGAGTTTCCGGGATGTGAGAACGCGTCCTGCCGGCATGTTGTTCCGAGATCGGAAGTCTGTGGCCCATCCAATGTGGTGGAGGAATGAGCGAGAGTTTGAGCAGACAACAGTAGAGTACGAGATGACGAGAGTCGACAAGAGGAGGAAAAGGTTGAGGAACGCGCGCAAAGGGCGGCGACGCGTCGGATGAGAAAGCCTGAGACGGGACCGTGGCATGAGATCCGGGAAGGGATCAAGGGATCATGGTGCTCCCGGTCGTGTCGTGTGGAGGAGGAGGTTCAGCTCCCAGTCTTTCGGAACTTCTTGTGGGAAGCCACGGCCGCCACAGCGGGCCACCACTGGGATATGAATGCATAGAGAATTACAGAGCGGGACAGGTTTCTGTCATAGTCGTCCGTAAGTGTTATGTAGTGATAAGCAGGCGTCTGATGTAGCAATCCATTAATAGCGACGAGAATGAAGAACCGGGGGTGTCCCAGTGCAAGAGTGCGGAGAGCAATTTGTATCTTCAAAGTGTGCGAGATGATATTGTACCCTGCGCTTCTCTCCCTTTTTAAACTCCCTGGTTGTCAGAGTTGTTTCATGCATCATGCAACGGAATCCCAACCATGTTTCAAGCCCAAATCATTAGCGGAAGCAATTCAAACTCGTCGTCAATTGTTCAACCGCGATCAAGCATCAGGGGTAGATGTGTAGTGCTTTGGGCGCTTCCAGGGGCTCCCCCAGGGGATAGGCAGTGAGATGGAACATGGCCACCAAACCACGTACAGAGTGTCATGCACAGAGTGTTGGTTGCTAGTGTACATAATTCTACTGCTCGCAGAACGCTCCTGGTGGCAGGACGGGAATATCAAGAGCTTACTGGTTATGATATGATGGGACATGCATTGTGAACGGGCAAGACGACGTGCGGAAGAGCTGGAAGCTGGAGAGTTGTGGTGTCGCGTTTCGACGGGCCCAGACGGGGAAGCACCCTTGTCTCTAAACTTGCCACCACCACCCTTTTCTATTAAATCCTGTCATTACCGTTCTGCACATCTGCACATCTCCGCCGATGATCAGCTCGAATTTGCTCAGGAAAGGATTGCAGGTCGAGTAGGTCCGCCTCGACCGCCACTACTTGTGCATGATCCTGCAGAATAAACATGGCCTGGGAGTAAAGGCAGAAGGGGACGAGGGCGGGCGAGATAGGTGATACAACGTATGTACCCTACATACCAAACCTTGCCTGGGACGATGACCCTGGAGGATGGTTCCTACGAGTTCCCTGAATGTGGCTCGACCTCCACCCAGTTCGCGCATGACCCGTGATGAACCATGGGACATGATGGGATGGCTACCAACTTGCTTCCCTTGCATCCATCCTCTAGTCACAGTCACGCTCTCTCTCTCTCTCTCTCGCTCTCTCTCTCTCTCTCTCCTCTCTCTTTCTAATCAACATCCACAACGACATCTCCATCCGATCCATCTCTTACTCTCTCTCTCTCTCTCTCTCTCTTTCTCGTTCTCTCCGTTCATCTACTGTCCTCCACCATCTCCACAGAAACGACCACCCATCACTCACTCAACACGCACGTAACGTCAATCCCCTCTCCGCACCACCCACCCACCACGCACCGCATCCGCACCGCACCGACCGCACCCCACCCACCCCAACTCTTCGCTCCCGCACGCATCTCTCTCTCTTTCTCTCTCTCTCCCCATCCATCTGTGCTCTCGTTCAATCTCGAGTCTTCCCGCACTACATCGGCATCGCCATTGCCAACGCCAACCTTCCTCACTTGCCTGCTCTTCCGCCCACACACCACTTCGCCGCGCGCGCTCCGACGCGCCTATCCCTGTTCCTCTCATTCCCTCCCCTCTGAACGGCTGAGGGCCGAGCCCGTCCCGTCCCCTGCCACCGTTCATCATGCCGTCCCTCTTCAGTCGGTCTCACCAGGCCCCGAAGAAGGACCGAGCACCCGCCGTGCTCGTCGCCAACCATGGCCAAGATCGCAAGGTACTCGGCCTCGCCAAAACTTGGAATGGCTCGAGCGCTACACCCAACAGCTCGAGCGTGGGCGAGTTTGGCACGGTCCCACAACAGTATGTGACCCCGGCGCGCCCCCCCTCCCCCCGCCAACACTCGCGTCCCACAGGCGGGCGCAGAGTAACAACACTGACAGTAGTCTCGCTCCAACCCATGGCTTGACCCTTCCCCGAACCCCCGATGGCATGAGCCAAGCCGATTCGAGCGCGTCGCTGTTGCCCATGCAATCTTCCTTCCTCACCACCCAGATTCCGCAGGGCGCAATGCAGCAACTTTTGGGTGACTCGATGTCTGCCTATGGTGACGACAACGCTAGGCAATACGGTTTCCTCGGTGGCGTTGGGCGCATTGTTGTTCTTGGGCTGGACGAAGTGGCGCGTGTCATTCGTGACGTCGGAGCAGAGCTTGGACGCCGAGGTGAGCTTTTACGCCACGAGATCTGCTGATCCAAGCGCTGGACACGCCCATGCTCTTCTCCAACCAGAGTCTCGAGCTCTCCCAGACCCGCATCAAGATGCTCATCCAGGCCTTTCTCGCCACCATAAGGTTAGTGTGGCTCCGCGTCGCGTGTCGTGTAGCATCCCGGGCCCAGTGCCTATGCTGACACCTTCCAGGTCCGGCAGCCGCGTCCCTACCAAAACATCGCTTGTAACGTTCGAGCAAGACATACGTTTCGCCTCTGACCATGAACTCGCATGGCTTCTTCGCTGGGCTCTGTCGCGCATGACCCGCATTCGCGAGGGCACCCGTGAGGTGTGTCATGGGTGCATCGAGTGGGACATGTACGAAGAGTGGCGTGGACGAGAACGCGCGGCCAAGTACCCCTTTGACGCGTTCAACCAGCTGCAGAGCATTCTCCCTCCTGACGTGTTCAACCACATTGTCGAACCGCTCTTCTCCTTGCTTTCTCGCTTTGCCGCACACTCGCATAACTCGGGCCTCACCCCTCACGCCTTGGCCTCGATCTTTGCGGCCTTGCTGTTCGACATCCCAGCAAACGCACCGTGTCTTGTGGCGCACGCCACCTTTGTCCGTGCAGCCTCTGCCACGGAGCACATGCTGCTGTCGTACGTTCGATCGACTGGAAAGCGCGACGATCTCGGCCTCAGCGAACTCCCCTCTCGTTTGCGGGAGTGGGTCAAGGGTTACCCCTCCATGGTGGCCTCTGATGCCGACCTGGCTCGGGCACTGCCTCGTAAAGGTGCACGTGCCGTAAGATGTCATGTGGCCACGCGCAGCGTGCGTGCTTACTCGCGCGACCTCATTGTGTCGGCAGAGACGTGGGCCGACGATGTGCCGACAGGGTGGGAAACGTGGGACAGGGTGGTTCTTAAGACCCGGCGCGGTGAAGCAGCTCGTCCCAAGTTTTCCACTTCGTGGCGGCGCAAGATGATGGTCAAAGAGACCCTTCCTCTCCCAGCTTCTCTCAACTCGAGCAGGCAGCAGCCGCTCACGTATGGCGCGCCCCTTCGACCTAACCAGACCAAGCCCTCCCAGAAGGATGAGGGGGATGTTGGCAAGTACTCTTCCCTTGCAGGCCAAGAGTGGAGCGCTTTTGAAGACATGGGTTTCGACATGCCCAAGCAGGCCAAATCCTGGGAGCAGCAGAAGGACGAGCGCGACATCTCTCAGCGACTCCAGTTTGACCTGAACGAGAGCGCCAAGCATTCGGTCGCTGAGCGCCGCCAGACCATGGACTGGAGCGAGTTCGCCTCGGGCGGCTTTACGCGGACAGAGAATTATTTGACTGCCAGTCTTACCTTTTCCGCCCCAGTGCAAAGCTCCATAACCGAGTGGCCCAAAGAGCGCGATGAGCTTCGACGTCGACTGCAGAAGACCCAGAAGGAGGCCACGCCGTTCAACCATGATACGACACCGCGCGTAGGACGGGCGGCGAACGTGGAAGGCTCGGACAACAAGGGCCGCATCTATGTTGAGGAGGCGTTCGTGGACTGCTGGGCCGACTTCATGATGGGTGGAGCTTGGACTGACCGTGAGGAACTTACTTTCAAGGAGGCATCCTGGGCATTGGTGAGAGCTAATTCGAGAATGTCCCTAACTCCAGATCGAGTACAAGTGCCGGCCTGAGCGCACGGATGAAAACGACGTCCCTCACCCATCCATCGACCCTCGGACGACCGATGTCTACTTCCTGTTCGAGGAGCGTGTTCCACTGGACTACCAGATGGCTGTCGCGGACCCCAAGCGGAAGAAGTCGCTTCACACCATCTTCAAGCGAAAGAAGGAGAAGCCAGGCTCGCCAGGATCCCTGGACTCTCGCGCCAACGACTTTGACCGCATGTTGAACCGAGGCCTCGAGCGCAAGCTTACGCTGTCCCGAAACGACCAGTCCGTATCGTCATCACTATGGCAGTCTCTCAATGACGGTAGTAGCAAGGCGGCGAGCCTGACTCCCAGTCCATCAACAACCTCGACAATCAAGCCGTCCAAGTCTGTCAAGGGGAACAAGACCACCGCAAACAAAGTGCTTCCTTCGACACCTAGAGGCATGACTCCTAGTGCGAGCCAGCGATCACCGCCCAAGTCTGCCCCCACTCCCCAAGAGGAGCAGGGGAAGCTCGGTAATGGCCGTCCAGGTATCTTCAAGAAGTCTATAAGACGCGTGAAAAGCGGCACGGATCAACGTAAGGAAGCCAAGAAGCAACGCGAAGTTTCTATGGACTTTGAGATCCAAACAGCAAGTGGTGTATCGAGCGGTGCCAACTCGCCACAGGATTCGTTCCATGGAGGCGCAGACGACAAGTGGATGGACATCCTCATCGCCAACGGTGCAAGGCCAATGAACCGCGACGCACATCTTCATCCCTCGACATCTCGCGAGCCGCAATGCTCACCCTCGAGCGGCACCCGCCAGGTTTCCCCCAGCAACGACATCACTCCCACTGCCACAGCGATGGGTGGTCTAAACCTCGCAGCGGAAGGTCACAGCACTCACCCTGCACTCGGGTCCCCTATGCAGCTCTCACGCGGTACTGAACCAGGGAGCCGTCAGGGATCCGGGAGTTCGAACGACCATCGCGGCATTGAATTCCCAGAAGGCAACGGAGCTGTCGATGCCAACTCGCAATCATCCATGTATGACGAGTCTCACAGGTCGTCCGTCCTTACCGACGACTACTCTGTGCAGCCTTCAGACTCAATCTCAATGCGCAGGCAAGCCCGTGACTCGCCTCCTCCTGCGTCTGCGCCCCATGACGATCCCATCATGGGCGACCCAGCCCGGAACACTGCCCACCTAGCATACGACGAGATTGTATCTCCCAAGCCGCGGATGGCTGGCGAGCGCGACGCTATCTTCTCCATAGTGGACCACTACGGCGACCAGCGCGGGTCTCAGGGCACAGAATCATCCACCTCGGACGACGTATACGGCGGCATAGCCAACCGGGACAGCGTCATTGAGAACACATATGCTTCTGAGCGAGTCAACTCGGCTTACGGAGGTATAGAGCGTCATTCGATTATTGAGGAGAAGTACGCCTCCGAGCGAGTCAACTCGGCCTACTCGATCGACGACACGTTCCCGCCACCCCCAATCTTCGATTTGACCCCGGGTCGAGAGCCCAGCCCGGCTCGCTACAAGCATGGCGAGCCGCTTCACTTTGGTGAGCAGCCTACAACTCGACATTGACACGGAAGACTAACAGCAGTCGGCGAGGAGGATGAGGAGGAAGAGTAATCCCTGAATTGGTCGCATGAACGAAAAGCCTTTGGCACTTACGAATCCCTTCATGTCCGTCAACGCACGACGAACTATGCACGACGCATGACGCAAGAACCGCGCATCTGCTCCGGGGCACACGGCGTGCAGGCATGCATGCCTCCCCATCACCATACCCGGCCCCCATCTCGGTCCATCACGCCCTTTCCCCACCTGTCGTCGGAAGGCGTCCAGACATATGATTGTGTAGTAATGGCCACGCAGGGCGCGGCCAGTCTGTGATGCTCTAAGGTTATACTGAGAAGAAGCTATTCGGCGATTGGTGTAGAGACTGGTGAGACGAGGCGGGGGGAGGTCGCAGACTGATCGACTGATCATGAGGCGGTTAGGCCACGGAGTACGACGCGCAAGCCACATGTGGGCACTCCCCCAGCTCCAGGGCGGTCCGCGGCCCTCGCACAAACGTCCACCTGCTTGCGCGGCGAAACTCTCCTCTGCGCCCTTAAGCATTGCATTGGACTCTTCAAGCCCAGAAGATGTCATAATCCACAACCCGCCGCCGCAGAGAATCTTCATCCGCGCCGTACTTTGTCAGGTTCTCTGCTGCGACCTTTCACACACCGCTTGCCGGATGATCACCGTTTGTCCATTGCTTGTCCAATCATGCTGTCAACAGTCCCAGCCATCACTACTTCCTTCCGTCCCTCTGTCCTTCTCTCTGTCCCTCTCACTCTCTATCGGCCCCTCTCACCCTCTCTCCCTCCCTATCGTTCTTTCCCCCCCCCTCCCCCCCTCCGTCCCTCTGTCCCTCCGTCCCTCTGTCCCTCCGTCCCTCCGTCCTTCCGTCCCTTCGTCTCTCAGTATCTCCGTCTCCGCGTCTGTTCCTGCTGATTCCTCCTGCACACAACCAAGCTACAACGACCTGCACTGGATGCAAGTAGAGAGTGCGCAGTCTGGGATGAGAACTGGAAAGTAGCCCGTCACGTGATACCTCGCCTCGCCACGAATGTGACTCCAAATCCTAAGAGTCAATTAGATTGATTACAAAAGTGCACAATACGTAAGTTGCACATGGGATCCACGTGACCTGCTTCGTCGTCACCGTTTTGCCACTCTACTCGTGTACAACATGACCTAGCTGCCCACTCGTCATCGATCGATCCATCCATCCAGGCTCAATCCACTCCATCCACTGCAGCATCCACCGCATCCGCTACATCCTCCAATACCACTGCTTCTCCGGCGCCCTCATCCACGAGCACTGCGACAACGCGATGCCGCCAAAACCCCGCCTTTCTGACGGGAGCGAGTCCACCGGGTCGTCCAGCTCTACCCTGGGCAACTGCGACCATCCCAGCACCTCTGTTTCTTCGATATCTAATCACTCCGCCGCCTCGTACTTCCCATTCCCCCGCCGCCGATACGCTCACAAAGATACGCCCCGGTGGCCGATTGATCCCTCGGACGCGGACGACGTCAATCCCCGCGCCAAGTGGGCTGGAATCCTCGCTTCGAAGGCATGGTGCGACGCCGCGGCCCGCGGCGATGCCAGCGCCCTCGTCGCGCCTGACCTCTTCGCGTGCGCTGTGCTCGATTCGGCTCTTGATCGGTGGGCCAGCTTCCGGGCGGTGCTGACGACAGGCTGTACACTGCGCGCGAGACAGAGTGGCCGCCACCAGACACAGATACGGAGTGCGAGTACCTCCTGTACTGGTTCCGCCGCCCCAAGCTGGACCTGCCGTTTGCGGCGTGGATGTTTGTCGTTGACCTCTATATCAAGAAGGCGTACGATGCCGTAAGTTTCATATCCTCCACCGAGTGTCGCGTCCGATTCTCGCAGGCTCGCAGTCTAGCTTGCAGTCTCTGACCGAATCGTCAGAGTCTTGCCGTTTCGAGCCCCCAGCGGTACCCCAGCGTGACCCCCCTGCGCCCCGCATGTAGTATGTCCTAACGCCAGGCTATTGACGCCATTAAAGCGATACCCGCGCTCCCCACGCTCCCCACCACGACCCCCACTACCGCAATCGAACCCCCTCCACTGCGAGGCGATGTCGGTCAGCTGTGTCGCGCTATCCTCCTGACGCAGTGGAGGCTCTTGTCTGACGGATTGAGCGAGCCCACATACGCTGACTTGGACAAAATCCCGCCGCCCCCTGACGCTCACGTTCTCGGCCGGTTCGACCCCGCTCTCCCAGAGAATGTACCGCTCATTGATAAGTGGGTCCAGAAGGTCGTCGACGACGCAGCCGCCAACTGGAAGCGCGTACATGGTTACAGCCCACCACCTACAGTCAAGGAGCTCCGCGTGGCGGAGTCTGACGATGAAGATGACGAGGATGAGGAAGACGACGAGGACGAGGAAGACGACGAGGACGAGGAAGACGACAATAACCGTATTACGGAGCCCGTCGAGAAAAAGTATATTTCGTGGCGCGAGGATGTCGCCAGGCAGCAGGAGGCAGCGCGAAGGAAGAGGCAGAGCGAGTGTCATTAGGCGTTGTACAGACCCCGGACAAAAGTCTCCGGAATTTGACCAAAATTCAGATACCAGAAGTACAAAGTGCCACACAAAACTGCCTCCCGGCATTCAACGGCGTTACCTATGCATTTATAAACCCCAGAATTAGATTCTACGCCATCAAAAGCATGGTTGGCACTCGATTTACCACTCCTCAGCAACTTAGGATCGGCGCAGATGCTCATCTCCTCAGCAGGGCCTCCTGTCTTGCCAAACACAACTGTTCCCTCTCCACCTACTATGAATACAAGTGCCGCTTCGCCAATGACTCACCCATGAAGACCAAGAGCGTCCCAGGCCGTCCTCTGTCGATTTCCAAGGCTCAAACTACCTCCCTTGACAAGATATCACGTCGCAACAAGAGAGCCACACTCAAGGACATCACTCATGAATTTGCCAAAATTGCCCCCCGACTTTCAACTCGCACCATTCGCCGGTATCTTCACCGATTGGGACGTATCGCATATGTGGCAAAGCGCAAGCCGCTGCTCTCTCCAGCGGTACCACTCGCTCGTCCCTACTGGTTACGGTTGACGAGTAATCACGAATGGCGCGCGGTCATTTTCACAGATGAAGTGCAGGTGGTGTCTGGCAACAAGGGACCTCTCTGGGTGCGCTGTCTGGCCTCTGAGCGCTACCAGAATGATGCCCTGGCTCCCAGGTTCCGCAAAGAACATGGCTTCCATGTTTGGGCGGGTACCTGGCATGGTGGGAGGACGCCACTCATCAAATTGGACCTCGCAAAGAGTGGGGGCAAAAGAGCAGGATTCACCTCTGAACTCTACATCCAACAAATCATCAACCCGGTCCTCAAACCTGCTTATCAACGTCTGCGCAACCGCTGGAGGGGCTACTGTGAGCCTGTCATCATCCAAGACAACTCTAGAGTGCATACATCAGGCCTATCAGAGGCTACAATGGACGCTCTTGGCCTACCCACCCTTTTCCACCCTCCCAACTCTCCTGACCTCAATCCCATTGAGCATGTATTGGCAGAGCTCAAGCGGCGTCTCAAGTTGCTCCCAACCCGTCCTAGGAGTGTTTCTGAGCTCTGGGAGGCTGCACAGCACGTGTGGGAAGAGATACCACAAGATTTCATAGACAAGTGTATAGATTCCATGAAGGCCAGGAGGAAGGCCCTGAGGAGCAACTTTGGTGGCGCTACTCGCTATTGAGTAATACCAACTTCATGGGTATGCATGGAATCTCCTGTGTCTTGGCTTTCCAACGGTGTGCTTCATGTATGCATGTATGTAGATGCAGAGCGTGCGCAGAGGTTTGAAGTTGGTGGTGCAAATTGTGCTACTGAATTTGGTCCCAAAATTCCGGAGACTTTTCTCCGGGGTCTGTACATGTACGTGGCATCAGGTTGTGTTCCTGTATGCCTTGGGGTGTCGTATTGTTGTGAGGTTGGTCCGAGAGCACGGCGAGCGACAGTGTCATGACCCCACCATACACGACATCATCGTTCCCAAGATCTCTCGACGCGTGCCCCGATCCCTTGACATCATTCATTCCTCTTGCAAGATCCATGACTTCATTCACCTACACGCCATTCCGATCTATCGACCTCATCATCAGATCTATCGACATCACTACCAGATCTGTCGACATCGTCTATGGCATCATGGATCTACGCCCCCTATCTAGTCCCCTGTCCTAGTCATCCATATATAGAGGCTACCTCAGCTCTCTGTAGCTCTATCGATGGATCATACGTCAATCTCTCGTCTACCTCGTCCTCGTCCACTTCGGTAACCAGCGCCCGAGTGTCCCTCACGTCCTTGATCCTCCTCA